GCGTACCACATGATGGCTTTCGCTGCGCTGCCACTCATACGCACAGCTTTCCGTTCTATTCATAGTCCCACGGAACATCTTGGGCCCTTTCTCGTGGGTTTAGCAATGGGTCAGTACGATAATCAACTCGATGCAGGTGGAAAAGGCATCACAAATGTGAATGGATTAAGGATTTTGGACAACTCGGCGTTCAGACGACTATACGGGTTGACATGAGCTGGTGTCTGTCGTCATAGCAGTGTCAACACATGAGCTGTGTTTTGCAGTGCTTTATTTGACGTTGTTATGACCTGTTGATAGATAGTCAAGGCTGCTTTCACTTCGACTTTCTCTCAAGTGATCCGCGGTCTGAAGTATTTCGGGACATCTTTCCATTAACGTGCCCCATTTCTTAAGAAACCTTGGTGTGAACTCCCATCCTCCATCATCCCACGATTCACCCCAAACGAGGACGGAGGCTTTGGTGCCACTTTCAAAGTCAAACAAGTCGTGGCAAAGTGCATCGCAGAGTTGATCCTCATCAGATTCCCCTCTGGCAACTGCTAGAAGGATATTATCCCGCAATATCGAAATTGGAAATAAGTCAACCCAACAATGATGGGGATTGCGTTGCTGCAACTGTGACGGCCGCAAGGAAGGGGGTAGTTTTTGCTGATCACCGGCCGGTTGGGGTCCCTGAAAATGGAAAGGAGAATTATTCCCTTCCGTCTCGAGTTGTTCGAGAGGGATGCCTAAGATCATGGCATTCCTGACTAGCGCATCAAATGTAGTGAGACGCGTGACAAAATGTAGATCACGGGTAGTAGGAAGGTTAAGCCCCCAATTTGTAAATGCCTGATGCAAAAACGTTTTCACTCTATCTTGCAACTCGGGACATTTGATGATGGCTATCATCGGGAGTTTGTCAAGCACGGCAATGAAGAGTTCGGACTGGTATCTTCGAGAGGCGGCCGATTGCTCGAGCATGGTGCAAACCACGGAGGCCGAACCTGCGACTCGCTCATCTTTAGACTCTATCGCTTGCGCAGGAATCTTTTTCAGATGGCTCTTTCGCCCTGTAATCAGGGTTGTGAATTAGTATATCTGACCTATCCCTGTTGGCAAAAGCTGGAGCTTACGGTACGCTCTTTGGTGGATACGATTTTGACGTTTCCTCCGCTCCTTTGCGCTGGTTATCCCAGTCCAGTCATCGTCTCGATCCCATGCTTCCGCTAAGTGAGGAGGCATCTCTCCCGGATTGCTGTCTTAAGGGTTGACCTCGAAATTGGGCCGAGTAGATGTCTTGCGATGCCTTCCGCAAATTACGGAAAATATTGACGTAATGTGCTGACAACCCCAATGGGTCCCGATCGTCGTGGCCCCGCCTAACGTGGCGTTCTCGCCCAGCCTAGCTGCATCTCGAACCCTTTACGGAATCGAAACAACGAACGAAAAATGTGAATGTATGTCACTATATTCCCATTTGGATTGAAAGAAATAAATCACCAAGACACTGGTTTTCGGCAGTACGCAAGCTACTATGTACCTCAGAGAATTGGTCGAAACTATGTCAAAGTCTTCTCAAAAGCCTCAGTATCCGTCATGAAAATGCTGTTAGTATTTCCGCCTTATTCGGCAAAAGCCTACGATAAGCCTTTTTGTCTCATCTGCTCAAAAGCGATCTTTCCAGGCTTATCATTACACGCGTTTATCCAGATATAATCTTTAAGTAGCCGCCTGGCGTCTGTCCATTCCAGCCCTTGTGTCACTGGCGAAACGTCACGCCATTTCTCGCTCAACCACTGTTCATCGTGGTCAAAAAACGCTATGAGTCCAATCATTAAAACCCAGAACATAAGCCGATGCATCTGGTCCGTCGATATCTCTATAGTGCAACACAAATTCCGGAGCTGATCAGCAGCACATCTATATGCCACACGCGACCCTAGGACTCTGAATGTCGTTGTCAGAAAAGCCAACATAGCTACTCTCATACACTCGGTTATCAAATGTTGAAGTGTTCCGTGGAGTTGCAGCAATCGGTATTGAGCCAGCCAGATGGCACCGTGAAGCTCAGACTCTTGCATATCGTGACCAGGAGACTTCGCGTGGTTTACACGTTGAGCCAGATACTGGAGATCTCTAAATATTGCAGGTAGTTCATCACCTAAGATATCATCCAAAGATGAACCTAGTGGGAATGGATACTTCTTTGCACAGGATGACTTGACGAGGTCGGACGGAACGGCAACTGGGACGGTAGTGGTAAAGATCGGCGCGTTTCCAGTGTTGAGACTCAAGCAAAGATCGATTCTAGATGACATGAGTCTTGACTTCTGGCATTTGAAATTGAAGATGACTGACCGAGCGAGCACCACTGGAAGCTGCGGGTTCCCACGAAAAGCCTCAAGACCCTCGCGAAGTCTAATGATCTCCCGTAAGCCTGCCGCATGAGCTACCATGGCCAAATGGTCCCTGGAAACGATAGCTGCAATGCTTAAAGATATTATAACTGCCAGAGTCTCAATTCTACGTGAGCGCGTGGCATCAGACAGACTCCCATTAAGGTTGGCAATCGTCTTTTTCAGATGGACAAGAGTTTTATTTGATCGATGGCGTTGGAGGACAAAGTCTTGAACAACTGAGCAAACAGCGACAATCGAGTGGACATAGGTAGCATCCGAAAATAGCCAGTCTCGCCATTGACTTGATCTCATGTCTGGAGGTATGCCGAATTCAGATAGCGAGAAAGCTCTCTGAGTGCCAGGAAAGACTGCGTCAACTTTAGTATTGACCAAAGGCTTTGTGAGTGCATCAGGAACCAACTCGATGATATAAGCCTCAGCGACTCGCAGTCAAGTTTATCCACGAAGCTGATTAATGGTGGGGTTGACCGGATCCTCTCACTCGATCAGCATCAAGTGACCATTGTGACCTCCCTGCGGATGACGACAGAGCTTGCAATGAAACCAAAGAGCTCTCATCCACGTAATGGCTCTCAGCCATCAAGCGCGTTTCACTCTTTCGAGTGTTCTTTCCACGCATGCAGTGGCTTCGTATCCGTTTTCTTTGAGATTTGTTTGGCTTCCCTTACGAGTCTGACGAGGCGAACATAAATTGTGATTGGTTTGCAGCCATTTTAGCGTCTTAAAAAGGCACAATAGGTCAACATGCTTTTCGGTCAATCTCACGACTTGGAATGATACACATAATAGGTCATCAATGTCGACAATGGGGAAAGTTTGAAGACGATGGCGTAATCGTGGGAGGCTGAAACTGGGGAAGCCAGAATATTAAGAACTAGTGGATGTACATACAACAACTGTAGTCCGGCTTATCGCGCGAAGGATTTTAACTGCTTTACTTTTTCGGAAGCAGCCTCAATATCCCATTATTCAAGCGCCAATTTTGGGTTAGAGCAAGGCAACTCTTCATCATAGGTCTCAAGCAAAATGAATAGAGAAATACGAGCTGATTTGTTTAGGCTTCAACTATTAATCCCCCGTATTCTCGTAAATTTGTGTCAATGATACTCGAAACGTTTTTTAACATTGCTGAGATAGTACCCTCTGGTGTGGATCAACCCCCATACCGGTAAGAGGGAACTTCAGGTCCATGCACTTGCCGTGTATAAGCTCTACCATCGATCTAGCCTAGATGAGGAGTCACACGTCATTTCTGATGTAATAGAGATCCGACGATTTCTCGCCAACATTCAAGCCCGCATACTGAAGCCAGAATACGTCTATTTCTCACCTGTTGAGGAGGGAGATGTGACTACCTGGGACAATCGTGGTGTATTTCACACAGTCGTCGACTATCCAATCAAATACGGGCCCAGATCAATGCATCAGGCAAATCTTGGCTTTAGCACTCCGCCTATGGGCCTGTTCCCATTCCTGAGAAGTATTTGACAGTTCAGTGAGCGGAGACTGACATTTGAATCCTTTGCGCATGTTTCACTGGTCGTGAGGTTGTGTTGCTCAGCTATGTACGTTATAGTCGTAATCAGATGCACAATAAATAGGCCATGGTGATTTAGGTATTTGCGTTCAAATCGTGCAATACTTGCGACGCTGGCTAGAAATGGTTGTCTTTAAGAACACCTACGATACTCGCGCTCTCGTGGAAAGCGAATCAATCAAGTCATCTGTATCAATCTAATGTTCACTAGTGCTATCCTTTACAACGAACCATCTAATATACTCGAAGCTAACACGTAGATTGCTCGCACCACTTAGCAAACATGGTCCTACAACATGCCAAGTCATAGAGTTGCATCGATTGTCAATGCCTTGTTGATGAGTGGACGGCAGTGCGATGCGAATGCCGGAGGCTCGCTCGCACTATCTCCGCAGCTTCAAGCCCCACACTCGGAAGATGCGATCACTGGCTCATAAATGTGGGCGAGCACGGATACGAATTCGATACCGAATCTGTGTCGCAGATCCTCAATTAAGCTTCGCTCAATGCCGGGCCGCTATCTCAACGGTCGCCAGCTCGGGGGCTTGATGGCCTCCGAGATTTGTCTAAGTGGCTTAAATATCGGCAGCTTATCCAGCGTCCGCGATGGATCAGGGCCGGCTTGGTCCACCGAGTACTCGGAAGTCTTACATAATATTGAAGTAGGACTCTTGTTCGATCATGCCTTCACTACTTTCACGGCTAGAGTATGCCGTGGCTGCGATAACCGTTATTGTAAGTGTCAGCCCCAATCTCATATCATTCCTGTTGTTCAAATTTTGTTTAACATCTTCCATTTGCAGTATATTGGTTACATTGTTTGTCTATGGACATACAACTTGTTTTTTCACCCCCTGCGCTCCTATCCTGGGCCATTTCTCCGACGAGTCTCGAGACTTCCGTACTGTTATCGTGTTATGCAAGGGACATATCCCTTTCACATCTTGGAATTGCATAAGAAATATGGGCCGGTTGTGAGAATTGCCCCGGATGAGCTTGCATTTGCAGAGCCAGCGGCATGGAAAGACATCATGGGACACCGTAGTCACGGCGACGAGATGATGAAATGGTCAATGTTTTATCGACCAGTCGAGGACGCCGGCATGGTGACGGACATTGTTTTCTCAGAGCGGGAAGAACACGGAGCCCTTCGAAGGCAACTCGCCCACGGTTTCTCTGAGAAGAGCATGCAAAACCAGGAACCGCTGATTCGGAAGTACGTTGATATGCTCATTGACAGACTGCATGAGAAAGGTCAAGGGGGTTTGGCTCCTGTTAATATGGCTGATTGGTATAACTTTACCACCTTCGACGTAATAGGCGATCTAGCATTCGGAGAGTCATTTGGTTGTCTCGAAGACTCCGATTACCATCCTTGGGTGAAGGCCATCTTCGAGCTCGGGCGAGTCGGTGTTTTCTTCCAAGCCGCTGCGCATTACCCGATGTTTCAAAAGCTGCTCATGAGTTTGATTCCCAAATCAGCATTGGAGCGACGCCAGCATCACATCGACCTAAATAAAGCCAAGTTGCAGAAACGAATGGAGCTGGGACAGGATCGACCTGATCTGATCGAAGGCCTCCTTCAGAAGAAGGACGATTGGAATCTCGACATGGAAAAATTGGAAGCGAATAGTGCACTGCTGATCATTGGCGGATCTGAGACCACCGCAACTCTCTTGTCTGGTGTCACATATCTGCTCCTGATGAATCAATCTGCTTTGGATCGCCTAACTCATGAAGTCCGCTCGGCATTTTCTAATGAAGAAGATATCACTTTGGTGTCTGCTGGTCAGTTGCCATATATGTTGGCCTGCCTCGAGGAAGCACTCAGGATGTACCCTCCTGTGCCCCTGGGGCTACCACGGGTTGTGCCAAAGGGTGGCGCAACTGTTGCTGGTCACTTTGTTCCGGAAAAGGTTCGTTATTCGCTACCCATAACCAATCACGAAGTGCTGATGAGAAAGACTGTGGTGGCTGTCCATCAATGGGCTATGTACCACAACGACAAACACTTCCGCGACCCCTTCAGTTACCATCCTGAGCGCTTCCTTGGGGATGAACAGTTTGCAAGCGATAACCGTGATGCGTTCCAGCCTTTCCACACAGGTCCTAGGAATTGCATTGGTCGAAAGTAAGAGAATTCCTACGTCTTTACCCTGTGTATCGAGACTTACTGTCATCTCAGTCTGGCATACGCCGAAATGCGACTTATCCTTGCTAGAGTGATCTTCAACTTCGATATGAAAATAGCTGATGAAAGTAAGAGTTGGATGGACCAGAAAGTTTTCAACTTATGGAACAAGGGCAAGCTGTTCGTGTACCTGACACCCGTTAGGCGAAGAGCATAACCATAGATGTTGGCCATAGAGATGATTACGGTTATGGGACGGCTTCCTGTATTATTTCTCACCATGCACGCATCTGAATTTTAGTTAGAGCAACTTCCTTTTTATAGCGGCGGATATTAGATAGATATCTTTATTTGCTTGATTGCGATTCGAGAATTCTGTTCCCAATATGTCGATGATCCGTATCCTACTTTACCTGAGTGTCTTGGACCGTGTTGGAAAAAGGGTCTCTATCGTCACTATGACCATCATCTTATTTTCATTTCGGTATGCGTCTGAATCCAATGTGATCATTCTTCTTCATACCTCAAAGGTGCTATTACAATCCGTGAATACACAATTTTAACTAAGTACCTAGATAGGAAGGAATGAGTTCAGGCAGCAGTGAGATCGGCCGCCTTAGTGGATTTTGCCACTAACAATACTCGCGATATACGGTAAAGAGGGGCTGAACTGCACCATCCGTCTTCAAGTCGGACGTTCGCCATCCTCATACCGGTACCAAGTGGCCATCGAAAGAAGCATGGCTCTACTGAGCCTACCGACAGAGCTCATTCAGCGCATCGTGCACGAGACAATCCCCGAAGACTTCGAGCACGTTGTCTTGGCATGTAAGCAGCTTCACGTGGCGAGCTCTGTCTTCTTGCAGCAATACAACCTCAGGCGGAAACGATACCGCCACTTTTCTCTCTCTATATTCCGCATTGCAACTACATCTCGAAGCGGACGTGATCGCACAGGCGTCGTTCACTGGGACACGGTCACCGAAGCTACGGGCATCAAAATAAAATCAGTGCCGGACCTCCTATTGCATATTGCAGAGGATCCCGTCATCGCACGCTATATTCAAACGCTTAACATCAAGGACGATAACTACTATCACGATCCCCTTCGTAAGGACTTGGATGATGCGGGCGGAACGTTCTACCCACATGTCAAAGATAATCCTGGACCATTATGCGAACTTGTACGGCATTCGCCATATCTTCGTGAGGCCGGAGTCGATCTGGAAAAGTGGATCACGCGCATGATAGATGATGAATGGATGACAAAATATATGGACTCCAATGCCGCCCGCGACACTGCTCTCCTGTTGACGTTACTCCCAAATGTTACAGAGCTTGCTCCGGACCAAGATTGGGGTCGTATACCAGACAGTCATAAGGACCCGGAGCTATGGCAAGTGTTAGATGTCATCGTGCGCTGGGCGAACGACAAGTCGCTGCCTTCTGCATCGCTATCTAGATTGGAAGTGGTGAAGCCATCTGTTGGCATCGGCTACGAGCGCCGTCGCGGGCTATCATCTTCCGCGCCGTTTCTAGCCCTTAACTCAGTCCGCGAATTCTACGCTGGCAGCTGCATATTCTACGCTGATGGGTACACTGGCTTCCCCTTTGATCCACGCTACGAGACCTACGGGGCCAACTTGGAGAAAATAGAGCTGGTGGGTAGTGTTGCGAGGTTCCGCGAACTCGGAGAGCTATTATCGAGAGCTCCCCAGCTGAGATGCTTCCATTTTGCGTACGAGACAAAGTGGCATGGGTGCGGCCATAATTGGAATGTTGGTGCTTTCATCAACGCTATTCAGGAGAACGTGGGAGATACTCTCGAGGAGCTATCGATTACTATTCTTCATTGCTACGGCGGCAGGGGCACGACTCTCGACGACATGACGGGCTTCAAGAGACTGAAAGCGCTGGAGCTTGACGTAAACATGCTGATGGCACCGGCATTCAACAAGTTTTCAAAGAATGAGGAATGGTTGGACGAGGAAGGTCCACCTGGTGACGCAGCAATGCCGCGTCTCGTTGACATGCTTCCATCCTCTATTGAGGCGGTGCGACTTTTCAATCAGGAGTACAACGAGAAGCAAATGGAGTGTGTGCGAGCACTGTTCAAGGGACTCCAAGAGGAGCAGAGCATGAAACTGCCGCACTTACAACTTGTGGAACTCGTTTCCCCCGAAACCGAAACCGAGACATCCGTGGATGCATTACAAACTTTGGCTGCCGTAAGGGATGCCGGAGGGAAAGTTGTGCTGCGGACGAACGCGCGGGCTTGCCACCCACAGTTCGCAGTCACGTTTCTCGAACGCTTTGGCGTTGACGACTGGTGATTATTGCAGCCTGAGCCGGGCACACCAGAGAATTCTTCGTACTTTCTACATAGTTGAATTCGATCTATCGCTTGTCTGGATTTCAATGTCGACTCGCTGTACAAGTCTGCTCGCAACTTCTGCTCTCCACTCATCCTTTTTTTTGTTGGCCCTTACTGTAAAATGAGTAACTCCGTAGTTCCGCCAACCCTGTTTCTGAATCGTGAAGTTGTTTCTCAGACTAGGGCTATATACTCATAAACAAGGATTGGAGAAGTCCGCACCAAGTTTAGTAACACATGGTTAGCAGGGCCACGATAGGAGTAGTCGCACGAGCTCTAAGTGGCTGAAGTACGGGGAAGGGCGTCAGCGGCTCGGTGTCATACGCCCCGGACGCCTCCTTTGGAAGCTACATCTTACTCATTGTAGGGCTATGGTGTCAAGATTGTTGTCAATTGTTTTATATATAATCAAGGCGGCAACTGGGGAGGCTGTCCAGAATGGTCCACCAAGACGGTTCTTCCAGAGCATCAATTGGTTCTTCGCCCCCAAAAGTGCAGATCAGGCACCAGGTACAGCCCTGCATGTTGCTGCTGCATGCATCATCGTCATGTTCTCGAAACCCGCTGTCCAGGTCAGGTTCAGTGCTCTTCATGACACAAACCCGCCCCTCAGGATGAGGAATCCCAGCGATTCCAGTGGAGCAGATCATTTACAGGCGCCAGCAGGGTGGTGAGCAGGCGAACAGCGCCCAGCTGAGCACGCGTACGCTCAATGCGCAGGCGCGTTAAGCCAATCAGAACCGCCGAGCCTTGTCGCTGGGTACGCTTTGGGGGCCGCCGATGACCCCTACGCTGCGCTGGAACGCCGGGACCAAGCCACGCCTTACGGTAAACAGGCAGCCGACGCGGGGTGGGGGCGCTGGGAAAACAACATGATTACTCCTTTGAGAAGACGTCAAGGCTGAATAAAGAACGACACTACGCCAGCTTCCTCTGGGGATCACCGAGGCGAGGCAGTCACCGGGACAATCGTCCATGAGGAAGCCTTGTTAGTCTTCACTCCATGATGCTTATGGTCGTCTTTGTCTTGTTCTTGTCTTATCATTCGAGTACAGCCTCGTATTCTTGCTCGTCGGTCTATCTTCTCATACAAAAACACGCAAACGCTTTGCATTTAACAATCCTTCATGGCTTCGGCTTCATCCTTACCCTCCACCGCATCCGCATCCGCATCCGCATTCGTCTCCGGCGCCTCAATTGCACAGAGATGCGATCAAGGGCCGCTGCCTGGTCGAAACCATGCTCTAGATGGTATTTGACTTCGCAAGAGACGTGCCGCGGTCATGGTCATGGCCTGCCATGCGATACTCCAATGTTAACATCCATTGCATTCATACCACTAGATGCTACAACGCGACTCTCAGGGGCAGCAACTCGATCGAGCAATGAGGCCGCGGTTCCTAGACCTGGGGAACCGGGAACGGGGACACCCTGCTCCGAGTCTGCATTGTCGGTGGCCGGCATGTCGTCAGTAGGGAGCAGTGATGCGTCTGAATCTGAATTCACATCTTCCAGATTTGACCCTGCAGCAGTGGAACCGCTTAGTGATGCAGCTCCAGCGATGGTAGGGATCAATAAATCGACTGGACGTGCATGTCTGGCGATGAGTTGGTAAATTTCATCCAAGTCCTCGTCATGGAGTGGGGCATGATGCTCGGAGCCTTCACCCTCGCCAAAAGCACGATCCAGGGGGTGATTATTGATGCCAGGGGTATCCATGGATCTCTCGTCGCCCATGATCACCTGGGATATATCATGGCCTCTCCCCTCAAATTCACTTTGATCCAAGCTGATCTGAAGTGGGAAAGCATTCACGGGAGTGTCATGGAATAAGGCGCCGATCGAATGGATGTCATATTCCTGATTACGCTGCAAGGGGACTGTCTGCGTCGAGGTGTTGGTGGACGTTTCTGTCTGGCTGCTAAAGTCGCTTATAGGTGACTGACTACGTCCCTCCAGGTTAAGGCTGGAGCTTGAGTCAACCGCAGTCTCGGTTCCAGTGATGCTTGAGAAGTTTCCTATCGAGTGGCGACTATCACGCCAGCTGTAGCCGATGAGTACTCTGGGCGGGAATGCTATCTCGCTGGTTCCTGGGTCCAATCGGGACGTGTTGCGACGGTGGCGCTGTAGATCCAGGAGGCCATATCCATTCACGAAGGCCATGTCTTCGTTAGCTTCCATGGCGCTAAGTGTTCGGTTGACCGTTACGTGTCTACGAAGATCTCGCCGACGAAAAGGGGAGCAGGGTCCTAGAAGGACAGACCAGACGACAAATGGTATGGCCAGTGCGGCAATAACGATGAGAACAATCCCTCCTGGGCTTAAGCCTTGTTGGTCAGAAATGGCTGCAGGTTATTAGCATTGATATTTTTCCTTCCTCAGGAGCAGGCTTGCAGCTTCCGTTTGAGTCGATGCAACACAGAGCTGGGGAGGGGGGGCTGGGACGTACTTGGAGGTTTATCTGCGACATTGGTACTGGCATACTCCTGTTGCGTTGGGCTAAAAGAGTCTAGCGAGTATGAAGAGACTGTCTCTGTTTTACTCGCCATAACTACACCAGCCTGGATGCAAGCTGGAAAGGCCATGAGGAGAAGGAAAATCTTCCATCCTCTTAATTGCAGATGAGATGACGAAGAGCTTCCGAAGAGACTGAAAGCCCAGCCTAGAAACAGAGACGTCGCCTTATTCATGAGAAAATCAACTTGTCTCAAAAGTCGTATCTGATCTGAGTGGAGGACCACGACCACTGCAACGAGAATAGCCGCCGGATTAGGGTCGAACAGTTCTGCTATCTTGATGAACAGTATCGCCAGCGATACACGGCAGAGAGTCTTCGCCATAGAGACAAGCCTCTCCAGAGGCTATCGTGATACGGTCAGCAGCGAACCTAACCAGCCTGAGCTTGTGATGACAGGCCATACAGTTTCAATTAGTAAAGGCCCAGTCAGGATCTGGGCAGTTTCCATCATCTTCATATACAGCACATCCGGCAAGTCTGGAGACATTGGGTCGGGCGGAGGTGCGGACTGGCCAATGTACCGACAGTCCATTCTGATTTAAATTGACTAACAAAGAAGAATACTGTTAGCATGGGAGACAAACAACCTGTGCTTGAAGTGTCTTGCAGCGTTGCACATGATATCTGAAGCAGGACGACGACGACAATCGCGACAGGATAAACCTGAAGAGGCACAGCCTTGCACTCAGGGGAGACTGGGATGGGGGATGCACGTGATGCAGCACGAAGGGAAAGGAAGGCGAACAGCCTGACTGCTCATTGCTGGACAGTGATGTGTGGGAGTGAACCTGTTCGCCTCGCTGGCATAAACAGGACGCAGTGCACCCAGCAGCAATTGAGAGGGTAGCGCACGGGATGGCCAAGTCACATGCTTCATGACTTATGGCCACACTGTCCGGTCGTGATGGCATCATGGAGTGGCAAAGACTCAACTGTGAGACCTCTGTACTCTCACCCTCCCGACCGACTCGGACGCTCCTCGCGCTTATTTCGACCATATATGCCCATTCAATTGAGCCTTCATCAACGACGAGCTTAGGATTGACGAAGGGACAAGGAAAACGGGGACGTTTGAGAAGCCCAGTCGTCACGATTCGCTGCTCCTCAACAAAAGAATCTATTACTTACTCGGCAGCCGGGCAATACGTACACAGGGTAACGCGCAACTTGAGTTGATTGTCGTCGCAAGTGGAGGATGATCCCAGTAACGTCTTCGAACTCTTTGATGATAGGAAAGAGCAATCGTTTTCGTGTTGGAACCGTTGAAGAGATGAAGCAGGAAAGAGAAAAGGAAATGAAGAGCAATGATGGAATGGCTCAACGAGTAGGTAAGAGAGGGGGATGGAACACGGAAGCAGCGCCAGCAAATGGTCGGTGGACAGACTAACGGATCATTCTGCTTTGCTACCCGGTGCCGTGCTGTGCAATAAGTGTGGGAAACAGAACCGCACGGATGCAGGGGCGACAGCTACGCTACTATGTGGAAGGAGATTCCACTTCCAATGACAGGAGTGCCAAGAGGATACGGAACGGGGACGCGCGAGCGACAGCAGCGACGACGACAACCTCGGATATCCGCCCAACAAGGAAGCCAGGGGTAGATTGCACGTGTCCAGCCAGAATGGTCCAACCAGAGTAGGCCTGGTCCTTGTGCGTCCTGACTGGCGGCGGCTAAGGAACGAGATCCTCGAGAGTGGATAGATTCACCGAGGTTTGCTGACAATGATGGACCAAAACCTGCTTTGGATGCAGTGCGCTACGTCCGGGATGGCATAGTACCTTGTCTTTCGGCCGTTGCTCTTTGTCAGGACGACAGCGTCGTCAGGAGAAGCTCTTTACGCCAAGCTGCCGTGGTCTCACAGACCGATGTCATCAACTTTGGCTTCAACTGCTTTCCAGAAAAGCACACGAGATGCAGAACGATGACAGCGAGGTCGATAGCACAGGATATGGTTGTCTGTGAACAACGGCAGTCGTAGACCTTTACGACTTTGACTACGCTTCGAACAGATGACGCGTACCCGGAGGCACAGTGCTGAGCAGCAAGCTGGCTAGATTGCCACTGGAACGTTGGAATGCGAGAGTGGAAGTAGCTCGACTTAAGAGGTGTTGCTCGCTTGTGGCAAGATGACGATGAGAGAACAGTGTGCTCTGGTCAGGAGGCCTCATCCCTCAGCAGCCGGGCGTATCCTGCAAGGACAGGGGATGCCAATGGCGGCTAGCAAGTATCTCGACCGCTGAAATACACCTTGTGGCTATGTTGGAACAACATGGGATGGCGTCGAGCCGGATGGACCGCTTTCTGCGGGATTCTGTTGCATGAACAGGGTTGGTAGGTCACAAGCATCCGTATCCCGCGGAGGCGACTCGATTGGCAATAAGATGCCTACCCGTGTCTCACTGCGAAACAATGGTTGCATCTTGGAAGACCATGTCGTGTTCGATTACAAGAAACTGGAAAGCGCTCCAGCTTGCACCGGAATCCTGAGACTCAGGTAAGCCTCGTTCAATGAGGAACCACCGGTCTACCAACGGAGACCTGCGATACGACGCACTTTATGCGGCGTAACGCTCCATTGTAAGTTATCATTTCCCATATTTCCTTTGGTTTTCATGCAAGCGTAGAAGTCCGGGCTTGATTGAGCAGTAATTGACCTGCTGGGTGACGTTGTGCCGTCATTCAGGGGCTGAGCCACCCTCGTTGTTGCAGGGGCTTGGCGAGGCGGATTCGCTTTAAGTCTGCAGGCCTCCTCCCAAGTAGAATAATGGCGGGGCAGCCTTTTTTACACCTTGAAATGCCTTACACGCCCAGCGCCCATTCTCTGATCTTTCGTCCTTCTTCCCATTTCCCTCTGGTTCGCCAGCTATTATTGCATTGAATTGCACATTATCACAATTTGTGCATTATTATTTTTGCTCTTGGTTTATCACGTGCAATTTCGGCGATCGGTTTTAAGTCTGTTGTTGCGCCCTGCCTGAGGGCCTGACTGAGGCATTCCAGGCCACAACACCAAAGCAGGTCAGCCTTGAATCCTTCGAGTGCCTTCTTCACCTTTTCTGTCTTGTACGTTTCGTTTGAACTTTCTGGCTCTATCGCTGCTAGGCAGCGTGTCATTTCGTCATTAAGACGAGGCAGGGGCGATTTAACTTGTTGCCGCCTGCGATAGCTCAAGAAATTGTCTTGACAAATTCAAGCAGCACATTTGAAGGAGTTTGACTGATTTCCGCGGCATAGCATAATCGTGGTCCGATGATTGTCAATTTAGATAACAATTTTCCTGACTCGACAGCGGAAGTTGTAAGGAGCAAGTCAAGCGCGATACCTGTGAGAATGACACAAGTCACGCTCGCTCCGTCATCAGATCATCGAATACCGCAGAAGCGAAGGAGTTGCGATGATGACAACGAGTTCCCAGGACACTGCAGACGGCCAAAGATAGAGAGTCTCAGTCGAAACAGTCCCAGCGCGAATAATGCTCGGCGATTTGCTTGTCCGTTCTACATTGCGTCCCCAGAGAATTTTTACCAGACAACCTGCGCACATGGTAGTTGGCGCGATATTCCTCGGCTCAAAGAGCATCTCTATCGTCGACACTATCATCGACGTATCACTTGTGAGCGATGTTCTACGACCTTTCCGCAAGAGAAAGAACTCTTCGCGCACAGACGGCAGACGGTCCCTTGCCAGATAGCTGAGATCAAAGTCCATGACCCTATTGTGGATGGAATGAAGGAAAGCACGATGAATATGCTGAAGAGCCGTAAGCGGTCGTCTACCGCAGATGACGAAGAGAAGTGGTTTGAAATATGGGATGCGGTCTTTCCGGACCGTGAGAAACCGGAATCACCATGTCAGTTGTCGGCACTCTTTGCTGCACTACCTCACTTGCAACTAACTTGGCCAGATGCACCTGACATGCCTCTTCAAAAAGCCGACGCTGCATTTGCAGCTTATCTCAAACAGCACCTTCAGGCAGAAGTTCCTCGTTTGCTCAAACAGAACTTAGAGGGTTCGGTTGTAACCAAATTAGATTTTGATGCTGTCGGAGACATCATATCAGCCTGGCTAGACTCAGCGGTGCAACAGTATGCCGTCCAGTCTAGGGCGAATACACCACCCGCAGCGTCGATACAGTCCGAAGTCGAGGCTAAGGCGAGACCGTCTATACCACTGTTCTCTAACACGCATACGTCCGTCTCTGAACATACCAGGGATTTTCGTCTATTCTCGGACGACCCTGGTCTGAGCCATTCTCCACGCCATATTACAGATGACAGCTCAACACCATACACGACCGTGAGTCGCACGAGCACCGCAACCTTCATCGATACTCCCTATTCGACAGTAAGCGATGCGGACTTTCCCTCCCAGCCTTGGAGCGACATGCCCAGTCTCATGCCATTTGATGTTTTCAATGACCCAGAAAACACTGATATCAGAGTTGACACTGGATACCAATTCAATATCGATAATTTTGATCTCAACTTCGCTCCTGTAGCGGACCGTCCAGATATTTTCTCAGGACGCAATCAACCTTGAGACATAGACTAGGTAGTACATAGCTAAATCATTAAATGCTGTACAACCGATTCTGCTCATTCTTGGACAGGAACACCCTAATTCTTTCCTGCTACTATAGCTCGGTACAAATACAGTGTGTCTGCTACTTGTATAGCGCCGTTCTCGGTACAGCTTTTAATGATAAAGTGTGATTGATTTAGGTATATCATCAAATTTCCTATGACAAGTAGACCCTCAATACCCCAAAACATATCAGTCTTAGCAGAAAGTTTTCATTGGCAACACTCAAGTCATCAAACCAAACGAAACAATGAGTCGACATTGGGGGGTTTTTAAGATTGTGGTCCTAGCCTATTTCACTGGTAGTAGACCTTGATCAAGTTCATCCACGGGTAGAAGATTTAAGTTCAAGTAAGCTTGTCGGCATAGTCTTGTTAAATCAGGGTGGTGAGTCGGGTTGGCATGGTCTTACCTCTGCCAGCAGTCAGGTGACTTATTTCGCTATTACTTACTTCATTCTGCTCACTTCACTTATATTGCCACTTACAATGCAAGAATAGCTATCCCTTCATTCTCAGTACGTTCTCATGCCCTGGGGGGTTCTTTTCGTGTGTGTGCTATGTGATACCTTGATTGGGTGTTGGTCAGCAGTAGGTACTGCTGCCCTTTTTCAGTGGTCAGTTCAAAGGTTAAGTGTCATAAATTGTATACTGGGGATATTGTACTGCAATACGCAACTCAAGAAACAACAAATCTGAGAGTTGATCCTGAACTCCTGAACTAAGTGCGATTCGAAGAGAACACAACTGCATTATTGGATCTCCAGAGCCCAATGACGGTACGATGCGAACAACCCATTTGAAAAACGCCAGTACTAAACGTTTAGAGCACACCAGCGCGAGCAATCTCGCCGCCGCCCTCCTGCACAACGTCCTCCAATCTGCGCTTGCCCTTGCCAATGCCGCCCTCGCCGACGCCCATACGGCGCGCAACGTATCTCTGGGCAACAATACCGACAGAAAGGCTCAGGGCTTCCTCAACCCACTCGGCAACCCACTCACGAGGATCGACGCCACCGCTCTCGATGATGTCGCGGATCTCCTCGGGCACTCTCTCGATGTCGGGAAGACCGCCATCCTGGCCGCTGGCGGGAGTCAGGGGAGTGGGAGTGTCGAGCCACCGGACCCACTTGGCTGGAATGCCTTGGCTCACAGAGCTGTAGTAGATCTCATGGACGGGGTCGAATATGTACACTGCGAAGGAAACGAGCTCATCCTTGTCATCCTCCTCGAGCACTGTCGATGTCTCCTTCTCCTTCTCGGCAGAGGCGGTGCCCGCGAAAAGCGTCTTGTCCTCGTCCGATAGAATAGCTTGAACGGCGAGGAAGAGATCTGAGCTCCGAACGGGGTTGTTCTCATCTACAGGCTCCACGGCTCGCTGACGAGCGCCCTCAATGCCGCCGGTAGATGAAAAATACTCCGTGCTGTACGCCTCGGCGCTTGCTCTGCACAGCTTGGTTCCTTCAGTGAGGCCCTTGATGAGGCCGAGGTCACGCGGGGAGCCGACGTCTCTCCACCACGGGCCGTCTCGCCAGCCGGCACTACTCTGGGCGCCTGAGAAGAATCCAGCGCTCTTTTCGGAGGTGGGGGACCTCACGGTGCTCTCGTGGCCACGCTGGATGACGAGAAGGTCACCTCCTTCGACTTGGGCCATGACGCGGCTGAAGACGCCGTAGATGAGAGGGTCAAGAGACGGATATCCAACGAGGTCATGAGTGATGTGAATGAGCAGACGCTCATGCGAAGAGATGGGTGGTGCCAATGTGTGTAAGATGTTGGTGAATGTCGGTAGGGCGCGGTGAGCGATGTTATCTCCTGCCAATGCTGTTAGCCTTTTCCTGATAGTTTATCCCTTTGCAACAATGCCATATTGGCACTTCATGACCTCAATTGCGCCATCCCGTAGGCATTCGTAGCCAAATGTAGCAGTCACCCAAAATAGAAGGAAGGACCAAGTCAAAGTACTTACCCAGTCCGCGCAGGGCGCCGACGTTGCCTCGAACCTGATCCGCCCACTTCTTGGCTTCTTCATTCTGCTGAATTTCCTTGTATGCAGCTTCCGCCTGCTTCATGGCCGCCGAAGCAGTGCTTAGGATGCCACCCCACCAGCCACCACCGCCTCCCCCGGCAGCGGCCTGCGTCTGCTCGACGGGGCCCTTCTTCTCCGACTCCTGCAGCTCGGAGCTAGTTGCGCTGGGCGTGAAGCTAGCATGGTACGACCGGGCGCTCTCGCCGGACTTTCTCGGGAGGTTGGAGGCGGGCTTGTCTTCGGACGAGCGCTCGGTCGGGGTGCCGGAGCGCTTGGCCGGGGATCCCTTTGCAGCGATCTCCTTGACGCGCGGGGTGTGCGGCCGGGAGGGGCCCTTCTCGCCCAGCTGGTTCTCGAGCTCGGCGAGGATGTCGTCGTCGTTGTCGGCGGCCTTGCTGCTGCCCTTGGGGCCACCGCTCTTGGCCTTGGGGGCCTTCTTGGGTGCGGCGTCGTCAGCGCCAATGCCCTCGAACAGCTCGTCGATGTCGTCGGTGGGGGCCTGCTTGGTACGCTTGCTGGCCATGTTGGCGGTGGAGCTGGAGGCCGAGACAAGAGTTGTGGTTCAACGAAACGATGCAGGGAAGGAAAGGGATGTAGTCGAGACGCAAGCGAGACGGGCCGGTCACGATGCACAGCAACGGGAGGGGCAGAATAGGTCCAGTCAATTAGACAGAGCTGTCCGCCGTACACCTTGATGTCCGGGTTGTTGAGCTTGCCTTTGAGGATCACAAGAGAGGCAAGCCTGCGTCCAAGCTGTGAGTAAGAGTGTAATCTGCTAATGATGGCACGGCTAACAGGAGAAAGTGGTGATATGAAGCAAGCAAGCAGATACAAGGTCGCACTACGTAACAACAGCTCATGCACACAGCTAACATTAGGTTAACTAAAAGTAAGTGCTGCCGCTTGCCAGGTGCGGCGCCAGTGCTGTGCCAGTGCCAGTGCCAGTGCTGGGGAGGTGGAGACGCTAGGCCGAAACGGGAGAGCCATGGCTGATGCCCCCGTGCAAAGGGCCCCGGCTCTGGCGGGCCAATCAGGTGCTAGTGCCAAGGCTTTCCCTTTTCCAAGAGTGGCTCTGGGCCGTCCAAGACAAGAAAATGGGCTTTACAGCGTCTTAATGAGCACGACAACGGCCTCTTCGGCTTCAGATATTGGCATCATCCCCAGCCGAGCAGCGCATGGAAAACATCGCAGCTGCTTGTACTCCCTTTCCAGTCAGCTTCTCTTTATCCCTCGAGTGTGCTCAGCGGCGTGGCGTTGGTGCGCGCATCGCCGTCTCATCACTCTTATCCGTCCGCCTCCTGGCTCTAGGCCCGTCTCTGACACGTAAATACCCTGACCTCATTTTTTTTCACACCCTCAGCAGACCAGCCCTCAGCATCAGAATCAGCGGCCTTCTGCAGCGCTGCGCGCCCATTGCAGATCCTCCCTCGAACGCACAATAGCACAATAGCTGCTCGCTTGCTATTGTCTGCGGCGCTCATTCACTTACACAATAATGGAGCGTGGTGCAAAACGAGGCCCTGGTCGGCCTCGCGGCACGTCCCGTGGCGGTGGTGGTATTGGCCGGATTCACTCATCATCAGAGCACTCTCACCACCACAACCACTCGCATCACTCGCATCACTCACATCAGCAGCAGCAGCAATTCCCCAGCAACGCAGGTGACCAGAGCCCGCTGTCTCCTTCTATCTCATCGCAATCCTTCAGCCTCAATTTTGCAGATCAAACCAACAATTCAGATTCTCCTTCGCACGCCCAGGTCCGCACCCCCTCATCCTCATCTCGCGGGCGCGGCACCACCAGGCCTTTTCATTCTGCTGCTGCTGCTTACCACTCCTCATCTCCATCATCTCCCGCCGTCTCAGCCAGCTTCCCAGCAGCAGCCAAGATGGACATTCGCACTCCCCGCAGCGAGAAGCTGCCCAAGTCATCTCAGCTTCATCATTCCTTCACTTTTTCTACCCCCAGCAACAAGAACGACCACAGCCTCCGTAAGCGAGCTCGCACCTTTGAGTTTGGCCTCGACGGCGCTGCAGACGATGAGGCTGAAGTTAAGGGCGGCCACTCTCTTCGCAAGCGCGCTCGTGTCGACTACGCCCAAATTGGCGATGAAGAAGAAAGCACGCAGGATCCCAATAACACCAACACCACCACCACCACCAACAAGCCTGAGCTGAAGATGCCCGCCACCGCATCAGCCCGCGGCCGTAAGCGCAGAGCCAACGAGGTTGACTATGATGCGGATGACCTGCCACCGTCTACTGTGACTAAGAAACGCGGTAGATATGAGAAGCAGCGCACCGAGTCTCCTGCATCTTCACGTCGCAAGCAGCCCCAGAGAAAGACTTCGACTCAGTCGAGGTCTTATGTGGAGCAGCAACCCTCTGACACCGAGCTGAAGGATACCATCGAAGTTGGTGTCCAATACTCGGAGTATGAGTCCTCTGATGAGCAATCTGTGTTCAAGCACTCGGATACTGCTAGTGTCTCTTCCGATCAGCTTAATATCGAGAACTCTGCTGAAGCTGTTGCTCTAGCCAACCAGCCGGCTCTAGAGTCTCACAACACTGTATCAACCACAACCCTCTCCCAAAATTTTGTTTCCACCCCCTCTGACGACAACCTTGTCAAAACTGAGGATGTCGCGCCGAAACATGTTCAGGAATTTCCGGAGCATCAAAAATTCTCATCTCCAGTCGACCCTACCTTATCCGCCTTGTCTGGTCAAGCCACCAGTGACAACTATGTGCCTATTGACGGCTCTTCTTATGAGCAGCCGTCAACTAACGGCGTTTCTGTTTCAAAGCCAGATGACGAGACCGAAAAGCAAGTTTCAGAACATGTCAATACAAATTCCGCTGAGAATGAGGAGTTGAACGTTGCCGCGGAACCAGTTGGGGGCCAAGCTCCACAAGAAACTCAACCCAAGTCTTTAACCACACCACAACTCATTGAGCCCACTCCTACTGAAGACAAAGCCACTCCTCAGTCTCAGGCCACAGAGGCTGCTCTGACCAATGGCTCCTCATCTACCACTACCGCCGCAGAGGATGCTCTCATTGAGCAACCTACTCCTAGCCAACTTGAAGTGAGTGACGAACAATTAGAATTGCAGGAGCGCTATAAGGACCTCCGTCCTGGTACTGTAATTATCGACGACGATGGCGAGGTCATCTACACCGTACCTCGAGATAAACCCAGTGCCGCTTCAGTCCGAGGATCACATGTAAGTCTCGAAATACATTCAGTTTATTTTGTGTTTTAAGACTAATGAAATGATAGCGGCGTCGACAACTCGATATCGGTGACAACATGCTTGTTTCTGAAAAGAGTTTCGACAACAAGCAGCCACGGTCCCTGAGCCCTCATGGCCTTGCTGTGAAGAGCCCTTCATATGGTCCATCTTCCCGCGGACCCTCTTCCAGAGATAGTAGCTTCCAGCCCGAGTTGCTGCCTCAGTCATCCACTCCTCCTGTGTTTACTATCCCCACACAACCTTCTCAACCAGAAGCAACCCAGACTCCGCCAAAGGTCGGACGACCTCGAGGTCGTAGACGCAAGGAGACTCAGGATGACAAGGCTCAGGCCACAACACCCACCCTCTTGCTACCACCCGGTGGTCAAGTCGCTGAACACGACTATTCACATCTCAAGCCTTACGTCGATGGGGAAATGGAAGCGTATCCAGAAAACGCTGGGGAGTCTGCTGCGCCAACCCCGGTTCCCGAAGCTTCGGAACCCGTCGAGGAGCGGGTTGAGGCAGCTGACGATCAAGCTGATGAGGATAGCCAGCAGCAGGCGGAGGCAGTTGACGAGCCACTCATCGTCGACCCGGCCCTCGAGTCAGCTGCAAACATCACTGGAGGTGCTGATACACCCATGGACTCCGGGGATGCTCCGTCACCCCAGGACACTAACAATGGAGATGTCGACCAGCCAACACCGGATGAGCCTATCATCGAGAGCATGCGACCGCGCAAGTCGCGCAAGCAGTTCCCCTATCAACGACTTACTTCACCAAGCGTGTTCATCGACGCCCTCAAGAACCACAAGGAGATGAATGATGCTGATCTCTACAACTGTCTCGAGCAAGTGGTCGATTGCCTATATATTTGGCAGGATGAGTGGCAGAGCTTGAAGCTGATCACCGACGATGAGGACAACGCTGTTCGCCGTAGAGCCGCGGACATTGCGTTTGAGAGCAAGTTGGAGAAGCAGATGAAGATGCTGCAGGCCCTCAGGAAGAAGAACCAGAACGGGTTCGTTGATATGACTCCCGCCGTCGAGAAAGACTTTGCCATCAAGGGCGTCCGGGTCAAAGAGCCCACCTACAAGAGCGACAAGGCCTATCATCGCGCGCAGGATCAAGTTATGGCGCAGGCCTATGGTTTCGAATACGATCCACGGGAAACTATGATTTCCAAACAGGATCCCATCAACCAGAGAGATGGTCTTCAGAATAGCCGACTGCGAAATCGCCCAAAGATTAGCCAGAGACTACTTGAGGCTACTAATGAAGACCCGAGTGCAGTCATTGTTCCAGGAAAGAGAACCAGACGGCCTCGAGGCGTTGAGGACGAGAGCCAGAGCCAGAGCCGGGCCGCAACACCTGCTGAAGCCCCTCGCCCTTCAGGACGTGGTCGACGTAGGGGTCCCATGCCTCGACAGAATACGGCGACCAGTTTCACCACTTCAGCGTTGGCACAGACAAATGGCGAAGATTGGCCTGTGGAAGAAGCAGATGCCGCGCCAAAGCGTGGTCGGCGCCGAGGCCCCAAACCCAAAGAGGCTGTCGCCACACCTGCGGAGGAGCAACAGACAGATGCTGAGAAGCCCAAGAAGAAGAGAGGGCGTCGGTCCAAGGCCGAGATCATGGCACAGGAGGAGTCCGAGGGCATTGCAGAGCCTCAAGCCAAGCGCCAGCGCCGTGGCCCGGGACGTCCTCCAAATCGTGTCGAGATCCCAGCGGCGTCGTTCTATCACAACCCGTCCCCTGCGGATACCGAGCCTACACCTACCGACGAGTCACGTCCTACAACTTCTTCCTCAAGTGGCACTGCCCATACCGCTGAGTCTAACTACTCTTTCCGCGAGCGCAAGCGCAAGAACTACACTGAGCTCGCCAACGTCGGCTTCAGTAGCGAAATTGAGCCTAAGCCCAAGAGAGCCCGGCGCACCAAGAAGGAACCAACTCCGACACCTCCTGTCTTCAACGCAGCGCCTGCCACGGGCTTCTTCCCTACGGCCATGTCTAATGGACCCGCCCTGGCTCCTGCGCCTCCACGCCATGATCTTGGTGTTCCTGGTATTGGTCATGCCGGAGGAGCAGCCAAGATGAAGATCAAAATCACCAATAACAAGGGCAAGGCTGCTATGCCTCCCAACCCAGCTCTTGCACCCGCCCCATTCCAATTCTCCGTCAGCGGGCCTGGTCAACCCATGACTGGACCTCCCAGCCGCTCCGTGTCCGCCGGCCCATCAAAGGCTCCGTCTCGTCGCGCTACTCCTGCCCCGTCTGCCGGGTCGTCGTCTGCTGCGCCTGGCGCGGATGGCGAGAAGGAGTATGCCACCATGACGAAGTCGGAGAAGATGAGCGCCAGCATGAAAGGTAAGTTTCGTCTCCTCTTCCCAGCGAGTCGTAGAATTCCAAGCTAATATTCTTCCTCCCCCCAGCTCGATGGGCAAACGGTTCGATGCAGCGCGCCGTCGACAAGCGAAAGGAGACGCTGGCTCGCAAGAAGGAGACCCTGAAGCAGCAGGCCCAGGACAGAGAAACTCCGCTGAGCGGCACCGAGCAGCCGCCGCAGCAGGTCGTTGCTCCTGGCGCGCCTGCCGCCCCCGTCATGACCTTCAGTCGCATCGACAATCATGTCCTGCCGCCTTTCCATGCTTATGCACCCCCGGCTGAGCATCGTCAGAATGGACTCTAGGAAGCTGCTTACGGCCAGAAGAAGACCGAGGACAAGAAGGTCGACACAGTTGACGAGAAGAACGAAGACAAAGTCGACACAATTTCGGAGAAGGACGGTCAAGTCGACACAGCTGGAAAGAAGAACGATGAAGTCGACACGGTCGACAAGAAAGCCGACGACGAGGGTCGTCGCAAGGATTGAACTGAAGAGAGAAAAGAAGCGACAACAAACTTGCATACATGGACCGAATTTCGGTAATTTCCATTTCATTTTGTCTAAATACTTGTAGCGTATCAGCATCATCAGCATGGCACACATTTCTGCATAGCATGGCATGGTGCGATCAAAAAAGGGTACTGGAAACATTTGAGAGGGACACCCCCATCAGGTTTAGGGGAGGGAGGCCCTCGAGGGCCATGAGTTGAGATCAGGCCTGACCCAGTTGGCCGGTTTGTATTTACTGCCGGCATGGATTTAGATGTCGGGGGATTGAGTCTTTTTTTATACAATACAGGAAGCAGTGAACAGATACATGCATAGTAGGCATGTATCAACCGTAATCAAATATTCTGAGACATTATGAGTTTGCTTGCTGTTCGTGTGATAAGTATGCGCGCTCCTAAGATGAGTTTGCCCAGTTGTGGCTGTGAGCTCGGATGTACGCTGACTGACTCGATGTTGGTGAAGAAAAAAAAAAGGAAAAAAAATCTCATTATAAAAGCGATGGATTCTGTTTGGTGACAATTTGACAACTCAAGGTTGCTAAATGCGGATGCCTCCTGTAAGCCGAGTGTTTGTCGGTGGTTCTAGCAGTTTGAATGTCTAACTGTGTTGAGAGGCATTTAAATTGAGTCTCAGAGAGAGTAAGCTGTTGAATTGCTTCCAACCCCGATTTACACCAATTGGACGAAACACAATGTGGTCACCACCAACGATTGCCACCCTCCCAGAGAGAAGATATTCCCGCAATAATATTGCAGAGTTTGATCATACCAGAATGTTCTTCAAAGTTGTTTTTGTTATTTCGATTGCCAGGGAGCAATTGAGTGAAAAGCAATTATGGTGTACCAAGTTTGCATTTTTAGACTTTTAGGTCCTTGCTTTGAATCCAGGGTGTGAATCAATTAAACATCATGATTTAAACTTTCAGGTACACTGCTGATGCAGTCATGAAAGCTTTTACAGCTGGCTGACACTGAGCGGTTTCGTTGCATTATTTTACCTTCCTGTCATACATTTGTGATCAGGCCATTAAAGTGATAAGATGTTGATATTTTCAAGCTTCAGGCACAAGACACATCACAAGTATACATCCGATCCAGTAGAGACCATGAATAATGTCGAAGTTGTTGACGGTTGCCAAATCGATGATCAACACCTGACTTGTCCGATCTCCTTGGATTATAAGTCAGGGTAACTAGTTGTATATTACTGTTTCGGGCAACCCCCAATGTAGCACAGCATTTTGTGTCACAAGACTTCGGCGGCTCGACAAATCTTTGGGCATATCAGGACTCGATTCCGGTCTCACACGTTCATTGGCTTGGCTTGATGCAGAAGTCTTAAACGTGCCCAAGACAATATGCACCCTTAGAAGCTACACAACGCTATCCCATCAACACATGTACCTAAGTGTAGCATACCCGAGAATATTATGCGCAGATTTCAATGTGTTGTCGCACATCAGCATTATTTGGTCACAACTTTTGAAGACATGGAATGGTTTTGGTGCACGGCATTAAGCGCCGTTTAAAAGGGATCTTGATTCCTGTATATCATGCCATTGGTATGAAAGCCGTAACACGCCCAGCCGAAATGCAAAGCCGTCAATCCAGCCAAGCCTCCCTTTTGTCATCATCCCCAGCTCGAGGTTCGTCCAAAGGCGCGCTGTTCGTCCTCTGTCGCAAGACACCTGTCGCACGTCGAAGCTTGTCCAATTTATTCCGCCACACATACACCCGCCAACTCTTTACATAACGACACCAGAGTTGCTGGCAATACGCTACAGACAGTCAGATCAGTATTCTGAGTCGGTCGAACAAAGGTTTGGGGGAACTCACGGGCCAGAGCTCAGCAGCCTCCTTGCCGACGGGTCCGGTGATGGCAGAGCCCTTCATCTCACCCTTGGGGTTGACGATCTGTAAAATCATTGTGTTAGCACCTGGGCAATGGTCGAAGAATCGAACCCCCGCTGCTCTTCCATTTCGAATCCATGCACCGCCCCGTACATTCATGGCTTCTCTTCACTCCAACTTCCCGGGCACCTCTTAAGAGAAAAACAGCACTTACGACACCAGCGTTGTCCTCAAAGTACAGGAAAACACCGTCGGTACGCTTCCAGGGCTTGGACTGGCGGACGATGACGGCGGGGTGGACCTTCTTTCGGAGCTCGGGCTTGCCCTTCTTGACGGTGGCCATAACCATGTCACCAACACCACCAGCCGGCAGTCTGTTCAGTCGCGCACCGATACCCTTGACGGAGATGATGTAGAGGTTTCGTGCGCCGGAGTTGTCTGCGCAGTTCATGATGGCACCGCTGTGATCTCACTATTAGCATCCCTCGTACCCAAAACTTCGCCGAAATCGCCTCGGACGCATCGCGAGCTGAGAGATCGCCGGTGATCGAGCGGGGAAACGTACACTGGGAGACCCAGGGTCATCTTGAGCTTGCCACCGGGGGCACCACGTCTGTAGAGAGAGGCCTGTCAGCAATCCCGTCTTCAATTGAACCCCAACCGCTCCTGAAGCTGCCTTTTTCTCGTGACGTAGGTATCGGAGGAACGCAGTGGTGCGCAGTCGAGTGTATAGAGACTGGAGAAAAACGAACGTCGTTCGTTGAAGAAATTTGCTATCGCAACCGGCTCATCGTCGTCGGAACTGTCGCCCCTCCAAGTTCAAACCCCCTCCAGCTCCCGCGCAGCTCCTCCAAAACGCAGAAAATTGCACAGCCGTTCGAAAGAAGGAGAACTTACGAGATCTTGGCCATTGCGTCTGTGTGAAAGGTGTAGTTCTGGGTGGTGAACTGGTGCCGTGATCAAGGTCGTTGTCGATGATCAAAAATTCGCTGGCAGCAAAATTCAATGTGGGTTTGGGAAACCCTAGCATTTAGCGCAGGAAAAGACATCACGTGCTGACCTGATAAGCCTTATCGCAAACATTTCTTAGTGCATCCGGCTTGTGGTCGGGTTGGGAAGTTGCCGGTGTCAGTGTTTTGGTATTGAACCTTTTCGACCAATCAGCTTGCAAACAAGTACATTAAATTGGCTGGCACCTACACGATGATCTAAGAAGAGCTTACAAGCTTAAGTAGCCTTCATGCCTACCTATCTAGATATGTTCTTCAATTATCAAGACTACTAATGATGGTTTTACTGTGCTTGATTGTGATTTGCACATGGTCTCCGTCTGCACTGTCGTGCACATTAGAATTGATTTAACTCGACTTCTTTTTTTATACATTGATTGAATGCCATATTCCGTCCAAAACCTCTTCCTGAAGACAACCCTCAAGAATAAGATGTTGCCTGCAACTCCATCGGTGGTTTGACATTCTGATAAAACTCAAAAAGAAAATTTCTTGTTTCGCGAGCAGAATGACATCTGCATCAGGCACGGAGATGGTACGATAAGTGTAAAATATTTGAAAGGGAGGAAAATGAAAGCTAATTTTATTTTCAGTACTTTCGAGAGTGACGATGAAGGACCGAGCTCGAGTGATGCATGTCAACTTCTCTTGTAAGCATAGCAGCTATGAGAATAACTCGTTCTTCAGCGTGCAATTTCACGACAAGATCAAAATCCGCTTGCCTACCTTAGAGTCTTTCGTGATGCCCCATTCAAGCAAGCAGACGTTACTCCGGCCATCGTACCTTCCGCGCAGGCTAACAAGCAAATTCTCTATGCGCTGGCTGCGTAGGAGAAGGAGCTACAGACACGCAATTGCCTCTCGACCGCATGATGTGCTGGTTGGATAAATGGATCGCCCTTGCAAAATTCTTCGGGCTGTCTACCTACCTGTCTATTTGACATCCTTGAACTACAACTACAACATCGTTCTGTCAGAACCAGCGTAATCTTGCTCAGACTGCTGCGTCGTCCGCTCGTTTCTTTGTCTTCTCCCGAGTCATACAGCCCCTTTTGGCTTACCGTCACAGCTCCGTTTGGCCGGGAAGGATTTGTCTTGGTAGCTGTCGGAGCTGCAAGCCGGCAAAGAAATGCACGGAAATCGACAATCCATGGCTTTGCCGACGCCGAGGATGCTCCTTCATCTGCTCTTCCATCTCCTGCTTGCTGGTTTGGTGGAAGGCCAAAGCAGCCTACAGCAATCTACCGTCGTCGTCTACCAGACCCTGTATACTGCCTGCAACTGCGGATTGTCTAGCTCTTCAGTAAGTCTCGTCTATTTTGAAGTCACCAAGAGATTTCTTCTGACAAAATAGTCTCTATTTGTCCCGCCAACACCAATCCCGGGCCCTGTAACTTTCCCGACCACCGAGTCGGCCGCCAAGTTGCCACCAATGGCTCCGACCTCCAATTCACCGAGCGTGGCCGCCTCCTCAAACCCACCCCTGTTCACAGTGCTACCATCGAACTTGAGCTCTGCGTCCTCTCAGCCCCTGACTACTCCTACGAGCCTGTCTTCCGCCACAGACTCTGTGCCATACTGGAACGCCACCGCCTCTTCCAGCGTATCGGCATCCCTGGTCGGACCAGACACTGTTCTCCCAACTTTTGTCAACATAAGCTCGTCTCTTGTACTCACACCGTTCTCGGCCTTGACATTTTCTACGTCTGCTTCGTTCTCGAACTTGGCCCCTAACTCGACAACGGGAACCGGTCTTACAGCGTCGAACGCAATCGCTGTGTACCCGACAATTACTGTTGGGGATGTTGCTGTCACCGGAGTGACTGTCGAAGCACCTAGCTCACCTACTTCATGCTTCACCTTGCCGATGCCGACTGCATCTCTCGAAATGCTCGCGGTATCTATAAACCAAGAGAACGATACAGACTTCAGCCGGCCAGTTTTTCTTTACTTTGCAAACAACGCCACCTCTCCTTCTTACATTGGGTCAATAACCAACGGTTCTGCATATACCCTTGATCTGTCACCGAATCAGTCGGTGGCCGGCCAGTTAGGCCTGTCTCTTCCTGGAGCTCAGTCTGTCGTGTTTGATACCAGTGGCATAAAGCTCTTCACTGATGATTGCAATTCCGTATCTAGCGTCAACATTGAAAACTTCTGGCAACAACTACAAGCAGCTGGTGTATCAAACTCGCCAACATATGCCGGAGAGTCCCCCTTCTCGAGGAGACAATTGGCGGCCAACTCAGCAGCTCCAGCCAACTTCACCGTAGAGGTGTCAGTAGATGCTTATCTGAAGTCGACCCTGAATTCGCCAACTATGATATTCGGCGATACGCCTTGCAACCTCCAGAATACCACTGTAGGCCCTCTCTTGGACAATATGACGTGGATATGCGAGTATCCTCCGCCAGGTAGCGGGAAGCAACATTGCCAAGACAAACTGAGTACATGGGTGAACGGAAATCCGAGAGGGAACTCCACAAGCGCCGCTGTCCCACGCAATGGAACTGGAGTTCTCTCAGCGATGGGCCCATTCCTTGGACGGGCTGGTCCGGGAATGATGAAGTTTTTCCCCGGAGGAGATCCAGCTTTGGTGGTCGGACTCAACTTCATGCAAGGGGTTGAGAGGGTGGCCAAGCAAGCGGTCACAGCTGTAGGAAATACAGCATGCCAAATTCTCCATGCCTTTGATCAGAACGAACTGATTGTTGCGGACAATGGCACCTTGGGAACACATACCCTTGGGGCCTATGTCAGCATGCCGCCAACATCGATGGAGATCAACTTGGCATACACGGCAACTGCTTCGGCCCACAACCCACCTGCCAGAAAGGTGAACCCAGCAGACCGATTACTCAAGCAGATAGCCTCAATCTTCCCCGTTGTCGGGTCTCTTTTGGGAGCACTGCCCGCGCCAAGCTTTCCTCTTTTGGGTGGTGCTTTGGGCATGCCCACGGAGAGTCTTTCCGTGTCTGCAACCACAACATCACCACTCACAGGTACCATCACGTCCTCGGTGAGCACACCGCAAGCCAATGCATTTGTTGGTGATTTGCCCACTGTCACCGTCACTCATGTACTGGGTGAGGGCTGGTTCACCCCTAGCACGTGGATGATTGGCGCGAGCACAAGCCTGGCCCACGACGTGAACTTCGCCATGGCCACAGAAGCCCTTTCTGCCCTACAGAGCTCCACATCAATGGATGTCATCAACGAAGTCATCGCGAAGCTAGCTTCAATCGGTGTCGAAGATGTTCAACCTGGTTTGCTGGAGGACCTGGTGAAGGCTCAGACTGGAGCTGGCGAGGCCAATGGTGAGCAACAATCCGCAAATGGAAACGAAGAGCCTGTGGTCTGGGTCACGACCACAGTAACTGTACTGGCATGAGAAGCGGTATTTGTTGATGGGTAGTGCATATACCTAGTGGTTTTCTTTTGCTTTTACGTCTGTGTTTTTTTGGGGGGCCAAGGGCCATTTTATGCAACATCGACAAGCTCTTTTGTGCAGACGATATGTTATAGGATGGAGTCGGACTATCATACTGAATGAAGAATGGCACATGCTTAAGCAAGGTGTTTGAGGCGGGATCCAAGACGATTAATCATTAGAATGAGCAGCCAAGTCTAATGTAATGCCATAGATTCAAAAGAGGTCGCTTTGCGCCATGTTTAACTCCTCCAACTCCGAAGCAGCTAATCTCATCGTTACGGGGAGATGTCCCTTAGAACGAGCTGCTAGTCACGGTATTGACTGGTGTAGAATGAGATTCGCTCCATGATCAAATTCGCCATGGTAACTCCGTGTTTCTGCATGCTTTATCCAGGGATCATCTTCATTTATTTCGAGCTCTTCCTCCGAAACGACGCTAGAACCTCCTCCCCACCGAATATGACAACAGCACACACGAACGCCCAGGGAACAACATCACCAGCCCATCGCCACAAACTCCATAGTGCCAGCCACAAGATCCTATATCCACAGCCGGCGAGGCTGAGGCGGCGGCAGAGGGTGTCGACGGGGTCGACGGCGACCATGCCGTAGATGCGGCGGGCGGGGAGGGCGCCCTTGTAGAGGGCGAAGAGGAGGAAGACGAGCAGGCAGAGCTCGCGGAAGCGGATGGACAGCGGGTTCTGCAGGACGGCGGAGGCGCGGTGCAGGCCGGGGCTGAAGTAGGTGCGGCGGCGGTGGATGCGCCCGTTGGCAATGGTCGCGTTGGTGGGCTCCGGGCGGCCGCCGGCGCGACGGTCGGTGGGACGGGGGAAGTTGGCTTGCGGTAGGCAGCCGGGGGTGGGATAGCCGCAGGACATCTTGTGTGCGTGCGTGAAGTGAGGTTGTCGTGGTGGTTGAATAGGAGGAGGAGCAAGCTCGGGTTGGTGTTGTCGGAAGCCGGTGGGAAATTCGTGACGATACTCGAGGTGTTCCTCAAGATGCCGGCTTAACTTATTCAAAGATTTGGAGCTGATCGAAGTGGAAGAAGAGTGAAACGACAATTGGAAGGGTCAAAGAGTGCGAAGTCGGATCTTTTATTCGAAAAGGGGAGAGAGAGAGAAAGTGACGATGGCAGCCTGGCACCTCGCACCTGGACCCCTCCACCAACACCAACACCAACACCACTGCACTATCGGTTCTCGTGTTTTACTGGTATTACTAGGCTCCTCTGGCCATTTCCTGCGGCACAGCTGCAAAGACCCTGGGCACAATCTTGAAGGCGGCAAATTGGCACGTTGGCGCCAGAAAAAGCTTGAATCCTGGAAAAGGAGCCTGGAGCGGCTGAGCCACGATCCCTAGCGGGGTCGCATGTCGCAACCCTCGGCCGCTGATTTGACAGTGGCTCGAGGCCTGTGCAACGGCCTAACAGATACGCTAGGCACCGTTGGTCTAGTTGCATCCGGCTGCCTACTTGTTCCTGGATTGTGCATTTTGGCGGTCCCCACAACCTATCACCACTTTCACGAAAGCCTCGGTAATCATGAGGCTCCTCACGCTTCAGACCAACAGCCTGAAGAGGTTATAGCCATTCAATTTGTTATGATAAGTCATATGCCTCTGAATACCTGCACTGCCTGGCTCAGGGTAGATAGTGTTGGCTCTTTGAAAATTGTCATGCATGTCTAAGTTATGGTATCAATTGTTGTACATGAATGCTCTTTATATGCCTCGGGACTTCTGCCGTCTCATCATTTCTTGCCCAACTTCGCCAAGTATGCATCCACGCCAATCTCTCTAAGCAGATTGGCCTTGTCTTTGACCTGAGTCTCCATCTCAAGCTGGTAATTCTTCATCTTCTCTTGAAGCTCCGGCATGAACGCTCCCAATATTCTGATTGCCAGAAGAGCAGCATTGGTCGAGTTGTTGATTGCCACTGTGGCAGTCGGCACACCTCTCTGTTTCGAGTTAGTGAGCTTCTCCCGCAAATGCGTTGTCTTGGACGAAATGGTTAACTTACCGGCATCTGCACAGTTGATAGCAGTGAATCCATGCCGTCTAGATGGGTCGCCTTGACCGGCACACCAATGACTGGCAATGGCGTATGTGCTGAGGCCATGCCCGCTAGATGCGCCGCGCCACCCGCAGCTGCGATAATGACTTTGATGCCCCGACCGGCGGCATCAGTTGCGACCTGTGCCATCTTGCCCGGCGTCCTATGAGCCGAAGTGATATCGACCTCCCATGGGACGCCAAACTGGTTGAGGATATCAATACCAGCCTTGAGAATAGGAAGGTCAGAATCAGAACCCATGGTTACAAGGACCAGAGGCTTGTCCTTTGGTGCTGCGGCTGCCTTGGGCGCTTGCTGGGGACGGAGAGCCTTGCTGGAGGCACGATGTCTCTCCTCCTTGATCTCATCCGCGATGTCAATGAGGGGCTGTGCAAACTTCTCTAGCTCTGCGATGGATACAAAGCCGGTGACAGTGATGTGGCCAATTTTGCGACCCGGCTTGGACTCCTTGCCGTAGAGGTGTGGGTAGACAGCCACCTTGCTGCTGTACATAGACTTGGCTTTCTCAACCAAAGGAATGTGGGAGTCGGAATTGGCGCCTCCTAGGATGTTCACCATGATGCTGGATGATACATGGGGCTCCAGCTCCTGTGGTAGGGGCTCGTCTAATATTGAAACGAGTTGCGCTTTGTATTGAGACCTGTTGATATGTCAGTAGCTGCCCCTAACCGCGACTTGCAAAACGGAAACAAACGGATGCTTACATATATGGCACGGCCTCTATTGTGTAATGTCCACTGTTGTGTGGCCTTGGTGCAATCTCGTTGACCAAAACTTTGCCGTCCTTGGTCAAGAACATCTCAACAGCGAAGACACCTCGTCCCCACAGCCTCTCTACTACACTACATGCAACCTGCTGTGCCCGCTTGCACACTTCGGCAGAAACATTTCTGGGTGGCATGAAAACCTTGGAGCAAATATTGTCTTCGTGTATCGTCTCAACAGCCGGGTATGGAATCACTCGTTTTGTCTTGCCCTGATCATTCTCCGTACGAATGACCATGACAGCCAGCTCTAACTCGAACGGGACCCACTTCTCAGCATAGCAGAGTAAGTTGCCAAACTCTTTGACTGCGGTCTCGAGGTCTGCCTCGCTTGAGATTTTGAGGTTTCCGCGACCGTCATATGAGTCTTTTCGAGACTTCAACATCCAGGGGAAGCCAAACTTCTTAGATGCCTCCTTCATGGAAGCAAGCATCGCATCACCGGACTCAATAGCAATCTGCTCGGTGATAGGAATACCTTGTTTGCCAAGGTACTCCTTCTGTTCATACTTGTTCTGGATTAATCTGAGCGTCTTCCACGACGGGTGGATGGCGACCTTCTTGGTGGCAGTAGTGCCGTCCGCAGCACGGACCTGCACACCCTGGCTGTCAATCTCCTCAAGCACCTCCGTGTCGATGTGCTCAATCTCCACCGTGAGCACATCGCAGTGCGAGGCCAGCTCCCTGATCTTGGCGGCGTCCTTGAAGGATCCCGTGCCGTGCTTCTTGTGGCTGTTGATCTGCTTGGCCGGCGCGTTCTCAGCGTCCAGGATGGCGATCTGGATGTCGAGCGGCGCGGCAGCTTCGCACAGCATGCGGCCGAGCTGACCGCCGCCGAGGAGGCCAACTACGGGAGCGCTGGGACTCATGCTAGGCGGTCTTGTGCGTGATGAGTTCGGTGTCTCACGATTAAGCCGATGAGACTAAGTCTGAACGTCTCAATGGCGGATGAGGTCCGATGAGACAGATATCATTGATCATAGCCTCCGCCCGGTTGATGCGATAGTGGGGAAAGATCCTAGATAATTTTTCTGCCGCTCCCGCCGACCGCGGGGACGCGGCGGGAGACCGGAACGGAAGGCGGTGAAGTGACAGTCCAATCAGCACCCTGAACCACCACCGATTTGGTCGAGTACTCTCTGGTTTCGATACTGTTACGTTGTTTTCAAAGATTAATCGAGAAGTATTAGATACTACTACAATACTGAATTGGGAAACTGTGTTTAAGGAATGAAGATGGAAAAGTCCAATTCAACTTTGAAGCATCCGATGCTGATGTACGTAAGCCGTCACATAGGAATTTAACATACCTTACGGACGTAGTTGGGTGTCGCTCAGACGTCGCTGTAAGTAAGACGTAGATACCCAAAGTACAAAGCCATGACATCGATTTGTCAGCGTACGAAACTCGTTCTTTAACACACTTGATTTGCATCACTAGCATGCACTCTTTGAACTAAGAGTCTTCAGTAATGCTTTACAATAATGAATTGATCTGCAAACGACTACTGGCGCATAGTCATGGCAGCATCGGGTAGTCTTAGCGGCCCCTGGCATCGGCTGCTTCTGGAGTTTCCGCGAGACTTCGAGCCTCGTGTGACATTTGCCAAAATATCAAAGTCAAATGTAGCCAAGACAAACCAGCGTGCACGCGCTGCGTTGAAAAGGGTCTTTCATGTATATACAGCCCCTTGAGACAAATGGGAAGACCAAAGAAAGTCACTGTTCCTGTCTCTACTGACCGATTGGACAAAGAGAGGATCGATGCGGTATCCGCCAGTACACTCATAGGTGGGCATGGAGAAGGTGGCATCGGGACATCAGGAGAGGTATTTGATGTGAGCCTTTTGTCGCAAAGTGCAGCATTATCAACCATACCAGCGACCAACTGCTATATCGATATCCTCAAACGAACCACAGCCTTCGAGGAGTCTTGGCCCTTCTTCTCAGCGCTTTTTTGGTAGGTGAATCTGCAATACCATCCGTTTCACTCTATTTTTCTAACAACACTTCTAGACTGCTCTGGATATTGTAAGTCGTATCTACCTCCCCTGTATATAATTATGTTCGAATTTATTCTTACTTTTGTCAAAGAACATCATAGCAACAGCCGTCCCACAGATCACAACCGAGTTCAACTCCCTCGCCGATGTAGGATGGTATGGATCCGCTTTCTTCCTGACAGTGGCCGCCACCCAATCTGTTTGGGGCAAGGCATATAAATACTTCTCTTTGCGCGCCGTTTTTCTGATCTCAATCTTGGTCTTCGAGGCTGGCAGTCTTATTTGTGCCTTGGCACCCAACAGTCCTGCGTTCATTGATGGGCGCGCCGTTCAAGGTGCTGGTGGTTCCGGTTCATCCCTCGGCAGCTACGCCATCGCTTCTTTTATAGTGCCACCAGAGACGGTGCCTGTAATCATCGGCTTGGTGGAGAGCACCTTCAGTATCTCCAGCGTCATTGGCCCGCTTGTAGGAGGCGTCTTCACGCAATCTTCGACCTGGCGATGGTGCTTTTATATCAATCTACCGATTGGCGGTATCACCATGGCAGCTATATTCATCTTCTTCCGGACGCCGGCTCATGCCAAATTACCCGTTAAAACACCGCTTAGAGAGATACTGCTTTCTTTTGATATCCTAGGCCTCGTACTATTTGTGGCAGGCTTACTTTGTTACTTTCTTGCGCTGCAATGGGCAGGTATCAGCGAGTCTTGGAAATCGGCAACAGTCATTGGTCTATTGGTGGGCTGGATTCTTCTGACAACATCGTTTGCGTTGAACGAGTGGTATCAAAAGGACAGGGCATTGGTAATATTTCGAATAGTGCGATTCCGGGGAATCGGCACTGTCTGTGCTGTTATTTTCTTGTAAGTCTCTATGTCCATCGGCCGTCATCGCCACTGACGCGAGAAACCAGTCTATATGGTGCGTATTTCGGTTTGGTCTACAATGTCCCCATATATTTTCAAGCAATCAATGGGTTATCACCAATGGACAGTGGAATACGGACTATTCCCCTAATCCTGGCAACCTGTAAGCTATCCTACTTCTGACCTCAAATTCCTTGATCTCCATTCGCACTCAATAAAAACGACCAACTGCCAAGACTTGGCCAGCTGTTGCTTCTTTGGTATCGTCCGTTGCCATAGGCAAACTTGGCATTTTTCCAGCCTTTCCTCATCGCCGGTACGATTATTGCGACAGTCGGCGCTGGACTCATGTACACATTTGGCCTCCATACTAGCTTGGGAGTTGTGATAGGATATCAGATCCTGTTTGGGATTGGTGTTGGCCTTGTCATTCAGGTACCAGTTATCGTTGCAGGTGCTCTGAGTGCCTTGGAAGACAAGTCGGTGGCTTTGTCAACTGTGTGTGGTGAGTATATTCGTCTTGACGGTACGAGCCGCGACATCTGATACTGACACGATACCGTCCTCGAAGTCACCCAGTTCTACTCAGCTGCTTTGATCATCGCGGCCACGGATTCCATCATGAACAACTTGCTGCTCAAACGACTACCTCCATACGCGCCCGGCGTTAACCCTCATAAAGTACTCATCGTTGGCGCTGGCGGAATTCAAGATGCATTTAGTGGAAACACCTTGAGAGGCGTGAGACTCGCTTTTGTTAATGGGTTGCGTGGGGCCTGGGCTCTTGGCCTTGCACTTTTTGCAATCTCGTGCCTATGTGCCTTCATTGCCAAGTGGCCTGGTAGAATGATGGACGTTGAGAAACAGGAAAAAGGAGAAAGTGCCTGAAAGTGAAGGTATTAATGGGCCTTGGCTGTGATGTGTTACCCGACACAACTGCCTTGGTCGGGTATTGGGTAGTACCTCGCAGGATGTGATTTCCAAATACTTAGATCACGATATTCGGCCAGGGTCTTCGATTCGGGGATACCTAGACTTTCCTTAAGAAATAGGTGCATTTAGTACGAGTTGTTCAGACTCAGTTTGTTGGAGGGCTGTTGGACTTTTTTAAACACTTCGGCTCGATGATTATTTCACAGTATCGCCTATGTCTTTCATTAAATACTAGAAAAGGCAATATTGTACATTTAATCTGTTAATCTGATAGCCCATGAAGCCATATCGCTCTCACTCGGATGCTGCGAGCTCTCGTACCTCAAGATTCCGGTACCTTGCCACTAGAGGGGCCATTTGACGAAAACCAATGCAGCCCCCACCGACGACAGGTCCAGTGGTACCATCGTCTGTCCAAGAAAAGAGTGGTAGGTCGTCGATGCTGAAGCTCACTTTGGGGCCATCCTTTACCAGCTCAATGCGGTAGAAAGCACCACGAGCATCCACGACAGGGGGAAGCGGATCAGCTCCCTGAGCAACCAGATGAAAGCCCGGAGACTTGCGCAGATTGCAGGTGTGAAACGCCCGCTCACCTTCCCAGCGGCGTCGGAAATAGGACACATGGAGTGTTCGTATATCGCTGGAGTGATACTGCGGGTATGCGCCAGTTCGCGGTTTGAGGCGCTCGTCGAAGATGCCGCCTCCATTGACGGATGCCGCTCCAAAGAAGAGCATCGCAAGTCCTGGCTCACCAATAGGTGAGAACTCCCAGGTTACGCGTATGCGGTCCCCAAAAGTCTCGGGGCACCAAAAGGTGAAGTGGTCATTTTCTCCTCCGGAGGATGCAAGCTCCACTGCATCTTCAGCGCTGGAGGCTTGGACAGGCCCCTCGGCGATCCAGTCAGCGACGGCAGAGGCCGAAGACAGCGGGTTGCTATATAACAACTTCTCTGTCATGGCTGCGTTGCTATCTTTTCACCCGTGTTATCGGCACTGTCGGCGAACTCGGTTCAGCCTTTCGCCGTCGTTTTGTCGATGTCGTCGTCTACCACTGTCAGACCATATGACGCTGCTTGGAGAGAAATGACTTGTTTACTGCTCATTTAGTGGCTTCAACTTGATCACATCATTGCACGTGCTCAGTCGGGTCCTTCCGATCCTGGTATACGCCAACTGGTATTAGTGGGGATTAAAAGAGCATTTGACACGGCTCTCAAGCTTTGCCTTCGTTATTGAATGGCTCTATACAATGTTTTCGTAGTGATCTAACATATCTAAATGACTTCCATTCTGGAATAGCAGTGAAAGGTCTACTGTACCTAGATTTCCAAGAAGATTGAAGCCGCACCTAGCGTTTCTATAGCTACTATTTCGTGCTTTTGCGGCGAAATTGCTCATGTTCTGGCTTGCGCCTAGGTAGCCTCGTGAATACTAGTTTGACCCATTTGCCGAGCTCCCGACCAAGCGCGCCGCTGCTCAAGCGCGATTCGGTCGTCCGTGATAGGTAATACCGGCGGTCAATCCGGAGTCAACCGGTCATGATGAAGAATTGTTCTTGTTTGGTGATCTTAGTATGAACCTAGACCCTTTCGATTAGCAGCATGCTTCCGAGAAGCAAGGAGCTTTCTATGTTTTGAGTGGTGCAAGGGTGTGACATTTCTTGTAACAGCATATGTATTGGGAAACTTTTATATTCTATATTGGAGCGACCTGTTTTTGTCGTGGCAGCTGATGCATTTGACCTGTTCACTGTGCATGTAATCCGTTTCCATGAAATTAAGCTGCTATCTGTGCCTACTGTCTTAACTAGATAGGAGCCGAATGATATTTAGGTCGATATTGATGCGAAATGGATATACAGACAAGTCATCGAACTAGATTTCCTTATTGCCACACCACCGAAGAGCATTGTTGATAAATGGACTGTTGTGCACGAATAAAAGGAGCTACGATGAAGATTAGTCCCGATTCGTTAACATAAGTGTCCACCTCGTTACTTACTCTCTTGCCATAAACGTAAAGAGTCAACCCTCATATACATCCAATACCATGGATCATTCCAATGATAAAAACACTGTGACCAGACCCGACTTAGCGAGCCACTGATTGACAAAGTATCCGACGACGAATGTCAAGACCCCCTTGCATAGTGTCACAACAGCATAACCGTTTTGAGCGTATATTCGAGGACAGTCCAGTAGGTAAGCGTTCGAGATCAGGGAAAGGACTTGACCTGAGAAAGCGGAAAGACCGAAAAACAAGACTGGTGCAAACCAGTGGATTCGATGGTAAATCGCCAACCCGAAACCCCAATAGCTAGTGAGTCCAGTGATCAAGGCAGGAATGCATAGCAGATTGCGAAATTAAGGCTCATAGACTCCATTTTTCTTCTGGATAGCGTAACCACGATCCAATCGGCAACCGGTCCAGGTATAAGGTTGCCTAGAATGTCGCCAACGAACGGTGACAGCATAGCAAGACCGACGGTGCTAGTCGTGAAGTTGTAAGGAGCTGCAGTAAAGAACGAAAACCTCCTGGATCGATATGTGCAAGGATTCGAGGCACCTGTGGATGAAGACGAAATTGTGTGATCTAGACTAAGCTAAGCATCGTCAGAAAAGCTAACACCATGCATGAAATTTATGCCTCTTCCTCGTCATGATGACGCCCATCTGCTGGACATGGTATCGTAGGTACTGTCCCCAATTTCTTGCCGAGTGGTTCAGTAGAAGTCTCACCAATCTCGAGTCTCTCAATACCTTCAGACAACGAGCTTCGGTGAGTCTTAGATGGTGAAAGAGAACGTCGAATACGTCTACCAATAGACTTGAGCCACTGACGTCCTGACCGCCGAACGTCTGGGGCCGCCAAAGCTTTGTCGAGGTAGAACTGACGTACGCTTGCAACAAAGTTACAGTATGCCTCTACAGCCTTTGCTGCCTCATTCCAAGTAGTGAAAGAATCGGCAATAGCACATCTTATGTACATGAGGGGACGATAGAATGGAGGGCCTTGATCATTAGCTGGACTAATGCTTGCGCCGCCACCTATCAAGGCGTTCCACACCTGGCTGACTCGTTCGTTCCACTCCTTGTAGCCGGGTTGCTGCCTTTTTGCCAAGTAATATTCGTCTCTATGCCACATAATGCAGATCTCATCATTAGGGCGACGTAGGCCGTAGTCGTCAACAAATCTATCAACCAATAGGCAAGTGTCCCATCTGAAATAGATGATATTGGCGATCTCATATGGCGATGGAGCTTCAGGTCCGTCATGTAGATATTGGAAAAGTTGACCAGCAACGCCAACATCGAAACCCCTATTCCAATCCCCTGGACAAAGCTCAGAGAACAGCTGTGCCATGCCACGTACTCTCCAATGTACCATCATACTTGTCATATGATCGATACAGGCCTCAGTTGCATCAGGACTGCCGGTTAAATGCTCAGCAGACTCTTCTTGGTTGACGGCGGCACCAGGCGGGGCAGAATAGATATCAAGCCTTTCCCAACGCTCCTTGAAATAAGCCAATGGCATTCCAGATCTTCTAGTCCATGAATATTCCCACTGGTCATCTTGAGCACTGAATGAAAAGTCATTTCCCATAATGTCTGATATTCCCTGAACACCGAGAACCCTCGTGATAGTACAGCAGAACTGGTTATAAGTCTCTGTCTGTACATTGGTGGCATTGATAGGTTGAAGATTTTCGTCAGCTTGTTTTCTTTGTTGTGCCGCAATTAATGGCGTCGTTTCATCTGAAATGGCAGTGATCGTGGCCCCAGCAAACACGCTACCACAAGCTCTTCCCATGCTGGCAGATAAACCCCGGGCTAATGACTCGTCATCTGGAGTAGCAGCAGTCATAGCTGTGAGATTTAGGTCAGGGGTAACAGCCCAACCTCCAGAGAAACAAGCAGTCGTGAAGAGAGTTACGGCAACTCCTGGCTCAAGAGCCTCTTTCAGCCGCACAATACTGAGGCCTTTATGCTGACAGCCATTGTCAAGGAGTAAATGATGGTTTTGGATGCCATGACAGAACACCATAATAAGAAGAGGACAGTTGCTACGCTTAGCGCGGGAAGATGCTGCTCTAATCTCGTTGAGAAATCGATCGATCATTTCGGTTGCCTGAATAAGTGTAACGGGGGTGATCTCGGATCTTGCCAGAAGGTCATGGCTGAGGACGACCTTACGATCATCTTTGGAAGAACCAAAAAGATAATCACCCCAGCGAGATAGCAATTTGACTGGTTCGGCAGCTGTCAGCCAAGTCTGGTCTACAACAGCGCCTCTGAGCAGGTAGTTGAAGGCATAAAAGTCCGAAAGAAACCACCCATCTTTTGTCTGATCACCAGATTGGAGCGTAGGAGATGCCGCGGCTACCACGATTGTATTGTCATGTATTACTGGAACCGTGTGGGTGATGAAGGTCGCCGGATGTGTAGAGAAGCCTTTGTGCGTACCCCCTGCGACCAATTTGCTTCGTTCTGCCATCCTGAATGAAGCGCCTAGTCTAACGGTATACAGACACGACGTAGGTACAGACTTGATCCTATGCTTTAGCAACTATGATATCTGTACGTACGACGTAATTACAGATGCCGGAGTAAGTTATGCGTGAGAATATCATTAATCTGAAGTGACGTGACGATGTCTGTGGGGTTATATTTTGGAAAAGCAAAAAGAAGCGAACGAAGGGAGACGATGGGAACTGCCCTGAGTTAAGTACTTGTTGCGAGGCAACACTGCGAAGGGTTTGTGAAATTTCTGTCGACTTTGAACCTGATACACGCAAACCTGGTTCGATATGACTCTTCGGCGTCAAAGTTTGGTTCTGAAGAGTGACAGACTTTGGAAGCTCCCGTCTCTAGACACGACTTATCATCACGTGACGTATGCTAGCCTACATCCCCCATCACTCCCTCATACATAGTGCTAGTAGATCATCAAGAATACAACACACTACTCCCGAATGGCTAAAAGCGAGACTATTAAAATTCGACGCTTAGAGTCGACTCAAGCTCTTCACACTTGTGACGGACCATAGAGCGCGTACTGAAATATGCTGTAAGTCCTTAGGCAAAATACGCGAAAGTGATGTATTAAGGCTAAGCTAAAGAGAGTATAATCTCCATAGACTAATTATAGCTATACAAGGTTGGTTTTAAATAATAACTAATCTACCTACTAATATATAAAGGTCTTGTTAGAAAGTAAGACTATAAATAATAAACCTAAATAGATCAAATATATTCTTAAAATATTAATATATTTATAAAATATAATATAACGTACTTATATACAAGCGCCACAATATAACGAACATTATACTATTCATACATTATATCACCTTTATATAAGTTATTTCAATTATAATAACTTAAATCAATTAAAACTACTTAAAATCTTTATCTTTAGATATTTTTATATTTAATTAATATATTTATATATTATAGCTAGACTTTTTATAATTATTATAATATTAAATATATCGTTAGTCTCCTTTTATATAATCTTTTTTTATATTTATATTTATATTATCTTTAGTTATAAGATTTCTTTCTTTTTATATCTACTTTATCTTTTATTATAATAATAATTCTTTTTATTAAAGATATATTTTTTTTACTTTCTAACGTTTACTTAATACTTTATTTACTATCTAAAGGTTTTAGATCTTTTATTTTATTAAGGCAATTTTATATATAATCTTCTTTATATTTTATATAAAAATATTAATTTTATTATAAATATATATTAGAAAGTTATTCTAATAATAAAAAATCTTATTTTTAATTAAAATTGTCTAAAAAGTTATTTTAATTAGATTATTTAATATTTATTTAACTTAAATAAAAATAGTATTAAGTTATAAGCTGAAGGAGTTACTGAGTTGGTGATAGTCCCAAGGAGAATGCAAGGTCCGCTTCGATTGAGCTACCTTTAACCGTTCAAGTTAACTCCTCAATCACATTTATGGGGTTATCTATCACCCCTTCATGATCTTTGTACGGGATTGTTTTGAATGCCTGATAGATATCATTTTCAATTTGAAGGCAGCGGTATTTGACACAACAGTGGCAAATACAAGATTACAATTCTTTTGGGCCCCCTCTAGGTTAGGAATGGCGAATGTACTGAAACAGCAGTTGATAACAACATAGTGCACGAAGCCATAGCCTCCTAAACCTTCTATTCTGTCTTGCTCGTCGTCTCCTCGACCGTTTGTCTCTCGACCCCGAGCTTCTTCTCCGCATTACTCGCTGCATTATCCACGAGTTTGTTTCTGTAATCGTCGCCGTCTAGCACGGCCGCTGTCTCTTCCAAGCTCAACGAACCAGTTTCCACAAATAGGAAGTAGACCACCACTACCTCAAACGCCAGCCACACATCATACATGATATAATACTTCCATCCGCTATTCGTGACCCCGATGGGATTGACATATTGGTTGAAAATCAGTGCCAGAGCGACGAAGAAGTTGTAGAGCACAAGACCGCGAGCACGGAGATTGAACGGAAGGATCTCAATGACATAGGTGACCTGCAGCGGTGTCCAACCGAGACTGAAAGTGAAGTTGTACAAGAAGATCATGGCAAGCACGCCTTTAGCGTACCCATCACCTCCTGTACCATCAAGGTCTGTCTGCTTCTCATAAGTTGCTTCAAGGGCGGTCCACACGATGTAAACAACCATACAACCGATGGTAGAGGCTAGGAACATGGTGCGTCTGCCGAAACGGTTGATGATCGAAGAGAAGAAAAGACTCCAGATCATTCCCCAGACGGTAAGAAGAGCATTGATAAGAGTCTGCGTGTTCTCAGATGTATATCCAATGGAGTTCAGAATCAGCGTTAGGTAATAACTTATGAGCCCGTTTCCACTCCACTGCGAAAAGAAGCCAACAGCGAGAATGATGAAAAAACGGCGGCGGTTGCCCTTGGTCTGGAAGAATGACAAGTAAGAAGTGGTCCGATTGTATTCGGCTTCCAAACGGAGGGCAACACTAATTTCTTCCATCTCTAGAGCAATCATAGGGTCTGATTCATTACCGTTGGCGTGATATTTAGTGATGAGCTTCTTGGCATCGTCGTAGCGTTCCTTTGATATCAGCCAACGCGGCGACTCTTCAACAAGGAAGCAGAGACCAATCTGGACAATACTGGATAGGCCCTGGAGTAAGGAGGGAATTCGCCACGCCCATGTGTTACCGATTCGGAAAGTTCCAAATGTAATCCAGGCCGCACTCAGGGCTCCTAGGTTCCATAGACTGTTGTAAATTGCAACCATAGGACCTTGTTGTTTTGGATATGCCAATTCCAGGAGCAGCAAGGGCGCGGCAGTGATGTTAAGCGCAAGGCCGAGACCGAGAATTCCACGAGCCGCGATAAACATGCCGACATTCTGTGCTGCAGCTTGTAATGCCACACCGATGAGCAGGATAAAGGCACTGAATATTAGGGCGGGCCGGCGACCAAATCTGTCACAAATGATTGCACAGAATGGCAGAGCGACGAGTTGGCCAACATTCTGAATGGCATTCAGACTGCAACTTGAGTCAGAGAGACAGGAGAGCGCGTGACGGAGTGGGAAAAGCTTACAGTCCAAGTTCAGAGGCGCCGGGGTAGTTGAAGGACTCTTTCCAGCTGTCCAGGGACTGGAGTCCATTCATCATAGAACCGTCATAGCCAGTGGCATAGCTGGAGATTTGGAACAGAAGCAGCATCAGATTGAGCTTGACGATGCCGGCGTTCGACAACCAGGAGAAGCCACGGGCCTGGTCTCCCAGGGCACCCACTGCGACGGGCACCTCAGATGGAGGGGATACCATTTTGTTTGATGGGAAAAGTATCAGAGTGTCTTTACCTAAGCTGATTGACAATCTGCGTTACTACGTCGATGGCATCTCGCGATGGGGCAGATACCCCAGCATTTCAACAAAGTTGGGGTCCTTCAGACACGATCGGAGCCGAGGCCATCGTTATCGCGCCCACACCACATTTCCGGTCAATCGACCGGGTTTGCCGACTTTATCTCTTAGGCGCGTGGGCCGGCGAAGCCTGCCGGAGTCGTACGACCCCTAATAGCGGATTTTGGAGATAGGCGTTCTAGTAGGTGGGGACCCCATATCTAGTAAGACATGAATCGCTGATAGCCGTGGGGAAGGACGAGCAGAAATCAGAGCACCGGACGATAGTTACTAAACCCTGGATTTATTGATACGCAGTAAATAAGTAGACTCGGCATTGAACGAAAAGCTAACTAGTTCTGCGGTTGCACACAAGAGAAAGGGCCTATGCAGTGTAGCTATATTAGCAAAGTGTGCAATGTTGAACATCGTGATTCTACCACGACAATGTAATCCCTAAACTGAACAATAGTGGTCGAACGCCCCTTTTGTGATTTAATAGCATATGCGTGACACTCCAAGCCAGAATATTCTGCTGTAACTCGTACTACGAATCCTAGGCTTCAACCAAGTATCTTGTTTGGCGCTTATTCTAGTGGAACGATGCTGTTACCTGAGCTATCGGCACAGTTGCCGGTGTTCACCGAACATGCTTCGTGACAAGCTGTTCGTCACCAGCTAATTTACTACGAAAGAGTCTCGGCGAGCAAGCCATCCAAGTCAGGGATATCTGAAGCCTGGTACAGACAGATACCTTCCATCGTGAGCTCACTTACATGTGGCGTTTAATGGCTAACACGCATCGCTTGACTGACTGGAGAGATTGTACAACAGCATTTAGGAGCCTTTCATTTGCCGTTACTATCCTTTTGAGTCCATCTAATCATCGCCATGACATCCCTCACTGTTATTGATAACAATGAGCAGCCGGAGATTATTATTAATCCGCGTTGCACATTGTCTGCCATTGATCCAATGATTTATGGCGGATTCACAGAGTAAGGTTAAAACTGCATTGCTGTTTGTTATTCTGAGAGTACTCTGTGCTTACAGGAATACAATTACTGATCAAACACCGTCTCCATAGGCACATGGGCAGATGCATTTACGGTGGCATTTACGACCCTGGAAACACTCATGGGCTTGCAGATGAGAACGGATTTCGCACAGACGTCGTTGAGGCCATGAAGGAACTCCAGGTACCAGTTGTTCGCTGGCCTGGAGGCAATTTTGTGGCCACTTATCACTGGCAGGACGGCATTGGGCCAAAGGATAGACGGCCGAAGCGCCCTGAACTTGCGTGGCTAGGCCATGAAACCAACCAATTTGGCACTGACGAATTTATGAAGTGGTGTCAAGTTGTTGGCACCGAGCCTTACATCGCTTTGAATTTTGGCACCGGCACTCTGGATGAAGGTGAGTTTTTCTTCTCCTGGAGACATGTGTCTCGGTGATTTATTAACTCTCGACCTCGACGCAAAGCTCTCGTTTGGGTGGAGTATTGCAACTCTAACGACGATACATTTTATGCAAATTTGAGGCGTGCAAACGGTCATGAGAAACCTTACGGAGTCAAGTACTGGGCCCTAGGGAACGAGGTTTGGGGTCCATGGTAAAATTCCTATCCTTCACGGCAGCTTTTGTACTCGAATATTGATAGTTGTCAGGCAGGTTGAGCAGATGACCAAAGAGGATTACGCAAAGAAGGCGATGCAATGGGCAAAGGGCTAGTGACACCTTGTGATGATGGAAGTCCTTGTTTTTGATGTGCTGACTTGTCAATCCACATAGCTCTGAAGATGTTAGATCCTTCTATCATTCTTATTCTTTGCGGAAAGGACGGCTATAGCGATTGGGACCGTTTCGTTCTACAAGAATGTATTACAATTACAGATATGCATTCCATTCATCTCTATACATCAGACAAAGAGTAAGTCATAAGTTCTTTTGCTTCATCTCAGGAATAAATCTTTATTAAGCCATGACAGGCATCTTCCCAATGTGACAGCGCCACTAGCTGCTGAGCGTGCCATCCAACTCACAGCATCGCTCATTGATCTTGCTCGTATAGAGCCGAACACCTCCGCCTGGCCTGCTGAGACCACACAATTTCCCAAAACAGAGAAGCGACCAAGAATCTGCTTCGACGAATGGAATGTTTGGGACTCATTCCGCTCCCCTGGTGACAAGGGCGCCGAAGAAACATATAATATATCCGATGCGTTGGCGGTCGCAGTCTGGTTGAATGTGTTCATTCGACAAAGTGAGTATCTCGGCATGTGCAATATTGCTCAAAGTGTCAATGTCATATCTCCACTCATGACGAGCGAGTCGGGTATCACGAAGCAGACGACATACTGGCCTTTGCTTCTCTTCACAAAATATATGAGAGGAAAAACGCTCGCTGTGAACTTGCGGTGTCCGGTGTGGAAAGGCGACCGAACAAATCCTGAGTGGGTTAAAAGCACTGTCAAGACGCCTTGGCTTGATGTTGCCGCTACCCTAGACGATAAAGGGTGGGTGAATCTTTCTGTGGTTAATATCTCTGATAAAGAAGATTTCGAAACCATGATTTCAGGAGTCACTGGAAATACAGAAATTTACACAGTGGGAGCAGACAGCGTAGACATTCGTGAATCAAACATGAATGGTGGAAAGATTGAGATCAAGCAGTCAAGTTGGGATGGACAAGGCTTGTTCACGTTTGCTAAACATTCAGTCACTATTCTTAGATGGAAACCCTAGATAGCTCCTAATAGCACGAGACTTTGTCAGAGGCATTAATGGAATGCAAGAGCACTCATATCTACCCAACTGATATGGTGACGGCGTGTCATCTACAGCATTCCACTTGGGCGAGAAATGACGAATTGCACTAATCCGAAAGAGAAAAGCAATGAACTAAAAGTGATTGTTTTCGCTCTAGCATGGCGAACCCTCCGGCACGCGCCCCGGTCATGGCCGGGTACAGCAGTGGTGGTGTCAGGCCCGGCATTCTTCGCCGAAGTGACCCATGACATGGTTCAGACGTCCTCAAGTGTAGCTACCATAAGAGACTACCCGGGTTCTGGTCGAGCATTGACGTAGGGTTTAGATATCTCTTCAGACTACTGGTATACTTCTTGCAACAGGACCGAGAAAGACATCAACAAACACACCCCAGAAGATTGCATCTGACCTAAGATCATAATGAGGCTGATCATTCGCGATGACGCCCAGGCAGCGGCATCATATATTGCAGACTATATAATAGGCAAATCACTCCAAGTCCTGTGGTCTTTTCTCCGAGTCTAACGACCATCCCAGACCGGATCAATGCTGCTGCTCCAACACCATCAAACCTTTCGTACTGGGCCTTCCTACAGGGAGTAGCCCGGTCCCAATCTATCGAGCTCTTGTCGCAGCCTATAGAGCAAACCAGATCTCTTTCCGCTATGTCATCACATTCAACATGGACGAATATGTCGGTCTCCCGCGAGATCACCCTGAGAGCTATCACTCCTTCATGTTTAGCAATTTCTTCTCCCATGTCGATATACAGCCAGAGAACATAAATATTCTTGATGGGAATGCACCGGATTTGGAGGCCGAGTGTGCTGAATATGAGGCAAAGATCAAAGCGGTGGGAGGCATTGATCTATTCCTTGGCGGAGTGGGTAGTGATAGTCATATTGCCTTCAACGAACCCGGGTCAAGCCTCGCTAGCCGTACTAGGGTAAAAACGCTCGCCTATGACACAATCGTCGCAAATGCACGATTCTTTGGAGGGGATATCGACGCGGTACCGACAATGGCTCTCACCGTCGGGGTGCAGACCATCCTGGACGCCAAGGAAGTGGTCATTGTTGCAACTGGCATGACAAAGGCTCTTGCAATCAAGAGAGCTGTAGAAGAGGGCATAAGTCATACTTGCACCCTATCCTGCCTTCAAATGCATCCGCACAGCATGATTGTTGTCGATGAAGACGCAACACTCGAGCTGCAAGTTAAGACCGTCAGGGCACGTATAATCGACCTGTTACTCGTACGTTCGTTCAGCTGACACAGTCTTAGTACTTCAAGAGTATCCAGGCAGTTGCCAAGAAGAATTTGGGACCTCGTGTTCTCTCGCGGTTAAGGACAACTTCACTGACGAAGCCACCTCGGACGCCTCGCCACTCTCAATATGCTCTCGAGAATGATGTGCTCGAGGATGGAGAATTAACACCAGATAGCATGTCATCTCGAATGACGCCACTGAGGTGACGTCTATGAAGTGAGGTTTGGAGAACCTTTTCCATAAAACTTAGTCGTAGCGCAGAGCGCCTTCGACCTACAGATCACATCGATTGCAATTCTGGAGTTCCTGTCCATTCAGGGTACATGACCTGCTCCAGGCTGGCCTGGTTGAATATTTGCCATGAATAGTCTAGGTCTTGGTTCATCGTAGCCAGATTCATAGGATCGTTGAGAGCCGTAGGGCTGGGGGTTTGGATTCCCTGAAGGCTCTGTTCCAGGCGGCTTGCAAGTTTCTCCCGAAGACTAGGCTTTGGTTCATTGGTTTGTCTTAGCATATCTAAGTGAATGCGAATATTTCTGAGGTCTTAAGAATAGTCAGTTTCAAATCACCAATAACTCAGTTGTACTGACCATCTGGATCCCCTGCTCCGCCTTCGATTCCTTGCAAGACGATGAGTGCGGCCCAAGTGATAATCACCAGATCCCAATTGGCCCAGATTAGCTTATCGTTCAAATGCAATTTGAGAGTAGCACGAGCAGATAAAAGTAATTCATGTTGTTCTTGCGGTGTAATGCTACTCGAATGCAGGTTGAACCCCCGAGCCGGGTGGTAAATTGACAGAACCACAAGTCGATGGAGAATGTACTGGCGGAATACTGAGGTGCGTTGCTGATCTGAGTAGTCACTAGCTTTGCTGAATTGCACGAGCCAGTCGTCCAGTTGTCTAGCCCAATCACGGATCACGGCTGCATCAACCGATGTGAATGGGTACGATGAGGGATTGGTATTTGCTGGTGGATTACTCGCGAAACAGGACCAGATGGTCGGCAGCCCACGTCCTGAAAAGTGGGCTAGTCCAGCGTGCATCATTCTAGAGAGGCGATAGAGCTGATCCCGCTGCGACAACTGAAGCGATGGTAGTGGCGGCTCGAGGGGAACAGCGGGAGACAGCATATGAAGAGACGCATGCTCTAGATCAACGATCTGTACACCTTTGAAGAGCTGGCGCCAGTCACGATACTTCTCATCAATGTGCGGCGGACAGTACTCAACCATTATGCGGTAGGCAATTGCAATCCATATACCCGTCTCACGGATATTTGCCTCAGATAGCAGTCCAGCCAGCACAAGACCTAGGACAGTCTGGAAAGCCCATTCCTCAGCAGCATTGGGATCCTCTGGTGGACGTGCGATCTCGCTATTGGGTATGCTAAGCTGGGCAATAGCATTGCAGAGAATGTTGAAGTACTGCGGCGCCAGATCAGCCTGTTCAGGGGCTCCACGTGCACTCGAGCAGTACAGAATAGACGCGAGGAGAAGCGGATGCGGAGAGGAGAACTGCAATCTTTTCGGCAGGAAGTGGAAACCAGGAATATTGTCGTTGAATCTGTGAGTGTATTAGCATCAAAACTCAGTTTGCATTCAGATCTGTCATACGCCTGCCAGAGATGCTTGATGGTGCTCCTCTTCCAAAGTTGTGCATTCGTAGGACTAGGGATATTCTTCTCAAGCCGTGCCGCAGCATCCCAGAGGGCACTCATTGAATCGTCTTCTTCCAGTGTTTCTCCGCCATCGCCAACATCAATGTCTTCTTCTTGGGCTACACGTCTAGATAGACCGAGATGGTCTTCTATGAACTTAACTCTCTCGAGCAGGTCCCTGGTGACATCTGAAGGTGCAAAATCGGTGAATGGCATTGAGCCGGACAGCATGACAGCGCATCCATTGGCTCGTGGCACAAAGATGCACGGCAGCCCAGCCCGCCTGCATCGCCGACATGTTTTGCCGTCGTCGATCCTGCACTTCATCTTTTGCCTCCGGCAATTGACTATGACACGAAATGAGTGCTGCGTTCCCTGGAATTGCACATCACAAGAGTTTGACTTACTGCAAGCTTGGCGGGCTTTAGGCTCAGAAGACTCCTCCATCGTCACTTGCGGCTCTTTGCTCAACGCCTAGGACGATATTCGCGGCTTCAATTGGCATGAGCAAGATCATTGAAGTCCTACAGCAGTGGACGAAGGTGATCTTCGTTATCTGCAAGCCGAGATGCACTAAGTTTTAGGCCTACAGTGAGCTGTGCAAGCCTCGAGCGAGAGAATGCGGGGAGTGCCGTGCCACGACGCCTCCTACTCGTGGAATTCTACGGTTGGATAGGCTCCTATACTCGTGGAGATCTATTGCATGGGTCAGTCTACCGTGCATATAATGTGATGCGTGATTCTAGACTAGGAAATGATTGCTCAACGGCAGCTGGCATGTAGCCATTCCAGGTGAAGAGAAGTCAAAGCCCTCAGTCCTGTGCACTGCGAATAGCGCACAAAAGCGCCAGCAACTCCGATGCGCTCCCCGAGAATCAGAACACTCTCATCACATGTCTTGTAGTGGAGCCCATAACATGAATCTCCTACATGACTAATGTTGCTAGTAATAATATAGACTGCTTTACGGGTTTCGGTGTCCAGGTAACTGGACTAAGCCGCTCTTATCTGCTGAGTGTTGAGAGAAGAAGCCCACCGGCCCCACAACCACCGGCCACTACCGGCAGGATCACCGGAGCGTGTCCTCCCCAGTGTAGATGCAATCATTCGCTTCATATCCCGGGCTTCACCGGCTCTGCATTGTCTCGTGCATGTCACTGCGACGCTGTGCATGTGCTACGAAACCGGGCTGGACTTATCTTTCTCATCTTCCCAACATGGATGAATCTACAAGCCAAAGAGCTAGCGTCTTCCCGTTTGCCCCACGCCGCCGCCATCTCTTTGGCCATGTTGCAAGCCACTCGTGGGTTGCTTGTCCAGGCTGAGAGCATTGCCCGACAGTTTGAGTACAGAGCTGAAGATGTTGCAAATACTACCAATTACTTTGTCGAGCAGATAAGTATGTTGAAGCGCAACACAACTCAATAGACTTGAAGGCAACTGACATGACTTGTAGGGAGTGGATTGAAGCGTAATGGCGCCATTCAAATACCATCATTTGTCACTAAAGTCCCCAATGGGTCGGAAAAGGGCGTCTTCCTCGCTGTCGACCTGGGTGGAACGAATTGCAGAATATGCTCGGTCGACCTGCATGGAGATTCAACCTACACGCTCGTGCAGTCAAAACATGCCATTCCCCAAGATGTCATGGTCAACTCCAGCCACAAGCCCCTTTTCACCTTTATTGCCCAAAAGATCGGCGCCTTTCTCAATGAGCATCCCGTACCAAAGATTGACTCTGAGACTGAGGGACTAGAAAAGTCTCCAAAGAGTAATGATCGTCGGAGATTGGGTTTCACTTTCAGCTTCACCTACTCGAACAACTCTCTTTCGAGTGGGACTATGCTACAGTGGGACAAAGGTTGGGACATCCCGGACGCGATAGGGAAAGATCCTTGCAAAATGCTCCAGGATGCCATCGATGAGCTGGACCTGCCAGTCTTTGTCTCTGCCCTTACCAACGACAGCGTGGGCACTCTCATGGCAAGAGCATATACTTCACCATGGAGGTCGGCGACACTAGTTGGTGCCATCTTTGGAACGGGGACAAACGCCGCGTACATCGAGCGTCTAGAGAATATCGAAGCATCACAGTATCGAGACGTTCCTATCAATCAGGGCGGAGACCGCCACATGGTTATCAATACGGAATGGGGAGCATGGTCGGACCGCGATACGACATCACTACCGACAACTCCATACGACGAGCAGCTAGACGCGGTGTCTTCAAATCCTAAAATCCAGCTTCTAGAAAAGCGAGTGTCCGGCCTCTATTTAGGAGAGCTAGCACGCCTAGTCATCCTCCAATTGGCGGAAGACAAGGTTCTCGATATGTCTCTCGAGAGAGACTCGCCTCTGATGAAACCGTATGGCATCAACAGCTCCTTCCTCACTTTGGTCGCTGAAGAAAGCAACACGAGTCTAGAGAGCCTAAGCCTACGGGTAGCAAATGCCTTGCGAGTGCGCAACGTGTCGTCGGGGGATATCCAGGCGATCCAACTAATTACCACAGCCATTGTGCGTAGGGCAGCACGTTTGGCTGGTGCTGCTTTGGCAGCCATCATTATTCAATCTGGCCGACTAGGCAGTACCACATCGATGCTCAAAGCAAACAAAAGCGCTGTCACGGACAACCAGGTTCTCAGTCCTGGACCTCGGATGTCCAGCTTTTCTATGATTCTAATACGCATGAGGTATTTCGTACGTAGCATACTATTTCACATGGGGCTCTTCCAGAGCAGCTTGAAGACAACAGTCCCCAAAGACCGTGCCCTGCCTATAGCAGAAGAGGACATCATCGATATAGGCATAGACGGACTTCTCTTCGAGGCATACCCGACATTCGAAAAGGACCTTCGAGGAGCGTTGCAAGATGTACCGCAAATCGGAATACAAGGAGAGAGGAGGATTACGATAGGGTTAGCAAAGGACGGCTCAGGTGTTGGTGCCGCTCTCGTAGCTCAATCAATATGAAATCCGCACCATTTGATCAGAGACTTACTTTTTTGCTCTCATCTCGATCCTCGGTGACAAATTGGTAGATTCTGGCTTTATTTTGTTTTCGCGGTTCAGCAGTATCATCACCCATCATGAACATGAATCAAAACATTTCAATTGACTTATACTCCAACTGAATTAATTGATAGGATTCTAAATCTCGGCGATAGATATCTTCCATGATCCATTGTTGCTCTGATTCTTTGCCACATATCAGAGCTTGTTAACAAATATAATCGAACTCAAATGACACTTTAGGCACTCCCTCGAATCCTTCAGGGACCACATAAGATATGTTGTAGAACCTATGGTCTTCCACTGAGCTTCCATATACGACTGGCTGTTTCTCTAGACCGGGTGCACTGAGCGTAACGTTTAAGCACGGCAGCTCTTCAAAGCCGTCAATGGTGTGTGCCTTTCCAAGAGTCCAGCTGGGCGGAACATCTGAGAGTGCAAACGTGAAAATGTCTGTTCCGTCCTGGGTAGTATTGGGGTAAGAAATTGTTAGATTTCTGGGCCCCGCCACGGCATCGACTGTTGATGCGGTCGGGTACAGCGAGAAAAAGGTGACGTAGGGGTAGGGAGTGTGCGATGCATCTCCCGCCCACTGCACGATGGCAGGAACGAATTGCTGTCCACGATTCTTGGTCTCGGCGACTTGTTGAGCGCCAATCATGAGAGGAGAGCTGATCCAGGAGGTCGCTACACGAACATCCTCGTCTGAAGAGAGACCATCAGGAATCTTTTTCTGGATGAAACGCTCGCCTTGCCATGCCCCTTTCGCCTTGAGAGCTGCGGCCGTGTCTGCAGAGATGTAGCTCGACGTTGTATTCATAAGTAGGGAAAGAGCAGCTCCCTGGGCAATATCGTAAACCAGATCGAGTTCCATTTTGGGAGGTTGCGGTCCGTACTCGTGGCCATACATTCCCCACCAGAATAGGGAAAGTATGGCAGAGTGTGTGGTCATATCTCTCGTGTATGCGCGATCATATGGCCCCGCTAGGTTACCCAGGAATGAATTGTAGTGAGCGGCAACATCTTTCCATACCTCAGTCAGGATGTACTGGGCATTTGTAGTCATGCTATTGTTCTTTGCTCCGTACTTGATATTACCAGCGAGAGCCCACACGTCCATGCCGTAGTAGTTTGGCGCGTTGTATTCAGACAGCACGTTGGATCCCGTCGACTTGAAGAGCTTCAGAATGAGGTCACCTTGCGTATTGGCGAAGTCGATGAATGTCTGGTTGTTGCGGCGTGCACCAATCCAACCAACGTACCAAGCACGCATTAGGGCTGGATTAGAATAGGCGATAGTGAGATTGTCATCTTCAGGGAAAGTGCCGTTACGGCGCATGGACCCAACCGCTGCAATCTCTAGGGCGTCTTCGATGCGAGACACCAGATCGTTGCCGAGCAAATCTGAGAACTCCTCGACAAGTTGAACAAGCTGAGTTCTAGATTAATAGGAACAATTAGCACGTATTCCAGGAGGTACGGTGGCTTTAATTACATACCCGACGAACTCTCTCCAGTTTGGGTCATAAGTATCCTATAACCAGGTTCAGCGGAAGAGTTCACGGAGTCCATATTTGTGGAACTCACATAGATCTCGGGAGGATAGAGTGGGGAATCATCCGTGGGATACGGCTCATCTGGGGAGAGTTTCCAAGTGCCATACCATGCAGAGTCATAGTTGTCTGTCAACTGGCACTGGAGGCTTTTTTTGGAACAAATTAGTCCAAGAGAAGAGCAGTGCACTACGGATAAAGATCTTACATATTCTCCAGTGCCGCCTTGGCGTTGTCAATGTCCTTGCCGTGGCCTCTATAAAGCAGGCCAGCGGTATACCATGCAGTAAAGCGTATGGACCACGGCCCATTGTCCGGATACCAGATGTATTTGTATGAATCGTCCCAGCGTAAGTCTTGCACTTGCATGGAATAATCGAAAAGACTTTGAGCCGCTACACAAGTTGGTGGCAGATGGTCAGGCACGAGTAAGCAACCAATCTGGCATGAAGAACTTACACTCGGAGAGCTTCGTCTTGGAGGGGCACTTGGTCGCCGCTGTGCCACCGCCCAGGCCGCATGCTAACGCAGCAATTACAGCAGCAGCAAGCCTAAAAGATGACTGAAACAACATTTTGACCCTACACAGTGACAAGAGCGCACAGCATACGAAACCTATCCAATGATGGCGAGATCTTATTAACAAAAATCCATACATAACGTGCCCACCGGAGCAGACCCCGCCTTGTCGCCCCGACCGGTCAAGCCCGGGGGCAGGCCGAACAATCCGGTGGGTCTTGTGCGGCGAGCTTTGCCGGGCGCTTTCTGCGATACCGGCATGTTCACCGATCACACGCCATATCTATCACTCGACTATAGAGGCAGCGATAACCTGGAGCCCCTAATTGAGCTTGTCCTGCACCCTTGAAAGCCCGGCGCATGTCGGTCACAAGACCATTCCAATGATACTGGTGCTTCAGGGAATTCAATCACACTCGCTACCATGTCTGTCTTTCCCGCTACTGCCCCGGACTGGAATAACCTCCAAGTTATTCATCGCAATACCTTGCCGCCACGTCCCCACTTCTTTGTCTATGACGACGAGCGCTCTGCTCTCAGTCGCGACACCAAAGAAGCGAGAACAAAATGTCTCTCCGGCACATGGAAGTTCAATCTGTCCAAGACGCCCCTTGAAGGCCCATCGCATTTTTATGCTCAAGACTTCGATGCCTCCGGCTTCGATGATGTCAAAGTCCCTGGCATGTGGCAGTGCCAGGGTTATGGCGAGGGTCCACACTACGCCAACATTCAATACCCCTGGCCTGTCGACCCGCCCAATGTGCCTCTTGAGTACAACGAGTGCGGAAGATATGTGACCAGCTTCCATGTCACCGAGGAATTTGTCAAGGACGCTCAGCTCCGACTGCGCTTTGAAGGTGTTGACTCATCTTTCACAGTCTGGCTCAATGGCGTGGAGGTCGGGTATTCTCAGGGGTCGCGAAACCCAAGTGAATTCGACATCACCGATCTAGTCGAGCTCGACAGGCCAAATGGCAACATTCTTGCAGTCGAGGTGTATCAGCGCTGTGACGGCAGCTATATTGAAGACCAGGATCAGTGGTGGCTATCTGGCATCTTCCGTGATGTTTACTTGCACTCCTTTCCTAAAGTCCACCTTGTCGATTTCCAAGTCGAGACAGACTTGGATGACAAATATCAAGATGCTGTACTCAAAGTAAAGATTCAAATGAACGCCGAATCCGACGTTGAAATAAAGCTACTGGACAGTGGCCGGGAGATCATTAAGGATTTCAAGAAGCTCAATGGTAAAGAACCCACGACTTTCGAGATTCCTATCTCTAATCCCGTCAAATGGACTGCTGAGACTCCATACCTATACGATCTTGTCATGGACTTTGGAAAGGTCATCTCACATCGAATTGGCTTTCGGAAAACGGAGCTTCTTGATGGCGTCTTCCATATTAATGGCCAGCCAATTAAGTTTCGGGGAGTTAACCGACACGAACATCATCCCGATACAGGACGAGCCGTACCGCTAGAGTTCCTAAAGCATGACCTCAATCTCATGAAGCTTCATGGGCTAAACGCTATTCGTATGTCCCATCAGATCAATGACTTTCGTCTATACGAACTAGCAGATGAGCTCGGTCTTTGGATTCTCGACGAAGCCGATCTCGAATGTCACGGATTTGATGAGATTGGACTAGAGAACCCGGCCAGCTACCTCTCTGATAACCCGGAATGGGAGGTGGCCTACGTTGATCGCGCTATTCAGATGGTCCAGCGTGACAAGAACTTCACCAGCATCATCATGTGGTCTCTGGGCAACGAGTCATTCTACGGAAGAAATCACCAGGCGATGTATGATGCGATTCGCCAAATTGACAACACACGATTGATACACTATGAAGGAGATCAAGAGGCCAAAACTTCAGATGTCTACAGCCGCATGTATCCACCCGTTAGTACGGTCATCGACATGGCCGAGAACGTCTGCGTTCAAACAAACAAGCCTTTAGTGCTGTGTGAATATATCCATGCTATGGGGAACGGCCCAGGAGCCATAAAAGAATACATTGACGCATTCTATCAATATCCCAGGTTGATGGGCGGCTTTCTTTGGGAGTGGTCCAATCATGTAAGCCTAGCGTTCCTCGACGAGAAAAGCAAATATCACTAACCTTGGAAACTTACAGGGTCTTCGAAGCAAATCAAAAGATGGCGAAGAATTCATGGCATATGGTGGCGACTTTGGAGACATGCCGAATGATTATAATTTTGTCATGGATGGCTGCGTTTTCTCGGATCATACGCCGACACCTGGCTTGATTGAGTACGCGAAAGCGATCGAACCTGTGCAAAGTCTCTCACTCGATCATGACAGAGTTACAATCCTCAATCGCTACGACTTCATGTCCCTGGATCATTTGACTTGCAGCTGGGACGTCGTCGTCGACGGCATCGTCATCACTGGGGGAAAAGTTGAAATCCCAAGAAATATCAAGCCCCACGCGAAGGCTATCATCAACCTGGAAGGCCTAGACGCTATCTTGAAGAAGCTAGAAGGTGAAGAAGCATACGTCAAGATCTACTTTCAACTGAGAGATGCCAAGCAATGGGCGCCTGCGAACCATCAGGTTGCGTTTGGCGAGTTTCAACTACGTCGACCTCAAAATCTTGCAGCACTCTTAGCCCTCGATCCACCCTCATCCACCCCCACGCTTGAACAGAAGACCCACTCTACTCTCTCTGTCAAGTCTTCATCTGGGAAATCAACATGGGGATTCGATCTAGCTCGCGGTGTCCTGTCCAGCTGGAGACGCGACGGAAAAGAGATCATGAGCCAACCACTGGCTATGGACTTCTACCGTGCATTGACAGACAATGATCGAGAGATACACGGGAAAAAATGGATCGAATGTCGTCTGCACCAGACAAAGCACTATATGCGGGAGGTCAAATGGCATGATATCGAAGGTGGTGTCGAAGTCCAGATAGTTGGGCGCATCGCACCTCCAGTCCTTGCTTGGGGTGTCGATGTTACATGGACCTTCACCTTCAAGGGTGACTCTCTGCATCTGAAAGTCAAGGGAAGACCACGTGGGGCCTGGCTCCCTACTCTTTTTGCAAGAATTGGTATCACTCTAGGTCTGTCCGAGGTCTCTACTGTTTCCTGGTGGGGTCGCGGTCCAGGTGAAAGCTACTGTGATAAGAAGCTCAGTCAATCATTTGGAAATTGGACTTCAACCGTTGACGATTTGTTCGTAGACTACGAGTTTCCTCAAGAATGTAGTCAACGTACGGATGTGCGACGTGTTGAGTTTCTGTCCGGGATTCATGATCAAAGTCGGGCTCTACGGGCTCGCTTTGGAGACTTGGAAGGGGCTTCATTTACTGCAATGCATTATACAACTCAGGACCTCGACGCATGCACACACCCCTACGAGCTCCACAAGCGGAAGAGACAAGATACTATTGTTCGACTAGATTGGATGCATCATGGTTTGGGCACAGGCTCTTGTGGACCACCTACAATGCCTGCGTATCAGCTAGAATCAAAGGACTTTGACGTCGAAGTGTTACTCGATTAGGAACCCCGGAGCTGAAACAGCCTAGACTAGAGAAATACTAGACACTAATTGGTTCAGTGAACTTGAAACGATTGCAGAGAAATTACTAGCGATTCCAGGCCCTGATCCTTGAGGATGCTCATCTCGTCCAATACTGGACATGTCGCTTAGTCAGGTCTGAGGCTCATGTCCATCGAGATAGTGAGCCAGGAAGCCATTTGTTCTACGATATCTTTCTTGCTGAGTCTTACCTAAGAAATATTATTTGGAATCAATTGTGAGACCGCAAATATTAAGCCCAGCTTACCGACCCTTTTCTTCTCTTTTCTTTTCTTTTCTTTTTTTTTTTTTTGGGCACCAGCCAGTGATTCGCGGCTGTATCTAATCTGCTTGTGTGAGACGCTACCTGCCAGCGACACGATCAGACCCATGTCTGAACCAACGATGCATTCAAAAGTCCACGTCCGGACGACTCGGCCCATACCGCCTCCCCATTCCGAGCGTGAAGCTGTCTATACATCACGACTTGTCATCCGTCATGTAGAGCCATCTGACGTACCAGCGCTCTTCCAGCTTCGAACTCAGCTGGATGTCATGAAATGGTTGAAAGGAGCACCAAGCGGAGACCCAGACACATCAATCGCCGACACTGAGGCTGTTGTCAAAGAATATATGGATCCAACGAAGAACTTTGTTTTCATGATATGTCTTCTCGACGAGACCGGTACACCCGGCGATTTGATCGGCGTAGGAGGCATGTGGTTCCTCGAGACGCACGTTGGGTTCCCATCATGTGGCTATTATATGCGCAAGGAGTACTGGGGTCACGGATACATGACTGAGGCGTTGCAAGCATGGTTGCCGACATATTGGGCTTTGCCAAGAGAGGAAATAGAGTCAGATGTGGTCATAGAGCTTCTCGATGCTAACGAGCGAGTAGAACGAGAAATTGGGAGCGTCGCGGAGAAGCTGATAGCGATTAGATATCTAGAGAATGCACCGAGTGGCCGTGTCTTAACAAAAGCTGGGTTTGAAGAGGTAACGATGACTGATCTAGTGGACGGCAAGCATGCAATCTTGTGTAAACTAAATAAACCCACATAGCTGTCAATCAGTTTTCATCATAGGCAACTTCTTCACGATAAGCCTTCTTCGATCTACTCCAGCGGACGTGACTCTTTGCTATCTTGTGGTTGCCCTCTGCTCGCGCTGCGAATATTAGGCTCAAGCGGAAAAATTGTGTTCTCCGGTGAGACATCTGCATATACTCGGTCCCAGCGCTCTTGTAATGCTTCTGGTGTCTTCCAAGCTAGCTCAGGATCACGTAACCAGAGGCGGACTAGGTGTCGTCTAACATAATCAGTAACCACGAGATGTTAATGATTGTTGAAACACTGACTTCTTTTCGGCTGAATCTTTGAATCCGCCTCGAGCATGAAAGATGCTTAAGTTGTTAACATACTGGATATCTCCTTGGTGAAAATCAAGAGAAGCCGCATGTTTTTCAGCAGTGAAGTGCAATGCATCCAAAGCTTCTGCTTGAGCCTCCGAGATTGGTGGTATATTCGCTGAGCGTGGCAAGCCCCAGTATCCAGTGAAGCTCCGTCGGGCATATTGAATAATCAGGCGCTCAGTGGTGGTTTCTGAGGCTGGTTGATGATGTAACAGCGGACGAAGGCTGTAAGGCTTCTGTGACTTCCCAAATCTGAAACAGTTTAGTCGTCTCTACAGGCTGTGATACTTCCAGCCAGGGAACTCACTCGTCGGCAGCCCATGGCTCAGCAAGGGTTCGGATGAGATCTGGTCGTGTGGCAGCGAGCTCATTATATACCAACCAGCTGCTCGACAAATAACTCTGGCCTCCCTCAGCCGCTTCTCCAAGAGCAAAGAGCGCAATCACGTCACCGGCGTCTGTATGGAAAACTTGTTTGTCAGTAGTGTAAGCAGGCGCCCCGATCTTGCTGGCATCAACGACAGAAGTCAGGTCCGTTATATGAGCGAGGACAACATCCGCAGGCTTGCCGTTGAACTGGTGGTCCTGTCGGCCTCGAATAGGGGCTATATGTGATGATATCCCGGCATAGATAATGATGTTCTCTTCACGTGTATACTTGTTCACTGGTACGCCCCGGACGACTTTGAAACCGTGGCCATTATGGATCTCCTGTGAAATATCACGAAGCGTTGCATTCAACTTCGGGAGTGGGAAAGTCTCTTGAGTAACGAAGCCAAGAGGTTTCTCGAGTGCTGTTGATTGCAGCGCGATGATCAGCATGTCGAGGTGTGAAGGTAAATTCGAAGCCGCGGGAAATACATTTGAAGTGTTTCAGGGCGTTTTCAATTTCCTCGATGTCAGCGTCCGTCAAGACATAGTTCCAGTCGTACTTCTCAGCCAAGTCCTTGCCGTCCCATACAAGGTCAGACTCTAGCTTAGTCGGAAATCCTGAGGGTAGTGATTGTTCGAGTTTTTCTGTTTCTCGTCGCCTCTGGGTTCGGGCGAGAAACTTGTCAGGATCCGGAGCGTATTCAATATCTGGCTGACCCGGAGGACCAGCAGGGAGCGGAGCTTGCACCAGTGTCTGGGCCATTCTGATGCTCGGAGAATTTTATTGAGTAATCTTCTCAAATGTGACGCTTATTTTGGTGTTGCAAAGATGAGGTGGGACCCTTGATGAGAGATTCTTGAATAGTAAGGTCGAACAATTGGCGACGAAGTTGCCGAAGTTACAGATGGTGTCACTGCTGTCACATGAACGTTGCATTAACTAAAAGGGTCGAACGTCATTCGCCAGCGCCATTCTGGAGTATATATCGCAATCCTTATTCCCGATCAATCCATCGGCATGCCCCATCCTAGTAGATTAGTTCAATATCGCCACTCTGTGATCTCTACTATCTACAACCCGAGTTCATTTGGACAGGGCACTTAGTTCAGCGTGTAAATCCGCAAATCTATTAGGCTTCAAGTTTGATTTAATTCATTTCATAACTCAACCCATTTTTGGGTGTGAGACACGAGCTCAGGGTTTATACGCCCAGAGTTTTTCTAATATACATGAGTTCTGGATCACACTTTTCCATCGTGGCTGCTCATTCAGCGTCCAATGGCGCCCGCGGTGGGTTGTCGTTGACTTGGATCCCTCCGCGCTTCTTCTCAGTGCTGTCGTGGAACGGCAGCACCCATCCTCCTTCAGTCTCCGGTGTTGAGAGCCACAATCGGAGCAAGTGACGGCGTGGTGCCGGTGGTGGGTAGTCTAAAAAGTTTTAGCGAAAGGTCATACAGGAGATGAGACACGCTATATATACCTTTGTATGCAGTTCGAGCATGTAGGAGATGCGTGTTGCTGACGAACTGGATGTCTCCGACCTCCAAGACCATGTGTAGCGCGAGCTTATTGCATGTATCTTCTAATACAGTGATGGCGTGCTTCTGCTCTTGGCTGAGGGGCGGAACAAGACCCTTGTCCGAGAAGCGCGTCAGGGAGCGAACGAAGTAAGGATCCCACTTGCAATAAACACGACCCTTCCCGCCATTCTCAATGTAGAAAATCGGTTGTCTGATCCATTCTTCCTCACCGACTGATGTCTCCCCCTTTCTGTCAAAGTACCACACCGGCTGCGTGAGTAGCTTTGCGACATCGGGGTGGTCGCGCTGGAGGGAGTTCCAAACATTGTGAATGCTCACGATGTCGCTCTCTCCACCTTCTGCAGCACGGTGCACACATAGCAGTCCAACGATATCACAGTCATCAGCATGGAAGAACTGTCTGGCAGTTGTTCGGTATATGCGGACACGGTCGATCTGTGTGGCATCGTCGCCGACATCCTTCACATGACCTAAAACATGACCACGTCCGTTTTGAGAGACGAAGTAACCGATGTAGGTGCCAAGACCCATATATGCGACGGCGTTTTTCTCGGGTCCCCAGACATCTGCTGGAAATCGCTTGAAGAGAATGAAACCCTTTCCATTGAGCAGATCTTCCCGCAGTGTATTGAGAACCTTGCTCAACTTAGGGAGAGGGAAGTTATCCTGTAATGAATATCTTATGAGAAGGAATTTCCAAGATGGAGCGGGCTAATTGACTAACCTGTGAAATACCCGTCAATGGCGTCCCGCTAGCAATGAAGTTGTCGGCGGCGGCGCTCAGCTCCTGGACCTCATCATCTGTGAACGGATGCGTCCATCTCTCCGGGTTGTTGATGTAATCTTCGCGCTTCCACAACGTTGGGCCAGTGATCTCTTTGGGGAAATCCTCGTATGGCCTCAGAGCATCGTACAGTGGCGGATGCTGCCCCGATGTTCGGATGCCGTCGGGGAATATGGACCTTGGGGCATCAGCGTTCTTTACTCTCGCCGGCGACACGCCGGTCGATTCCTCAATCAGAGCTCCTGGTGCCATAGTGTAAGTCTGTGTCAGCCCAGCGAGAAATAAGAGCACATGAAGAACAGTCCTGCCATCTTCAAGGGCCGTCTGAAAACTTCCATCGAGCTTATTTCAATGACCCCTATGACCCCTCAGTGGGGTCAATTGCGTTATTCCGGCTCCTCTCCGACAGCATCATGATGGTGTGTGAGACAGAGGTTATGTTGGTTGACGAGCTCAGATCTGCCGATGGCGTGCTCAACCCTTCCGTCACGCCGTCGCCAATGAACGGCAGTCGGTCCCCATTGCTCTTCAGGGGTACCGCGTGGCAGCCACCGCTTCTAGAGGCTTTGTGCTTGATACCGACATGCTCCGATGATCATATCATTCTCGTCATGGTACGATCTGGCATATTGCGTCTATTCTGCATCGTTATTGCGACAGCAATGTCGTCGGAATCCGACTTTAGCACTGATTGGAGAAAGGGGGGCATTGTGGAGCAGCCCCAGATCTTGCACTACAGCGTGGACAGCTGCTTAGCGGGTGGCACCGGGTGACGGCCAAGCTTGCATCAGCCCTGGCTGTGGCATTCGGTCACGAAACCCCCAACCAGGCCAGAAAAGGGACAATCCAACTACTTAGAGCTACAGTTATATATCTCTATTCACAGGTAGTCCATCGTAGAGTTCTGTTTCGGCTGCTGTTCATGAGATGGCCGATTGTCGCCGCCGTACCGAAGCTCCGTAGATTTGACTCGGAGGCGGCCGAGGACCCCGCAGATAAGCTCTGAGAGCCGATCAGTGATGGCCGCCCGGCGCACCTGCGTCGTTCCGAGGCGGCGAATGTTCCGTAAAACTGGTGAATCTTGAGTATGAGTATTCAGAATTGATTCTCAACATCTGTGAAACATGCCTTCGACAACGAACCACTCCGAGCCGCCGGCGCCTAAGGTCGGCGGTGGCTCCGTGCTAGACGCCACTCCGGACTCCAATGGTCAGGCCAAGCGGACGCACCACATACCCCGGTTCGAGACCAAGGAAGCCGAGAGACGATGGTCTCTAGAGCAAATGGCGGGAGCATTTCGCGTATTTGCCAAACTGGGTTTTGCGGACGGTGCCAGTGGTCATATCAGCCTTCGAGGCAAGTCGCATTCCAGGGCGCAATCGACTCTTGGCTAATCATCCATAGATCCAATCGACCCGAGAACGTTCTGGATCAACCCGTATGGCATTCACTTCGGTCTATTAACCATCTCCGATATGGTGCTCGTGGATGAAGATGGCAATCGAGTTGGAGGCGCCGACATGCCAGTCAGCACGGGCGGGTTCCTCATCCACTCCGCAATACATCAAGCACGGCCTGACATCAATGTCGCCTGCCATATGCACAGCCCATATGGCCGTGCCTGGGCAACGTTTGGTCTGCCCATCGAGATGCTGAACCAGGACTGCTGCATGTTCTACGACGATCTCGCCGTCTACGAGGACTTTGGCGGAGTAGTCTTCGCCAAGGAAGAGGGAGCTCGCATTGCCAAGGCACTCGGACCATACAAGAAGAACATCATTCTACAGAACCATGGCCTACTAACCGGCGGCGGGACGGTCGGTGAAGCGGCAGGCTTCTTTATTGCACTCGAGCGCGCCTGCCAGACGCAATTATTGGTAGAGGCCGCTGTCAAGCCGGACGGCTCAAGATTGAAGAAGACGTATGTAGGAGAGGAGGAAGCGATATATACAAAGAAGAACATTGGAGGCCCAGATGTCATGTACATGCAGTTCGCGCCCGAGTACCGAATGATACTCAAAGAAACGAAAGGGGATTTCTTGGAATAGATTGATTATCGGACAATGCAACATGATTACATTGTGTTTGATAGCCATCTCAATCCGATATGCCACCAAAATCGTGCTGCTTAGGTAACACCTTAACATCAATTTGTGTTTGTAGTGATATGAATTTGAGTCACCCAAGTTGGTTGCAGAATAAGCAAGCTGATGTCCCAGACCTGCTGCACTTGGGGAGTGCATTACATAGCCTCGAAAATCGGTGAGTCACCTCCAACAACGAGTAAAAATGCCACCAAAACAGTCTGAATCATCACAACCTAGTTTTCTCAACACATAGCTATGGATCAACAGCCGGATCTGAACGACATACTTGATATTGTCAGGCCCCATTTGGTTGCGCCATCTGAGGGATCGATAGTGTTGATGACATGTGGAGTTGCAGGTCAGTCGATCAAAACCTTTGAAGAAAGCGATAAAGCAACTTACACTCTTGACAGGAGCAGGCAAGTCGACTCTGACACGCGCGGTAATTAAGGAACTACCTTCTTTCACCCGCGTGTCAATTGACCAAATTATCGCTTCGCGCCATGGTCTCTACAATGTAGACTACCCGCCATCGCAACATGAAATATTTGCAGATGAGGCGGACCACATCTACGTTGACACTGTCAACAAACTACTAGAAAACAAGCAGAACATAGTGATGGACCGCGCTTTCTACGCGAAGGAGGACCGTGATGAGTTCAAAGCGATGGTCGAGAAGGCAGGTGGACGGTGGGTACTGGTATACTTGAAGGCAGAGCGGGATCTTCTATGGCGGAGAATCAACGAGAGAAGAGCTAAGGGGGTAACTGCAGACTGTGCTTTAGACATCGACGAAAACCTCCTGGATCGATATGTGCAAGGATTCGAGGCACCTGTGGATGAAGGCGAAATTGTCATTATTGTCCAATAGTCCGGGAGGCAGGAATCAATCAATGGATAGGCAACTCTTGATGCCAAGAAAATAATGGAATTCGTTCTTAATTACGGATTAGCACCTGCTCCAATTGCCCTCGACCTTTAAATTGGATATCTGATGAAGATTGGTAATGTTTTCTTGGTGTTACACGAAGCTGGGAGCTATCCAAGTCAATGCATAATAGGATTGTCTACACAAGCACGGTGCGCCGCCTCGCTAGAAGGATCATCCGCAATTGTCATGTTTTGCCACTGACATGCCAATATCTAGGTTGTTCTGATAATTTGCTTACTTTGTTCACAGCTCGCTAGCGTAGCATCATAAGATTGTAGGATCTCATAGCCCGTCATCTATGCGAGTCCGAGGGTGTTCGCGTCGTATAAACTTCCTCAACGGCTTTCGTTTTCATTTTCAATTTAGTGACGACATGCCTTACTATATTCATTGGCCATCTCGCATTTCACCAAGTTATGGAATTGAGAACTCAGCGACAGAATTGTGGAGATGGATCATGCTGCGTATAGCAATGTCTCGCAGTAACATGGCAATAAATAGCCCCTGTGTCCTAACTTGAAGTTTCTAGTGAGTCGTAAACACTTCTCGAGTTGAATGCCTTCTAATTTCTTTTACATATTACTGATCTCAATCGAATCATCATGAAGCTTACGGCTCTGACTCTACTCCTTCCCCTTGTTTCGGCAACATGCGACACTGGTGCTGGTCAAATAAGCCTTCTATTTGAGGAGCTGGACAATGGAATCAAAGACAGCCACGAGGTGTGTCCAGCCGGCGGAAGCTGCGGTAAGCTTCGATAAAACGTGTCATAGCTGTGACGTAGCTCATTTACTTTGCTAGTCAATATGCAAAGTGGTCCTGATGGCTGGTCTCAGAGGGTGGATGAGGTTGTTATGAAAGGGAAGACTTGTGTTAGATTCTTCAAGTGAGTTCGCCAACCGTCTAAGTGTTTCAAACGGCTAACAACAAATGTTTTCGCCTGCGAAGGGTATACAACTGTCCGGCAGGTGTCGAGGTATGGCAGCCGGGTTGCCCTGATAGTAATTGGGGAGAGCTTGTGCCCACAGATTGGAAGAATGGAGCCATGAAATCATATACAGTCTGGCATCGATAAATGCTTTATAGATGTTTGTCAGAGCATTGATCACTAATTACCGAGTGAAAGTGGATATAACAAGAGAGGTGGTGGGTAAGATGCACAACAACTTAATTCATCGTTCTCGTTTTCCGATGTACATTGAGTCCCCGGATAATTGTGATCTCCTCTGCCGTCATCGAGAGCGCACTAATGTACCGGCAGTCAGATACTAAAGGGCAAATCTAATGATCCACGCTCAACGGCCGAGTGGCTAGCGTAATGCTGCAGCGCAGAGTGTGATTTTCTTCGGTAGAGCCGTCGATGCTCTAGAACCTCTCGGGATCCTATTGTTTCAAAATCCCGTCCCACGCGCCGCGCTCTGTTATATTAAGGCGTGCGCTTCGACTCGATAGTATGGCCCAGCAAATGGCTAGAAGGGCTTTTAGCGCGGTGCTAGGAGAGCTATGCTTAAAGCGCCGTCGGGAGTCAGGGGATTTGTTCGGGGCGCGGGTGATCTAGACTAAGCTAAGCATCGCTCCCGAATGGCTAGAAGCAACACTATTGAAATTCGACGCTGAGAGTCGACTCAAGCTCTTCACAATCGAGAGCTGAAGGCTTTTCTGCAATTCGGTAGCGTGAATGGGACAATCGTATTTGACATCATGGAACGATGAGTGTGTTGGTTGTTGTAGGCAAGCAAAATAAATAAAGGCACGGATTAACGCTATGTTGTTACATTGAGTGCCAGTCACCTCGCTTTTCCAAAGTGACAATACGCCCTGTGACCAGCTTGCGAATGGCTCCCACTCGTTTGAGCCAGCGCATTGCGCCGCTCTTTCTTTCCTTTCTCTTCCTCGCTGAGGCCCTTCCGAGCAAGTCATTCAAGAGAGATGAGACTTCGTATTCCTATCAAGGTTGCTTCATCGACCAAGGCGGCAATGAGCGACTTCTCAACGGTGCCAGCTACGCCGGCAATGCCATGACGGTTGAGAGCTGTGCTTTATATTGCAGCAGATTCACATACTTTGGCGTCGAATATGGAAGCGAGTGCTATTGCGGCAATAATCTCGACGGTACCCTGCAAACTAGTCAAGCTGACTGCTCCTTTGCTTGCTCCGGAGACTCGAGCGAAACATGTGGTGCCGGAAACAGAATGAATGTATACAAGAACGGTGCCTCGTCTAGTCTTGGATCGCAGCTCTCTGGTACTTCGTATTGGTATGGCGGCTGCTTCGTCGACAACGCCAATCGTGTCTTGCCGAATAAGGTCATCTCAACCGACGACATGACTGCTGCCAAGTGCGCCACGAACTGCGCTGGATACAAGTATTTTGGGCTGGAATGGGGCCGAGAGTGTTATTGTGGTGATGTGACTCCTACTGTCAGCGCTCCCGAGGCAGATTGCTCGCTGGCCTGTGCTGGTGATGCGACTGAGCTCTGTGGCGCTGGCATGAGGATGAATGTCTACGGCCCGCAAGTCTCAACCTCGACTTCTTCCACGGCAACGTCAACTCCCACACCCACGACAACACCGTCTACTACTATCTCACAAAGCTCCTCTACAGCTTCGACATCAGAAACTGCTTCCTCAACGGCTGTTTCTGGCTACATCTATCAAGGTTGTTATACAGACAATGTTCCACAGCGTGTCTTGGCAGGACAGGTGCTCTACAATTCCGCCATGACAGTTGAGATGTGTGCGGCATACTGCAGCCAGTACAGCTATGGCTGGTTCGGTGTCGAGTATTCGTCACAATGCTATTGCGGTGTTACCTTAGACTCTGCCAGCGAGAAGAAGCAGGATGGCCAGTGTACCATGCCATGCGACGGCAATGCCCAGGAGACATGTGGTGGACCCAATCTCCTGGATGTTTACAGCAATACGGCTCTCCTTTCTGTCAGTGGCAGCGCTGGCAATCTTGTTTCTGTCAATGGGTTTCAGTATCTGTCTTGCCGGACCGACGACGTCAACTCTCGCTCTCTTGTTGATGCACAATACGCCGCAGATGACATGACAGTCGAGAAATGTGCCGCATATTGCACAAATTACAAGTATTTCGGTCTCGAATACTCCGATGAATGCTATTGTGGCAACGTGCTCGCTGGAGCAACAGCTGCTGAGAAAGACTGTTCGGCGCTATGCAAAGGCAATAGCTCCGAGTATTGCGGAGGTGGCTCACGCCTCAATGTTTACGGAAAGAATCTGATAATTTCGTCATCTTCTGTGGTATCGTCTACATCACCTCAGTCGACCAGCTCTACACAAGATAGTCTCTCGACATCCAGTGCTCTATCATCTTCAGAGGTCCCCTCTTTCTCGACGATAACATCAACGGCTTCCTCCAGCAGCCTCGACGTACCTTCAAGTACGCCATCGCCGAGTTCATCCTTCATTCCATCCAGTTCTTCGAGTACATTACTTCCACCCAGCAGTTCTAGCATCTTGGACGTGCCATCGACCACACCATCGCCGAGCTCTTCCTTCGTCTCATCTACTTTTTTGAGCACTTTGATTTCATCCAGCAGTTCTAGCAGCTTAGAGGCTACAACATCGCCATCATCTCTATCCTCATCTGGTTCCTCAAGTACACAATCGTCATCTAGCAGCTCTGGTTCGCAGTCGCGTTCAACTACTACCTTGTCAACATCCACATCTAGTAGCATTTCGTCTTCCCCAACCAGTACTTCCCTTCTTCCTACAAGGACTTGCAACGCAGACTATCGTGCGAATCCAGCAGCCCCCTTCATCTTGTCATTCGGAACCGCTGATCTAAAATATTGGGACCTCATCAACACAGGTCTGATCACACAATCATATGTTTCCGGCGTTATTAGCGCTCAAGCCTGGAGTTGGACCATCAAGTCTTATGCATCTATCGCGAGCACGTCCCTGACTCGAAAGATCGGGGCGGTGCGAGGGGCCACATATCAGATCGTCCTTCGTCACAACACTACTATGGCTGGCGCTGGCTTAGCTCTCACCGTCACTGATAGCGTCTACCAAAACGCCGGAACCACCCAATCATACGACCAAACCAAGCTCGGTGACTGGGAGTCGGTAACAGTAGTCTTCACACCAGCTACAGACTCTCTCGTCCTCACTTTGGCGATATACAACAATAAGAACAATCCCGGCGTCCTCACCTTTGATGGGATCGAGATTACCCAGCTTTCGCCTTCGACCTATACCACGCCCGTGCAAAATGGCAACATCCTCAACCTGGTCGATTATAGGTCGGGCTCATCGACTCCCTTCGCCTCATCTGCCAGCTACTTCGTGTCAGGGACGGAGAAATCTATTCCTGCTTCCCCTACTATAGTGTTCCAGTCGTCTTCCCCTGGATACAACGGCGCCTCATACGCACGACAGATACAATGGAACGTGCCAAGTACCTTCTCGAATCACAACAGCGCCGTTTTCGCTGTGAGCGGTTACGCCGGGTCAAGCATATCCACTCAGAAGTATGTGCTACAGACGAAGTTCAAGTCCATTAACAGCGCGGGATGCTTTGTGCAGATTCAAGGGGGCGCCAATATGATAGGCGGGCATTTAGCATTGTCAGGGTGTGAAGGGGAGTGGCAAGACTTTCAAACCAACAGTTTTACTCCGATCACAAACTACGTGATTTCCTGGCAAGTACGTTGTACGCAGCCCGGTTACAACGCCACCGTTTGGCTTGACAATGCTTATCTCATCCCGGTTGCTTCATGAAGGGAATAATGATCATCTGCGACGGGAATACCAAAGTCGTAATTGATATAGCGGCATTGGGTTTTTTTTTATAAGGAGTAGGCGGCGTTATGGAGAAGACGGAGGACTATAGTTCTAACAGCCAATACCGAGCAAGTAATGATGATTTATTGAGAGCTATTCTTGTCGCGAGTCTATTGACTGCCACTCTGAGGAACATTCATTGATATAGTTGTTTGCGTGTAAGTCCGAGTTATTCTCTGATTCGTTAATTACATCAAATTGACAACTCCATGTCGAAATAGGAAATATTGTGGGTGAGTCCGAGCCCACTAATCAGCGTCCAAGAGGACCCAGTCAACTGAGAGCGGCTTGGCGCATCACCTCCGGCAGGCTGCTGATCAAACGGTTTGGAGATACTTTCAGCAGGGGCCACATCTACTTCTTGCTTTGACGAAGCATTTCACAACTGACTTCTCACTTTGTCCAGGGACGTGGCGAAAAGTGTCACATACATTCAGTAGAAGGATACTGCAGAGTAGCACAGCTCAACTGCTCGTCCTGCAAACAGAAAATCGTGTGAAGTGACCGGATTAATGACTTTGAACATAATTCTTTAGCCGTACACATGCGGCAATGTGCAAGTACTCTGTAGTGTGCGGCGCTGTAGTTATGCTTAAGGCACTGGGCCAAGTCGTAACTTAGCTCAACGCCCCTCGAGAGATCCTGAGACTAAGGAGGATGCGCCCCCCTGCCCAGGCAGAGAGCGCACTCTGTGTTGCACTGGGGAGGGCCTTCCGTGTAGGCCGACGGACAACTTTTCCGTCGGGGCTGGCTGGCTCTTCTCATCTTTCTGAGCTGATCGTTTTGTGTTCCCTCCAGATGCCAATTGACCGACCAGTGCTTTGTTGTGCCGTCTTCGGGCGAGATCCAACTGTATTAGGTACGACTTCCACGCCGCACGACTGCACAAGAGAGCGAGCCACTTGAAGGAAGGCAGGTCTTCGAGACGAGAGGTTGCGGTGCGCCTTTCTGCGTCCTCTTCACCATGTCGACACCGACTCCGACGAGCACGTACACGCCGGTCCTGCTCTCCACGTTCCCTTCGAACCCGCTGACGACCACCTTCTTGCCCCCGTCGTCATGTTCGGGCATCTACTCCTCCATCGTCGGCATGATCGACGATGACACATCATGCCTGCCGACGGGCTTCTCAACAGACGCGACCGCCTTCTTCAGCCCGGGCATTGCCTGTCCATCAGGCTACTACTCGGCCTGCCACGACACGTCCGGCTTCGAAAGCATCACCACCGTCACCTGCTGCCCGACCCGCGGCGACATCAAGCTGTCGTGCGTCGACCCCGCGACGCTGGAGAGTGTCTGGGAGACGCTGTTCTGCTCGTGGATCGCCCCCGAGAGCGGCCAGGTGGTGAGCATGACACTGAGCGAGAGCGGCACTACGAGTACGATTGCCTCGACAATGACCTCGCCCGAAGGCTTGAATGCGTTCGGCGTGAGGATGGTCCACGAGAGCACAGATCTATCTACATCGAGCACGAGCGCGACGCCGGGCTCAACCACGAGGGGCAGCGCAGCAAACACCAGTGGCGCGGGCCAGAGCCAAACAGCGTCTGCGACACCAGACTCGTCAGGCAGCGGCGGACTGTCTACGGGCGCGAAAGCTGCAATCGGCGTGGTCATCCCAGTGGTGGTGCTGGGCGCCCTGGCAGGATTCTTCTTCTGGTGGAGGCGGAGGCGGCAGAGCTACAGCGGCGTCCACGAGATGGGCGGCTCGCCCGTGGCACACTCTAAGGAGCCGTACGGCAGCAGCCAGGGCGGCGCCAGCCCCGGCGCGCCCTATGGCGGATATTACGATCCTCACAAGCCCATCAACACTGCTGCGCCGTCGGAGCTTTCTAGCACTACCGGCTGGGGCCGCTCGCCTGACGGTGGAGTGCCCCTGAGCACCACGCCCCACCAGATCGCAGAGCTGTCGGATAATGCACCGCCTGCTGAATTACCTGCTGAGCCGAGGCGGAGGTAGTCGTCGATGGATGGGTGGGCGAGGATTTGAAGAATAATGCGTCACGGCCGGGTCCGATTCTTCTGTGGTTTGTAAATTGGTCATTTAGAAGCTGGAAATATTGAGCGGGAGATTCTTTGCATCATAAGGGGAAATATCGGGGCGGCCCCCTGTTTGTCTGTATTTGGAGCGTGCACACTAGATGTATCTATCTGCCTCAACAAGATCTTCGACAATCAAAAGATCTAATTTTAAAGCAGATCCTGTGGAATTTGTGAATATCTATGACCAGCAAAAAGCACGTCATATGCCAATGTGTATGTGCTCTGTATGTTTCTCGTTATGTTCGCCAATGCTTCGCGACTCGGTTAGTCTGCAGTGGGCGTGAGGTCGGCCACTACATCCTTGAATTGCGACTCGAACGCCCTCCACACGACAGTGACATCAGGGGCTTCAGGTATAATGCTCTCCTCCTGCTCGGTGATGGCGCCTGCATCCCAGCTGTCCTTGGCCCCAACAGCAACGGTCTTGCCTAGCGTCCTAAATCCCTTTACATCCTTTCCATGTCGTATCGGCCCCTTTATCGTCTCCGGGGTGATCAGAGTATCATCGAGTAGCGTCTGCCATCGAATCAGGTAGACCCCCGGCCCGCTCATGCTGCCGCTCTCTGGGCTCGCCTCGTCACTGATTTTGTTGAGGATTCGCCGCATCCGATCTGTCGATATGTCCTCCAGTGACGAAAGGTATTGACGGTGAGCGTCCAGTGATTGCAGCACTGCCTGCTTCGTGTCCTCTGGCAGCTCGGTGAACATCGATTGGAAGATTTCACTCATGGCTCCCGCGCCAGTCGTGGCCTCGCGAGCAACCTTTGCCTCCTTCTCGCCAACAGCGCTGCCATTTGCGCTGCCGTTCTGCACCTTTGCTGACTCGCCTGCTGCGTGTGCTTGCCTGAACTGTTTAATGGTATCGTTCGCCCACTTGCGAAACTTCTCTCTGATATCGGGGCAGTTCTCGGCGAACTGGTGGAGGTATCTGTAGAGTAGATGTCTGTTTCTGCGTAGAAGCAGAGTGTAATCCTCCACAGTGGGTGGCGTTGTCACTTTTGTGTCACCCTTCTTCCCGTTGTCCGCCTTCTTCGGCTTGCTCGTCTCAATGACGTCGTTGAGGAAGCTTTCCATGGCGCTGATATGCTCTCGTAGGTCCACCTTGTTGTGTATCACTCTGATGATGTTGTCAAACGATGAGACCGCATCTCTTATGGCACCCGTGAACAAGTCGGGATTTTGTCTGCACAGCACCTTGATGATCTCCTCGCGGTCGCGGTTTGATAACTGAGCAGAGTAGTATTCGAGGCACTGGGTATGCTGTGAGGGGGTGAGGGAGCTTGCAAGCGTCGGGTCTGTTTCATTGAATATCGCATTCACAATGGAAATGTCTTCCTTAATGCTCTGCTCTCTTACTGCATTGAGCTTTTCGATTGGGGACTGGATGTGCTGCTTTATGGCAGCCAGTTGCTCCTTGCTCGGGCCATCCTTGCTGGATTCAATTTTGTCAGCGGCTTTCCGGAATTCACTACTATCCCAGGATAAGACGAGCGAGATGATTCTAGCTCATGGTTAGCTAAGCTCAAGTAAAATGGGTAGATATAGTAGCGAACCTCTGCAGCAAGTTCATGCCCTCATCTGCGTCCTTGGTGAGGCCCATCCAATTTGAGATGGCACCAACACCTACTTTTGCGAGAAGCAGCTTGATCATGCCATCTATCATGGTTGCAGCGTTGCTGATGCGCAGCGTCTGTCTGATCATGGAATATGGAATCAACTTGTGCACGTTTTCAAGGAGCTTCAGAAGATACTGTCCTTCCGCCGAGAGAACAAACACGTGGTGTGCAAAAGATGCGATATGGATGATAGCGTAGTCGATAGCGGCCTGGACAGCTGGCGAATGCTCGTCAACTTTCTCCGTGCGGACTGCTTGGTCAAACAGCTCATCGACCAGATTCCCGTGGACAAGTTCATGCACACAATCCTCCCAGGCGCTTGCCAGACCTTCAGGAGTCTTTGTGTCGAAATGCTCCTCTAAATCGCGACGTTCTCCCCCTGGAATGCCGCCGAGCAGGCCGCGGGTCACGGACTCGTGAATCACAGAGGATGCCGTCGCGAGGGTCTTCCTAGTACCCAGCGCGCCCTTGTCGTAGCTCTCTGACAGGTTCGCCTCGCCCATCTTGATCATTATGCCGCGGAACTTGACGTTCCAGAACTCCGGGGGCAGATCCCTGACGCCCGGGACGGGGAGGACGACCTTGGTGAGGAGGTGCTGCAGCACCGGCGACGCCGACTTGCCATTCGGAGTGCTCGGACTCGGCGAGAATGGATATCCGTATTTGGTGATGGCGGCCGGGTCCTTGAAGCTCTCGGCCTCGGCGTAGGTTTCGTGGTGGGTGAGGATATCAAAGAGAGCCCGAAGCTGCTCAGAGCTCAGAGCAGCAGGGGTGTCTATGCCCGTGTCTGTGTCTTTGTCTGTGGTAGGAGAAGCCATCATGGTTTGAGATGCTCTTGGTATGAGCTGAGAGAAGGACGACTATGAAAATAAATGAAAATAAGGAACTCTTATAGCTATTGCATTTTTATGTACACGTCGTCATCATCATTCATCCGCGAGTGCAGTCAATGAATCCCGTTGGTGTTTGCTTGTGACGAGACCACCTGTAATGGACTTGTGACGTAATGGAAGAAGGCGTTGTAGGAGGAAGGAATAGGCGACTGGCCGCCTACAATTTAGCGCCGTCAGACAGCTGAATCCGCCTGCTACAGCCGCCTCAGCCCTAATATCAGCAGATCTGCAGTGCTGGGTGACCTCGACCAGCCAAACCTAGGGAATCTCCAACAACTGAAAGTCATGTTTGCTTTCTTTAAACCGTTAAACGTATGAAATGTATCATGTTCTAACGGCAACATGCCATGGCTTTGGGTCACTCATGCGAATCTCGTACTCACTCTAGTCATGTCAGAGCACTTTGGATCTCCAGAGGGTGGATAGCAGTGGCTCACTCATTGTACTATGAAGTCAAAATAGATTGACACTTCTTGGTTTTGAAAGGAAAGTTACCGGTAATACACAAAGAATAAAAGCAGGAGCAGGAAGGCATTTCCAGGAAGACAACTACTGGTAGAAGTATTTATTTGGGACTTGCCAATTGTAGGCTCTTTACCATCCCGGTCAGCCACAGTTCTACAAGCCACAAATGACCAGTTATGGGCTAGTGTATTCTAGGCTTAGCGTAATCATGTCGCAGTGGGCAGGAGGCTGGAACCGAACTTGAGTCTCTTTTGGGAATTGGGAAGTTCGTCGTCGCAGCACTTTCTCAGATTTGCTCCTCGTTCACCACCTTTCATCCTCATCATTCCCGCCACCGCCACCGCCATAGCTTCTGCACTTGAGGACTGAAGCAATTGCCCCGCCAAGATAACCTCACGATCTCTGAACGTTCCTCTACGACGACACCCCAGACAAGATGGGCAAGAAGAAGCGTGGCCACCCCGATGTGGAAGAGCTGCTTGCTCGGCCATGGTGCTACTACTGTGAGCTGCGCATCATCGATCCCACTGCTACCATACAGCTAACAGATGAATTACTCAGGCGAGCGTGACTTTGAGGATCTGAAGCTGCTCATCTCTCACCAAAAGGCCAAGCACTTCAAATGCGACCGCTGTGGTCGTCGACTCAATACTGCTGGAGGTCAGTCCATTTCTTAAAGAAGTCACTTTGAGCTCTTTGCAAGCCCGCTTGCCATGGAAGCACATACAGCTAACACGGCTGTCCTGCACAGGTCTTTCTGTCCACATGAATCAAGTCCACAAGGAATCCCTTTCCAGTGTCGAGAATGCCCTTCCCAACCGACAAGGCCTCGAGGTCGAGATCTTCGGAATGGAAGGTGTGCCCGAGGACATTGTGCAGCAGCACAACCAGCGCATCATTCAGAACTACTACCAGGCTCAAGCCGAGCGACACGCTGCTACCGGAAACCCCCCGCCGGGGCAGGGTCAGGGCTCTGCGAAGAAGATCAAGGTCGAATCGAAGGATGATCTCAAGAAGAGACTGGCTGAGCATCGTGCAAGATTAGCGGCTCAGAAGGCCTCCGGAGGTGCTAATGGCAGCCACGGTAACACGCCGAGAGATACTCAGAGTCCCGGCCAGAGCGCTAGCCCAGGCGCATTTGTGAGTTGCCTAGTCTACTATCGAATTTCATGCGATGCTAATCAGCACAGAACTCACCCTTCAGTGCACCCCCGCAACCCGGCTTCGATTATCCCCAGGGATATGGCCAGCCGGGCGTGCCCCCCCAAAATTTCCCTCCGAACTACTCCCCGAATGGTCCTCCCCCGCCAGGAGGCTTCAACACCTCCTTGCCTGCCCGACCGCCCAGCCTACCCTCCGCTCCCGGCCTACCACAGCGACCTGGCTACGCGGGCAACTACTACCCCGGAACAGGTGCGCCGGGTTTCCCCGGTGGCGCATCTACTGTTGATGAGCTTGTTGCTGGTGCAGCTCGCTCCGGCGATGATATTGACCAGCTGATCCGCATGGCCGAAGCCGGCATCAAAGTTCCTCTTAAGAAGGAGAATGGAACACCGACAGAAGCTGCTCCCGCCGAACCCGCCGTGGAGAAGAAATCTAAGAAGGACAAAGACAAGGGCAGGATGATATACTCAGATCCGGAGTTCAGTCCGGAGGAGAGGATGGCTCAAATGCCCAGGTACGCGTACGTCCCCTCCGCAGCCTAAGACTGAGCAGTATTTTGTGCGGGATACTTTTGGAGGTAAGGGGGAAACATCACTGCATCACTGGTGTCGAGGATTGGTACTGCTCTTTGGCAGGTTCAATCAATACCCGACCATCACTCGATGCAACATGGCTACCTAGGTTCGACGGCGTCTTTTCTGCGAGGTAAGGAATCAAAAGAAGGTTTGGCGTCTTTTTAGCTTCCTAGCCTCCCCTGTATCATGGGTTGTACGAAATACAATATAATGAGAAATAGACGCATTGCCACCTTGCGTCGGATTTCAAATAGTCATTGGTTGCAGCCCACAGTCGGAGGTGCATCTTCTACTATCAGTGATGCGTGAAGTAGCTATCTTGGCTATCTTGATAATACGAGATGATATGGTCTGCTACAGCTCAATACAAGCCTGCAAGGTGGTCTACGTTCTATGTTTCTGCTCTCATTCCGGTGCGATTTCGGCTTCATTTGGCGGCTGTTTTGATTTCTTTCATCCTAGCTCATCCCTGGAATGTCGAATGGTGCTTCCAGAGTGAATATCATAGCGAGAGTTGCTCCTTTCTTAATTGCACGTGTTTTCGCGTTCATATCTGGAGGCGTTGTTGGATCTCGCGGCAGTCAGGAGACGCCCAGGCAGAATCGCGAGACCGCCGCATCTAGTCGCCCCGAACAGCGCACCGCGGGCTGGTGAGCCAGGAGACAATGACACAATGCCTGCGCGTCGGATTGAGAACCATTTGTTGATTGACATGATACGCGACGCGTTTACTGATTGACATCATGTCAAAAGCAGCTCAATCGCCGCGTGTTGGACGCATGCAGTTCTTCAGCTTTTCAGCATTAGGAGAATCAAGATGAAGGCTATCACTGGTGCACCATCTAATCTATTCGAGGGACTGTACAGAGCCCTTAATCTTAATACTTCAGACTCTCAGGCAGATCACATTCGCCTCGTTGAAGAATACCTGACCAAGGCAACATGGAAAGGCGCTGAGAACGCCAACTCGACCTACTCCCACCAGGGATTGATGCAATATGTCTCGGGTCACATCATCTCTGACTACTGGCTAAACAGTGTGTACACAGAAGAGATCCGACAGTATAGTAACGAGAATCGTTTTCATATCCATGATCTTGGCTTCCTCAGCGCTTACTGCTCCGGATGGAGCATCGAGGACATCCTGCTACAGGGATTCGGCGGCGTCGAAAACAAGATCCAGTGCCGGCCACCAAATCATCTCAACACAGCCCTCAATCAGACGGTCAACTTCCTCTTCACGCTGCAAGGCGAACTCGCCGGCGCCCAAGCCTTGTCCAACTTCGATACATACCTCGCGCCATTCATCCGCCAAGATGGCCTGACGTACGTCGAAGTATTCAAGTACGTCCAGAGCTTCGTATACTCGCTTAACGTCCCCACACGGAGCGGCTTTCAAGCGCCCTTCACCAACATCTCGATGGACCTCATCTGTCCCAAAAGCCTCGTGGGGCATCCGGTGATCATTGGTGGGAAGTATCACGAGGAATGGGTGTATGATGACTTCCAGGAAGAGATGGATATCTTCAATAGGGCATTCACGGCAGTTATGGTTCAGGGAGATGGTAATGGGAGCATCTTTTCCTTTCCAATCCCGACGTATAACCTCTGGGAAGGCTTTGATTGGCAATCTCCGCGGTTTGAATCCATTTGGGAGATGACTGCCAAGTATGGTGTCCCATACTTTGCCAACTTCATCAATAGTGATCTGAACCCCGAGGACTTTCGCTCGATGTGCTGCAGGCTTCGACTTGACGTCAGCAAGTTGCACAGTCGGGGAGGCGGGCTGTTCGGCGCAGTACCGCTGACGGGATCTATCGGTGTCGTGACTCTGAACTTACCCAACCTTGCCATGCGCTCTAATGGCACCAAGGAGTCTTTTTTCGCTGTGCTTGCTGACACACTCCGAGTAGCCAAGGATTCGCTCGAGATCAAGCGCAAGATCGTCGATGGGCACTCTGCATTGTACCCGTACGCGGCTCACTATCTCTCTGTCATCAAGAAGAGAACAGGATCGTACTGGACCAATCACTTCAGTACCATTGGAGTCAATGGCATGAATGAAGCTCTCATCACCTTGTTCGGAGATGGCATCGTGGGAAAGAAGGACTTTGCCATTGAGGTGCTTGAGTTCATCAAAGAAGAACTCCAGCAGTTTCAGAACGAGACAGGGAATCTCTTTAACCTCGAGGCTACACCTGCGGAGAGCACTAGCTACAAGCTAGCTCAAAAAGACAGAGAGCTCTTCCCGGGGAAGGACATTCCGAGCTTCTACACAAACTCCACAGCGCTGCCTGTCGACGCAACGGAGGATCTATTTGAGGCCCTGGATCATCAAGAGAAGCTGCAGTGTGCCTACACTGGAGGCACCGTCTTCCACGCGTTCCTTGGCGAGAGACTGTCGGGAGGGAAGCAAGCCCGAGATCTCGTCCAAGCAATCGCATCGCGCTACCGCATTCCTTATATCTCACTGACGCCCACTTTCAGCATCTGCAAGTCTCATGGATACATCACTGGGGAGTGCCCGCAGTGCCCGAAATGCGGCGAAGAGGCTCTTGTGTACTCCCGTATTGTAGGCTACTTCCGGCCTACGAGAGACTGGAATAAGGGGAAGAAGGAAGAATTTGCTATGCGCAAATACTATCGATACACTGCTCCAGCCAGTGCATCCTCTGCTATTACGCAGCTTCCATCAATCGCAGACATCAAGCCTCCGGTGGCAGGATACACCAAGCTGACGCTGAGCGACTATCCTGGCAAGCCTCAAGCTTCGATCATGTTCACTTCACGGTGCAACCTAGCTTGTCCGTGGTGTCATAACGGACCAGTCGTTCGGGGTCGACGAGACGATGTCACGATCCAGGATGTGCTGAAACATATCACAGCCTCGCAACATAAATGCCTCGTCGTCTCTGGAGGCGAGCCAACAATTCATGCTGGTCTGCTACCCTTCCTTCGCGTTCTCAAGGCTGCAGGTATCAGTGTCAAGCTTGACACGAACGGCACTTCGCCGGACGTACTACGACAAGTGTATACTGAAGGCTTGGTTGATTTTGTTGCCATGGACCTCAAGTGCAAGTTGGACAGGTACAAAGAAGTTGCTGGGCGAGCAGTTGATCCGGCCGTGCTGGAGGAGAGCATCAACTTGATCAAGGACTCAGGTGTTCCGTATCAGTTCCGCACTACGGTGGTTCCTGATCTTGTTGATATTGAGGACGTGCTGGAGTGCAAGAGGCTCGCAGACGGGGAACTGACAGTCCAGAAATTCAGGAAGGGTGGTTCGAATCTACACTCAAGATTCAGGGATGCGAGAGAGCATACTGATGAAGAGTTTACGACGATCCTGCAACGGGTTAACAGGGATAGGTGAGTAGCAGTAGAGAAGGGTTATTTGGTAAAGGCGTTGCACTAATGATTGGTCTTTCATTCTGTTCTGTTTGTACCATAGGATGAGCATCTATTACATATCTTCTCTGATGACGAACTGGCCTCGCACGTGTATGACCCAGGGCCTTGTTGTGTGCTTTATTTCTGTTTACCGACTCGTGTGCTAAGTCCCAACTCCCTACAGTGGTACGCTTCAAGCTTCAGCAAAATACCTTTTCATTTGGGCGCTGTGGCGGCACTTGTGCCAATGCTCATGACGTGTATACAAGGGTCAAAGTGCCCTAGAAATTAGCGATTGATCAGACGTCATTTTCTGGAAGCCAACGAAGAGGCACATCTTGTGACAAGTCGGATTCAGGGCTCTCTTAACCCTGTTCGTCAACCGGCCACACCCGCAATGGGGCTGACAACTGAACCACAACCAGTGACAACGTATAAACACAACAAAAAGAATGATCGGTCTCCCCCACCCCCGGCAGCCCGGGTTACCCGACATGCTTCCTTAACGGACGCCAGCAGCGGCTCAGCGGCTGGCCGTTGGCTGCGGACTCTTAGATCTGCATCCGGTAGCGCCTCGCCTGACATGGCGACCCATAGCACACCGGGGAGCATATCCTGAACAAGGGGCCAGTTCCGGGTGCTTGTTGATGCTGTTTGTAACGCTGCGTCTCCCCCGCGAGGCATTCTGAATGTCACGTCGTCACAGATTGCACACCAGTAATATGGATAATACATACGGGCAGGGAACCCAAGGTTTCCCGTACAGTCCCACAATGTTCTGTCTCCCCGTACTTTCAAGAACAATTCGTTCGTCTATCTGCATACAGGACGCCCTACCCAATGGCTTCTGAGAGTCCAACCACAAGATCACCTGCAGCTGCTACGGGATCACCCGCTGCCGGGTCACACCCAGCGCCAGGCGCTGAGGTGTCAGCACCGGTGGAGGCTGATGACACTGTTGAGCCGGGCAGGGAAGACGACGCTGATTCTGCCATTGACTCGAATAGCTTGCTCTCTACTGAATCGCTCTCTGAAAGCATCTATGAGTACCGCAGGATCCATGGCCGAACATACCAAGCCTCCAAGACAACCGAGTACTGGGCGCCGAACGATGACCAGCAGAATGAAGGTCTCGACATGTTGCACACGGCCCTCGTCATCATGCAGAATGACAAACTCTTCCTAGCCCCCATCGGCGATAATCCCAAACGTGTTCTCGACGTGGCCACTGGCACGGGCATCTGGGCCATTGACTTTGCGGATCAGTACCCTGGAGCCGAGGTCATTGGCACTGACATCAGTCCTATTCAACCATCATGGATCCCGCCTAATTTAAAGTTCGTGATTGATGATTGTCTGTTAGACTGGACATGGCCCGAGGACCACTTCGACTTCATCCACTTCCGCTCTCTCTACGGCAGCATAACGGACTGGGGCGAGTTATACAAGAAGGCATTCCGCCATCTCAAGCCGGGAGGATGGCTGCAGGATCTCGAGATGGACGTTCTGCTGCAGAGCGACCATGTGACATTCCCCGAGAAACACATCTACAAGACATGGGGCGATGCGTTCGCAAAGGGCGGCGAGGCGATGGGCAAGATCTTCACGATCACGCGCGACCATCAGATGCGCGACTATATGGAGGCCGCCGGCTTTGAGGACATCACAGAGGTCAAGCTGAAAACGCCGACCCACGGATGGCCGAAGGACAAGCGGCTGCAGCAGGCGGGGTTGCTGACGCAGGCATGCCTTGATCAGAGTCTCGAGGGGCTCGCTATGTTTGTTTTGACTATGGTCCTCCAGTGGACCAAGGAAGAGGCTCTCACATTCGTCGCAGAGATGCGCGGAGAATCTAGGAAAAAGTCAAATTGTGCCTATTGTTTGACGTGAGTGACCAGCCTGGGCACTGCTGCCAAGTGCACACCCTCTCTTTGCGGCACTTTCTGAACTAAATCTCGTGATAGGACGGTTGTTTATGGCCGAAAGCCATTATAAGCATGAAGTGCAATGAGAATATGGCTTATGAGGCATGAGATCGGAGTTAGGTGGAAGTGTGGTGTTTCCATGTCACAGGCACGGCTTTCTTGATGCAGCATGAGCTACGGCCATCTCCGGCAGAGTGGTCGAGATAACGACTTCGTCCTTCGAAACGCTTTGCATTCAGGTCTGCAATCACTCTAGAATAATCACGTCCCTCTTTTGCATAGTGATTGATAACGAACGAATATTCCTCATTGAGTCCTTTTTCGACAGATTTCGGTCAATGTATGCGTCGACGTTGCTGAGACCCCATGTTGTCAGTTAGTTCTACGGCGCTGTGGGTACAGTACCACTTGTGATCGGGGCGCCCGACAGAGCCCGACAACAGAGATAAGTAAGATAAGATGAACGAGATTAGCTCAGGTACTCTTCAGAAGCAACGATTTTGTTCCATGTAAGTGGAAGGATAAAGCTAGTGTACCTGGCTTTTGGGTAGACTCGCTTTGGTCCTTATGCACCGGCTTCTACCAAGCTGAGTGACTCGATAGCCTAGACTACGTACCTACAATGGCCCTCACAAGTGTCATTGCGGGATGGTCGGCCAGCCTGGCGACTACCCTTGCCTGTCTGATCACCCTCGCCTGGGTCTGCCGGTGCCTGTATCGCATCTACCTCCATCCCCTGGCGGGAATCCCTGGCCCTCGTCTTGCCGCATGCACATCACTATGGCTTGCGTGGCACACCTACGTTGGTGATGAGTGCACTGCCATTTTCCGGTTGCACGAGAAGTATGGCCCAGTACTGCGGGTTGCGCCCAACGACATCGACATTGCCGATGGCGATGCCGTCGATCCCATCTACGTACAGCATGGGGGCTTCCAGAAGACACAGGCCTACTCCAAATTTGATATCGATGGCCACTCGACCATTTTCTCTACGCAGACACTACCGGCACGTGCCAGCAGAGCCAAAGCTGTGGTGCCACTCTTTTCGACTTCATCAATTCGGAATTCTCAATCGATACTATCTTCGGTAATCGACCAGTTCATCGCACGGATCCAACGTGAGGGTCATAAGGGCAAGCCCGTCAATGTCCTCAACCTGACCCGGTCCATGGCCCTCGATGCCGTGAGTGCGTACCTCTTTCAGGAACAGTACGGCGCCGTCTCTGAAGACACATCACACATGTCGGCGTCACCCTTTGTTGACGCGTATGTCGGTGTCGGCGCCTTCTTCAATCTGCTTCCGGGCTGGATTGGAGACAAGCTCATGCAATTGATCGAGATGGCTTCGAGTGACGACGAAGTCGCCCACTCGATGAAAGCCATGGATCAGTACACCGGAGGTCTGGTCAAGACAGCCATGTCTGGCAGTGGAAGCTACGCTAGTCGATTGTTAGAAAGGTCAATTCCTCGGGATCAAGTGCAAGTCGAGCTGAAGGATTTGTGCTTTGCCGGCACTGATTCGACCGGCATGAATATGGCCATGATCCTCTGGTATCTATGCAAGAGCCCAGAGAAGTACGCACATTACTATTGAAATTGTAACTATAGACCATCACTGACATTCTCTTCCTGGTAGATACGCTAAGCTACGAGAGGAAATTCTCGGGAAAATGGACAAGGATGAGGATATCACGACAGGTCCATATTTGCGAGGGGTCGTGCGCGAGGGACTGCGGCTATCCTGGGCAAACCCGATCCGATTGCCTCGCCTTGTTCCCGAAGGCGGATGGGAATACCGTGGTCACCTCTTCCCCCCGGGTACCTCGGTAGGAGTTGCCGCCTTTCAGCTGCATCAGGACGAGAAGGTCTTCCCCGATGCACAGCGGTTCCTGCCGGAGCGGTGGCTGCAGCCATCCGACCAGATGCTGACCAACTTCTTCGCCTTCGGCAAAGGCAACCGCGCCTGCATCGCCCAGAATTTGGGTACTGCTGAGCTGACGCTCGCCACTGCAAAGGTGGCCCAGGTGGATTTACTCCGGGGAGCTACAGCGGTTCAGGGCAGTATTGACATCTTGGAATGGTTCAACTCCCGCGTTAAGGGGGAGCAGATTCTTATTCAATTCCCTTCATAGAACCTGATGTATGATTGCCGCATTTGGGATACATGAGGAAAATAGTAGTGGATATAGTGAATAGTCTTATGAAAGCTAATGAATCTCATCACTGTATAAAGTCCTATCGGTTGGGGCCGGCATTTCGTCCCCTAGCTTCTTACATGACAATCTTTGTTTAGATATATCAAAACTCTGAGTATCTGACTTCAATATTTAATGTGATTTCTTCGAACCATTAGTAAACACTATGGTTACATCTTGCAAACAATAATGCAGTCTTAATCAATATGTGGACGATTACTGGGTAAGTCACGATAGTGAAGCCTTCGTTAACAGACCTCTCTATTCTGCGATTAAGTGAGGTACGTTTTCTCTGTAAGAAGTAAAGCCACCATCGCAAGCAAATTTGAACATCAGAAGCTTTCTGCCTTCCCTTCCGCTATTGTGCCGATCTCTGCCCCTGTGATGAGACGAAGAGTACAATAACGCCACATCAATAATAACATCGCTGAACACAGGTTAAGCCTCCGGATCCTGCACTCATGCCTCTTCCGCGGCAGCTGAGTTCTTGGCGCCATCCTTTGTAACCACGATGGCTCCTCCCTTAAGAGCCAGACCAGGGTCCCGACCTTCAATGACATCCTTGACATGAATAGCATTTGCGGCAGATGGGCCGTCAAAGATCTCGTCAATTTCTTCCAGAGTCTTACCCTTGGTCTCGACCCAGTAGATGGCAAGGAAGACGACCTGAAGCACATCCCACGCGCCATTGATCATGTATGTCTTCCATCCAATCGAGTCGAGCGCGTACGGAAACGCCATCGTCACCATCAGGCTATTATCACATGCAGTCAGCGAAATAAATTCGCGTGAAATCGTTGAAGAATTCATGAGAACTTACCCAAATCCATTGGTAAGGAACGTGTAGAGACCCATTCCGACAGACCGAATAGAGTAGTTTAGAACTTCTGGGGGATACAGCATGCAGAGCGGCGTCCAACCAAGACTATAGGCTCCCTGGAAGAGGAAAATGCATGCTACGGTTCCGTACACGCCAGAATTATTATCCCCATTTCCGTAGACTGAAGCACGAGGATATCAGTGTGTGTTCCCTATTACTTATTTTATGAGATCGATTGCTTACCTTTGGTCAAGGCTCCTACAAGAAAGATAAAGACTGTCATAATTGCCGAAGACCAGATTGCCAGAGGACGTCGTCCGGCGGTATCTAGCAAGAATGTACCGAACAGGGCGATGACAAGGCACCAAGCATTCAGGATGATGTTCTAGTAGATGTTAGCCTTAGGTCAAGTATTTAATTATTAGAAGAGTCTCTCACAATTTCCAATTGTGTAGTGCTATCAGTAACACCAGCATTATCGAGCATCGCGCCAAGATAGAATGTGATGATGTTGTTTCCTGAGACAGTAATATTTAGCTCAAAAGTCATGTAGCATATAAGGACATGATATATCTTCTTACCAGACACCATAGATATTATAGCTACGGAGATGACCAACATGACTCGTCTCATACTCGACTTAGATTTAACAAGGTCACGATACCCAGTCTGCTGTCCCAATTCTACCTCGGTCTGGAGTGTGTCGATGATCTCCTGGTAGGTCAACAGTACAACTGGATCCTCTCTATTGCCATCTGAATGAGTCAAGGCGATGGCGTCAAGAGCCTCGGAGTGTCGGTCTTGGTAAACCAGCCATCTCGGCGACTCTGGGATCCAGGGAAGCACACCCACAGCCAGGACCATAAAGAGCGCCTGCAGAATAGAAGGCAGGCGCCAAGCCCAAGTTGTTTGAATCTTGGCTGTTCCATAGGTAATTCCGGAGGAAAGAAGTCCACCTAGACAGGAGAGCTTGAGTCAGCCGTTATATCTCAAGACAGTTTCGATCCCAAATCGGGGCAATGTGCTCCTTACCAACATAGTAGAAGTCCATGAATATTCCCAAGCCAATACCACGCCACTTGAGAGGGAAGATCTCTGCGAGATAAATAGGTCCACAGAGGAAGGTAGCGCCGTTGCCAACGCCCACTATAAAGCGTGCTACGACAAACATCGCGATGTTTTGCGAGGTGGCCTGTATGATGATGCCAATCAGAGTGATCAAAGCGCTAATCCACATGGCTTTCTTCCTCCCCAGCCAGTCGGTCAGTTTACCGTAGCCGAGGCCGGCTACAGCGCACCCGGCCCATGCGATGGACGATTGCAATGCCAAGGTTGTAGTGTTCAGATCGAAGTAGTCCGTGTAAGAGGGCAAGATGTTGAGTCCAGACCTATAGTGTCTTAGTCATGTGTCTTGGCATGGAGCACTACAGCTCCTCAAAGTTGCCTTTTGATCATGCTCACATCATCGACGAGTCATATCCTAGAGACTAGAATCATCTGGTATTAGGATCTTGTAACTAAAGGATGATCATAGGAGGCACGCATACTGTTGATAGAGTGCTCGAGCACCACAAGAGGAGGATAAGAGTCCATTTGGAGTTGGCCATTTCTACCGATGGTGTCTGCCGATGTGGGCAGCTCACAAGTAGAGAATGAGTGTTCTCAAGAAACAGAAAATTGCTCCTAATTCTTGCTGGAGATCGTTATGATCCAGGAAATTCGGGGCAGGCTACAATCTCTTGGGAACGACGTCGGATGGCAGGCATTACTTTATAACAACTACTCCACACGGCACGGACATGGCAGAGATTCATATCGTACTTATCTTGTGAATATCTCACTTATCTTGGTGAAGCGGATCCCCGTCCTGCGTAACCCACTAGGCTGGTAACCTCAGTGAGTGAACGGCTCTGTATTCAGTTCTGGGAATGGCTGCGGGGGTGGACCACTGCTACTAAGATGCATGGGCTTCAGCGCGCTCACCACTCCACCACTTAGGAGAGATGTTACAAAATCTTATTCGCGACTATGTACCTAGGTTTAATGGCTGGATTGGAGGTCGGAGAATCCGACGGATTACAAAGGGAGAGATCGACTCTAATTTGCTCAATGAGGTTAATCTGGGGTAAGGGGAGAGATGCAAGTGCGAGAACCAACGTGTCTAGGCCACGAGAAACAAGACGTCGGCTGTCCCGACGAGAGGGACTGGCAAAGATAAGCCTTTCTGTCAAAGATGAACCCAGCTCTTTACGTCTCTAAGTTGCTGAAGAGGACTGATATGGGATTCATCTTATCTGCCGGCCCGCAAAGCTTAGCAAGTGAGATGTGGAGATGCTAGCCCCTCACTCGCAACGAGCGGAGAGGTCCGCTAAATACAGCGACTAATTGCTGGTAAACAGATAAGCACTTGATCAAAGTCCGCAGGCTATTGTACTGGTGTCTTATCATATCTGGTACATCGGACCCAGAGGAAACAGATATGGAGATCGAGTTAGAGGGATGCGGAGCTTGTCGGTTGGAGTGGAGCTTTATGTACAACATACACGTGTACTTGAAAGTTTACCAAGGACTGGAGGGGCATGAGCCTTGGTACACACTTACGGATCGAAGCTTTGTAAAGACATTACGATTCGCCGTGCAGGTCATACCCCAGAACATCCTTGTCAGCAATTCACTCGAATTTTTGTTGATCTTCTCAACCCCAGCTTTTGTATTCTGCCAAGTCAATCGCCTGCAAACAAAAACACGATGCCTAGCTCAAACGGAGAATGGCCAGACTGGCCCGAGCTGACACCCGAGACTGGTGAGCTGGACCCCGAGAATGTCAAGATCAAGAAAGATATAGCAGCTACATATGGTGAAGCCGCTCTACGAAAGAGCTGGATTGCAGTCTGCGACAAACTTAAGGACTTGACCAATGACATCACTACCAAAGGAACCAGTGTCATTCCCGAGCTGGCATATGACGATGTTTTCAAGCTTAGTGACATAGAGAAGCAGCGTCTGCGAGATGTAGGCTGTTTTGTTGTCCGTGGCCTCGTGCCCGAAGAGACTGCAAATGGTTGGTTTGAGGACCTCAACAACTACGTTAAAGAGAACAAGGGGGCGATTGGAGGTATTTTCAAAAGAAGCTCTTATTCACTTTGACATCTGACTTATTATTTGCAGGTTGGCCAGCCGAAACGCCCTACATTCTCCGTTTATACTGGTCTAAGACGCAGATGGAGGCGCGTACCCATCCGCGAGCGATGGCCCTGCACCGCGCTCTCAACACCTTGTGGCATGACGACGATGATGCTGACAAGGCTTTCGCGGAGCCTCTGGTATACGCCGATGCGGCACGGATTCGTCCTCCAGGCGAGCCTTTTCGAGGCTTAGGGCCACATATCGACGCAGGCAGCCTAAGTCGTTGGGCCGACAGCGACTACCGCAAGGTCTATGAAAAAGTCTGGACGGGAAGCCCTGACGAGTACGATCCGTACGATCTCACAGATCGCAAACGGGCCAACCCAGCCCATTTTGCGGGCAATGCTCACTCACATGTACTCCGCCTGTGGCAGGGCTGGACGGCTCTCACTTCGGCTGGTGCTTATGAGGGCAGTCTGATGCTGTACCCTGAGATCAAAACCACTATTGCTTACGTTCTCCTGCGCCCATTCTTCAAGCCACCAGCGAACAAGGAGGACATCCTCGATGCGGAGAAGTGGACTTTCGATATCGAGGACCCTTGGTTCCCGGGCGTATGGAGGAACACATCACAGGAACTCAGCCCAGAAGCCTTCCCGCATTTGCAGCTTAAGGACTGTCTGGTGCATATTCCCAAGATGGGCCCAGGTGATACTGTGTGGTGGCACTGTGATGTAAGTGCATTGTCCTATCCTACAAATATGAGTTTGCTAATGTCCGGGCTATCGCGATTCTAGATGTGTCACGCCGTAGAGATTGAACACAGAGGAAATGGAATCTCGAGCGTCGCCTATGTAGCAGCTACACCGACAACAGACATCAACTTGGCCTACGTTCGACGTCAGCTCAACGCGTTTCTTAATGGAACACCCCCTGAAGATTTCCCTGGCGGATGTAACGAAAGCGCACTCAAAGGTTATCCTGGTAATAAGATTGTCCTCAATGGCGATGCAGGCAGGAAGGCAGTTGGTTTCGCAATTTAGTTGCTTTGAGCGTGGGCTATAGTGCACGCAATATGTAATGAAAGAAGAATTTGTCTAGAGATGAAAGAAATCCCAAGCACAGCTTCATATTAGATCAATTTTCGAGAATTGACAATCTTGACACAACTCGTGAAGGAGCATTCAAGTATCCAATGGCACGAGACCTGTAATACGATGGGTGGATTGCTCATTTTCTAAGTCTTCAGCTCACCCATCTCAAACTTCTCAAATACTCAAGGTTCAATGGTTAATTGCCTTGATTTTGATAATGCGCCGTGAAAGACAAATACACCTATGGCGAGCCCTTGAACAGTGGACGAAGACATGTGCAGAATCTACCCCTTACCTTACCCACCCTTCCAATTGTTGAGGTTATAATCCCTGGTATACATTTCCCGTATCGCTCCCAAAGCCTGTCGGGTGTCCTTCGTATGCCTTCGGGGCCCCTCTTGCGCCTCTGCAAGTAACATCCCACAAACGTCTGCACTCTCTAATAGCTTTCCCTGTCGTCTCAGTATCCACGCAGTCAAGTCACCTGACGCAAGTGTACTTGCATGATCTGAACCAAGGATCTTACGCTTCACTCCAAAAGCATGGTAAGACAAGGCTAACGCTTCATCCAGATCTCCTCGCTCGAATAGAAACCAAGCAAGGTTGTTCTCATGTACAAGCACAAGACGGTGCTCATGCCCAATTTGTCGCAAACTCGTCTCATATACCTCACGCTGCAGCCAGATAGCTTGATCGAGTTCACCGAGATCATGTAATACAGTTGCGAGGTGGGTTTTGCAGTTCAGTGTGTCGAGATGCTGGGGGCCGAGGACACGAGTGCTCAGGTCGACAGCCTGCTGATGAAGCTTTTTGGCTTGTATCTTATCCCCCTGCCGACATATGGCTACGGCAAGATTGGACAGACTGTCAATAGTGTTCGGATGATCTTCACCAAGCTGTATGCGATACAGTTCGAGCAATCGGGTTCCAAGCTTTACAGCCATGTTCACCTGCTGCTCATCATAGGCCAGTGCAGCAGCCCATACTACGCGCTCCATGGTATCCATGGTGTCAATATGATCCTCGCCAAGGTACTTCTGTTTGATCGCCAAGGAAGCCTGCAGTCTATTCCTGCACTCTTCACTGTCGCCCGTCCAAAAAATATAACGGCCTGTGAAATCTAGTACCCTGGCTCTTGCAACTTCCGCCTCTCGGGAGGGCTGTCTAAACTCGTATCTTAGGACTAAGTCTGCATGAGGGAGAAGAATTTCACAAGTTTTGAAGTAATCCTCTTGAGGATGATTCAGGGGTCTAGGAAACCTCGAGGCAACCGAATACAAGGCTTCCAACCCTCGTTTCTCCAGCTCATCAGGTGACTGCATCTGTAACCACGAACGGGTCACGAGCTGGACGAGACGATGTGTTTCGAATGTGGTCTCAGTATCGTCATTATCGATGAGTGAAAATGACCTAAGAACGCCTACCGCTTCCTCGATATCAAGTTCATTTTCGTGGTTATTCCTAAGCAGGAGCCTTGGGATGCTTTGATGTTGCAGAAAGCTGATTAGGTAGAGCAATTGGGCTGCCCGCTGGTTATTTTTGTAGATCCATTCAAAAGAGATTATCCACGTTTTCGCTATGGACTCGAATGACCGTTCTTGTCGACCATGCTCGGACACTTCATAGCTAATCAGCCGCGTTCTCGTCTCTTCGTTTGACCGATACTGCTCAAGATATTGAGATACACTTCTCCGCCTTTTGATCATGTAGGCAATTGCCTGTGTGATAGCCAGCGGTATATAGTCCAGTTCTTGCAGCAACTCCAAGTAGAGAACATCATCCGCCACTTCGTTGGGTAGACGGCTCTTGAGTAATCGAATACCTTCCTCTCCATTCATCACATCTACCGCCACAGGAGTTGCCGGAGTGGCGAGGTCGTATGCCATGTCACTGGTCCTTGTAGTGAAGAGCAGACAACCCTGCTCACAACGAGGGATGCTTTGTGAAGGCGTCCGTCCATCTCGCATTTTTTCGTGGAAAAATGCATCTTTATCGTCGACGTTATCAAGCACCATCAGCCAAGGTCTATTGTATTGCACCTCCAGCCAATTCTTCACCAGCATGGCTGCGTCATCTGGTGCAACGCCGTGCGTGACAAGACCACACTCCATAGCAATTCGCCTGAATGACTCCTCAAACCGAGCAGCTGTTGCTGCATTCACCCAGAAAATTGAGCACTGGTCGCTCTTGTCTCGTCTCTGGCAACAGTATTCGAGGGCTATTTGGGATTTCCTAGTGCTGGTATATTAGAGAAGATACGGGGAGTATTCGCCCTATTCACCTACCCGATACCACCTAGACCAAATAGAGCAACCTTCGGTTGCGTGCCCGCCTTGACCTTGAATGCGGCGTCGATTTGCTCAAAATTGTCACTTCTCCCAACGAAATTCGCATTGCGATCCAATGGTACCAACCAGAAAACATTCGATTTTGTGAATGCAGCTGTTTCTGACTCTGATCCGGTTCTAATGACTTGATGGAAAGTAAGAACTCTTATGTACTTATCCAAGGCCTCTGAGATTTCTTCAACCTTGCTCTCCTTCGCCAGACTCGCGACCGCTTTTCTCCGCCGTTCCCAGGACGAGGCAGCAGTGGCAGGCAGGATCTTGTCAAGCAGCTCATCCAGCTGCTCGGTCGAGCGGCGACACTCCACGATGACCGGCTTGAGAGCCGACTGCGTTGACTCGGCAAGCTCTCCTGAATCAACTTGTGCGGAGATCCTTTTCAAGGCATCAACAATGAGCGGCAATTCTGTCTTAATGTGACGAAATGATTTTGGTATCTGATTCAAGTCCACGGTGAACTCATTTAGGCGACTGACAACCTTTCCCGCGAACTCGACGAACTGCAGGATAGCTCCTGCAAGGCCAATGGCTGAAACTGGATCCATGGACTTGTATGCCGACCAGGCTGGCAGGCCAATCGAGGTGGTTTTGGTTTAACTGCGCGACATGACATGACGGGATTCCGTGCCATCAATCCAATTCTTTCGCAAGAGACCTTGGGCCATGCGGCTGACGATGCCAACGCGGCGTCGCCTTTGCTCAGGTGATGGACGAACGCGAGCCTATCAGGCAGCGTCATGCATGCTGTCGGCCATGCATATCCCGTCCCGTCCCAGCCCACCACGGGCAGTGCGCGCACTTGCACTGCCGGCATCACTGAGCAAAGGCAGGGAAAGCTATGCGCATTTCTACATGTCGAAGAATTCGTGTTCTCGACGCTCCTGTTGCATCCTTTTGTAGTGCAAGTAGGGGGGCACAATGCACAAGAATGAAGTCATCTCTAACAAAATCCTTGTCCATTCTTTCGAGCACAGCAAGATGTCATGGAGGAGTCACATTGAATATGCGCGCGCGTGTAGCACCTCCTCAAGTACCCAAATGACTGTCTAACGGCTTAACAAACCGTAACGTAGTCTATGATAAGCAAGCCAAAGCGCTTCGATGTCATTCATTAAAGTTCAGGCTCTGGCTTTGATACGGTGAGGCGATGATCGTCTCAGGAACGGGGCCAGATTACCTTTAGGCAGAATCTGGTTGGCTGGCTGCTCGTAGCTAACGTTAGATACGTCATGGGACGATGTGCCGGTGCTATGCGGGGCGACAAAGCCTCTGTGAGCTGACCTACCAAGCCCAAGCAAAGCCTACGCCCATGTCTCAGCCTCCGGAAAGAGGCAGCAATGTACCTTACTCGCGTATCCGGCAAGCTTTGTCCTCTCTACTATGCAGTAATTAGACTTAGGCATTGAAGGTTAGTTAATGTAGGTATCAGACTAATGTCAATGGCAGGCAAGGGATTCTTGCTCTGCCTTAAAGTCGAGGCACGATGCCTTGTTCCCCCACAGTCTTGTTATCATTCCTACTAAGTAACACTCCTTGACCCCAATCTTGACACTTCACCTTTCCACCAAAGACATTGACGGACTCGAATCCCGAACGAAAAAGAGCAACAGTGATTCTATAGCCTCAACTTCAAAACCAGAATGGCCTCTTCCAACCAGCAAGTCTGCCCGGTCGTTGGTACTACCAACAGCGTCCTGCCGCCGTCCCACCCCGACATCGACCTCTCCCAGCCCGGGCAGACCTGCCCCGTCGTCGGTGCGAAGACTGACCACCACCACAACCTGCACAAGCACCCCTCCGTGCCCATACCCGCCGACGCGGCTCCCGGCGATGCTCAGAAATGTCCTGCGCTGCGAGAGGTCGTCGATGAGCCCAAGAGCAAGGAGATGGACGATCAGGTCTGCCCCGTCGTTGGGCCGGTGACCACCATTCTCCCGCCAGACCACCCCAGCACCTCGGGCAAGGAGGACGGTGCCATCTGCCCGGTCACGAAGGCGCAGGTTGGACATCACAAGAATAAGGTGGCAGAGCATCCGGACGTGTCACATGCTGCACCTGGTGCAGTGTGTCCGGTTGTAGGAGCCAAGGCTTAAAAAAGACCCTGATTCAATACGGAATGCATAATTGTTTCGTCACAAACACTCGTATTGTCGTTTGTTTTCGGAGTGTTAGAGGGTAAACAGGACAGGAGACACTTTGCCAAAACCAACTATTGCTGTTCACACAATCCAACTATGTGTTGGTAGTGTATGAGATGACATATCTTATTATACGATATCTTGATGCCACCATGAAGCGTTGAGCCTGGGTATGAAGTGACAGACTTAACATTGGACCTAATATCTCCCGCATCGTGTCTGCAGAATTCAAAGAGGCCGACAAGCTCGTCGGCTTCTTTCATCAGAATAGCGAGGTGGGATATTCTCGAAGTTCCATACCTAGCATTTGGTAGCATGACAGCTCCCCAGATCAATTAAAGATAGTATAGAGGCCCCAAAGGCAGCATACGCCCATGTCCACGGTGCAGCCCTTTCCTGGAGACTTGATGCTTGACTTCCACAACACACCACTTACATTCCGACGACTGCAACTCCTACCCAAGCTTGACCTCCTGCCAATCTCTCTCCTTGAAAGCAGCCTGAAATACCTTGCCAAGGCCGACTCGTTCTCAAACGCCGTCGTCGTCATTACGCTCTAGAAGTAGCACAAAGGAAAAATCCCATTCTGACTCATCACGCTCCTTTGGTATGTAGTATGTCCATATCGGACACTCCTGGATAGTGAAGGATTTCGCGTCTGAGATTGCACTATTATCTCTCTTTATAGTAACCATTTTAATAAAGTATAATATTTTTTATCAGTAGTCCTCTTTTTGATGCCTAGTAATCACGTATATGCTTTTCTGACATGACTAACTAACAGTAGTGAAGAAGAGGCTTCACAGAAATAAGTTCGAGGCCCCTGGCAACTGTGAAGAGACTCTAATAACGATGATAGTAATATGCGGGTGCTTATGCACTGATAGCGCCTCGCAACCATAGAAAAGCATTGTAGTACCTAGGTAGCATCACAAACTGCGTTTATCGAGCATGAGGTGTCAAATAAAGGCGGCTGACAAGGTAAATTCTAGTGGCGGTTAGGGTGGCTTCCGATTGACTTTTAGATAGAGATTGCCATGTGGATCCTGTTGTCGCCATCGAAGTTCAGCTTGATGTATTTGTCCACCAAGGTCTTGTGCCGAGGGCAACTGCTTCGAATAAAGTTGGCCCAACAGTCAATAGCACGCGTAGTGCGGATAACGATATGGCCTCACAAATTACAACAGGGTGTTTGTGGGTATCAAAGGCCGGAGGTTGAAGCCGCAGAGCTATGAAGGAAAAGGCCACGACTGCTCGATTTTCTCCCTCTAATTGCATTGTTAATAACTATCCCAACTCTCCTAGCTGGACTGAGTCCTGTCTTGTTTCTCCCAATGACTGATCTTGCTCCTATGCTGAAGAGTAATAATATTATCAAACATCTATCGACCTACTCGCATCTACCTACTTGTCAAGTAGGTGAAATGTAGGCGACAATCACTGGAGTGAATGAGTGCAACTACTAGAATTGAGCCAGGTTTCTTGACAGAACCGAGGCAAGAGTATTAATTAAGGCGATAAACTATACGAATGAAGTTACCTAATGTTGCGTTGCGCTGTTCATGTTTGGAGGAAGGATTCGTGATACTGTAGGTGTAAACAAGCAGGTCACAATGTAAAACAAAAGCGAGATAAGGATAGCAGGGGATTGGCTTGGGGAAGGTGGGGCACATTGTGGCTCCTGTCAGGGCATGTCAGGGCAGGCGCGATCAAGCCACACCAACACTGGCGGAGCAGCCCAGTCGCACGCTGCAGGGGCTCTGCACTAAAGACTAAAGCAAGTTAGTGGAGCAGTTGGCAGGCTGCCGGTTACCTGGGGCAACCACAAGGCACTGTTGACTCCTGAGCATTTTCGAGCTCCAGACCAAACCAGACCACGACCAAACCAAGCGGACGTCACTCCAAGACAACATCCACAATTCGCTCCTCTCCTCCTCCTCACTAATAGCCGACACCAACAGCTTTCTCCCACGACAGTAACATTTTCTTTTTTGACTTCGACAGCGCCTTCTTCTCTTCGCACTTCGCGCTGCGGCATTGCAGGAAAGCATCCTTCTCAGTATCACCAAGTCGAAGCTCTCCCGGCGCTGTCTGCATTGTGTCTTTTGTACACTGTTCCGCTGCACAACAATCATACTGGCGAGGCTGTTTACACCAAATATCTGGAGGCATCTGAGGGAGGACTCATAAACTCGCCACTGAACCACTACGGCGGCATCCACGATGCTTCCAACCGATCCTGGCGCATCCTCCATCACCGTCGCGGGTATGTCGGCAAGCGATGATGCGTGCACTGCTGTGGCGGTTGATATCAGGCTAACCCTGCTGTAGTACGAGTGCGGCCCTTCACAATTCGAGAAGCCGCTCAAGTGTGAGTCGACAAACATGACAACAGCGGCGAAGGTATCATTAGGTCTAACTCTTGAGCAGGGTGAAGAATGACGATGGCACTTTGTTCCTCGGCGACGGGTCTCTGGCGGCGGCACCAACACCAAGCCTGAAGCAGCGCGGGATCCGATCTGTGATCAAGGTGGTGGATGAACGATGCCTGTACGTTTCTCTCGGCTTGTACCCTTTCTCCGCGAACGGTTGCTGACCATGGACGCAGTGTGTTCGATCCCCCAGAAGACAACCCCGTCCAGAAGTTCTCTCGATCGGTCGTGCCAACATCTGGCAAGAAGGTCAAGGACCAGGTGTTTGCCTTCGACCGTGTCTTCGACGACAACGCATCCCAGGCCGATATATACGAAGGCACGACTAAAAACCTTCTTGATAGTGTCCTGGATGGCTATAATGCAACTGTGTTCGCATATGGCGCCACAGGATGCGGCAAAACACACACAATTACCGGCACTGCACAACAGCCCGGTATCATCTTCCTGACAATGCAAGAACTTTTTGAGAAGATTCAGGACCGCAGCGACGAGAAGGTCACCGAGGTCTCCCTGTCATACCTAGAAATTTACAACGAGACAATCCGCGATTTGTTGGTGCCGGGTGGCAGCAAACAGGGCCTCATGCTTCGTGAGGACTCCAATCAAGCCGTCACTGTGGCAGGCTTGACCAGCCACCATCCCAAAGACGTGCAGGAAGTCATGGATATGATCGTCCAGGGCAACGAGTATCGGACCGTATCTCCAACGGCGGCCAATGCCACTTCATCTCGTTCACATGCTGTACTTCAGATCAATGTGGCCCAGAAAGACCGCAACGCAGATGTAAATGAACCGCACACAATGGCAACACTCAGCATCATCGATCTTGCTGGCAGCGAGCGAGCTAGCGCCACGAAGAACCGGGGAGAACGCCTGCTAGAAGGAGCCAACATCAACAAGTCACTCTTGGCTCTGGGGAGCTGCATAAATGCACTTTGCGACCCACGGAAGAGAAACCATGTACCCTACAGGAACAGCAAACTGACTCGACTTCTGAAATTCTCTTTGGGCGGAAACTGCAAAACAGTCATGGTCGTTTGCGTCAGTCCCTCTAGCGCTCATTTCGACGAGACTCAGAACACCTTGCGATATGCCAATCGCGCCAAGAATATCCAGACCAAGGTCACCAGGAATGTTTTCAACGTCAATCGACACGTCAAAGACTTCTTGGTCAAGATTGATGAGCAGATGGCAATGATCAATGAACTAAAGGCGCAGCAGAAAGATGCCGAGAACATCTTCTTCGCAAAGTTTCGCAAAAATCTCGAGAAGCGGGAGGTTGCCGCACGAGAGGGCGTGCAACGAATTCGCGTGGCTTATGAGAATTCCGTCAGTGAGCGGCAGGCCAAGATCAACACGATGAAGAAGCTCAAGGTCTTCGAGAGGAGAATAAGCCTGCTCTCTGCTTGGATTGCGTCGTTCGATGCGATCTGCGATGCAAGGGAAGACGATGATGCCATGCCACCTAATCTCACTGCCATGCGCAAGACAGCACAAGGCATCCTTGTTGAGTTGGAGGCCAGTCGACAACACATCCATCAACAGCTGGAGCGTTCTAACTGGGAGCGTGCGATCGATACAGCTCTTCACCATAGCATAACTCAACTACCTACAGGGGATGGCATCGCTGACTGTGGTGAAGCGGCTAGCTTGACTCGAGAGACCGAGGTTCTAAAAGCGAATTTCATGCGCGAAGCATATCAACAGGTCTTGGAGCAGGAGAAGGGCGCCGATGCTGCCACAGTCCAGGTGCTTCTGACCGCACAATTTGAGATTCTTGCTTCGTTGGCCGAGACCTTGGCCATGGATGAGGCGGAAGCGATCGCTCATGCCAGGAGTATCATCAACCGATTACTCGAGACCGGTCATGCTGCTGCTTCCCATGTCATCAAACCAGATGGCTCGGTGGCTCCAGCTGAGATGTTCCCTCCATCTAAACGAGGCACACCGAAGAAGAAGAGGACATCAGTAGCACATGTGAAGCCCGTCGCTGCTCCCGCTCTAGCATCGATGTCCACCTCGCAGCAACAAGCTTTCGTATCACCGATGAAGTCTTCGCCCCGTCGACGAAAGGTTCTGAATGCTCGGAAGGGAGTATCGTTCACACCTGTGAAAAAGAAGACGCCAACGAAGCGGGTGGTTCGATGGCGTGACGACGAGACGGAGGAGGGCACCCTGGCCGACTTTGAGAAGACACCACAGAAGCCGGCCTTGACGTTAGATCCAGTAAATATCGGTATATCTGATACAGCCCCGACTCTTCCACCACTGCCAACCTATTTAGAGGTCCCCGAGGAAACATCGGATTCAAGCCCCTCGCTAGTGGTTCCAGAGCCGTCGACCCTCTCGCTAGCTAAGCCCAATAGGTTCCAGGCTGGATTCTTATCCAAATCCCGAGGCTCTGACGGCTCACCTGCCCCAACAGCACCGACTTTGTCGCTCAACCTTGCTGGGTCATCCGATAGCGAAGACAAGCCGACCCCTCTTAGGCCTCTTGACGTCAGTAGATCGGGTAATTACCTATCTCCCACCTTGAAAGGATCTGTAAGAAGCCCGAAACCCCCGGTGACCACGTCCCTGGACGAGAATAATCCGCCTTCAGCCATCCCGCTCTCCGCCACTGCTTCGGCCTCGAACTCGGATTCTGAAACCTCGACTGTCATTGACCCGAACAAGCTCCGCTCCGCTCTTCATTCGGCTAAGCGACGCGACCGGCTCTCCTCCCTGTCCAGCACCGCCGCGTCAAACGCGAAGCGTATCTCCTCTATCTCCTCCCAGTCCAGCGTTCCCTTCCAGCCCCATCATCGGGTCTCGAATTCCTACTCCGGTCCGCTTGCATCTTCGACGAACGGTATCTCTCGGCAGAGACGACTATCCGGCGACCGAAACGACCGACGAAGGAGCCCGCCCATCACCTGCTCGCCCCCAGGAGAGTCACGAGCTTTCACTCCAGGACAAGCACGACGGATGAACCTTGGTGGTAGTGTACGATGCGATTCCAGCAGCCCCCAGAAGGAGCGTGTCGATAGCAAGACTAGAAGAATTACTATTGGTAGCGCAGCCATGGCAGGGGCCGGCCCAACACGTCCAGCACAGCGTGCGAGTGTGGTTTGGCGGTGAATGGATGATGTGTGAAGACCTTTTTGTTGTTTCAGGCTTTTCTATCTATACCTTTGGAACGGCATGGTTCTGTATGGAGTTTCGGTGTCCTTGAGATGCATAGGTCGCGGCTTGTCACGCTTGCCTCCGGCATCTCGGATTTTATCTCTCATAGCATCTGACCAGTCATGTAGAGACTGGACGTGGAGTTGCGACGACGGTGTATGATTTCTGTATTAATACAATCGGCTTTGCATATCATTGAATAACCGGAAGTTATCTCCTAGTGTCCGCTCGATGCTGGTAAACCTCACATTTACCGATCGATTTCCGTAATAGACCCATTCACATGGCTTAGAGGTATATCATATTCACTATGGGTATCAGATCATTCTTGTTACTCCTTTATTCTACCGCTCCCTCAAACAAATCAAACTATCCATCTCATAACCCGAATGCCCATTCTGTGTCTCCAAAGCCGTATACACCCTAAATCCAAACCTCTCCAGAACCTCCAACACATTCATAACCAAGAACTGTGAGCGAACAGCATCCTCGCCAGCTGCCAGCCAGGTATTGCCGTACATTTTGATTTTCACTCTATCTTGAGATAGTTCTTGGCTTGACACGCGAGTGCCGAGTGTTTGCACAAGGTTGTCCCCTAGGTTGGCCGGGATGTCACCTATGATTTTGAGTTTATTGAGATAATCGAACGACACTAATACAAACTGTGCCGAGGGCGGTGGCTGTGTGAGTTTCCGGAAGAAGAGCGAGCCTTGGTAGCATACGTTAAAGCAAATTATGCAGGTTACAAAGAGTATCATCATACCTTTATCAATAGCCAGTCTCAGTGTGAATGTCACAGAAGCGCAACTCACCCACCCCATACTATACAGCTTCTCCACGACAAATAATATAAGCTTCCGCGACTCGTCATCTCCCTTGAGATTTGGTATCCACGGCGTCCCCTTGACTTTGATTTCCTGGGCTCCGCCCACGGACTGAATGCTGTCAAGGCCCTTGGCCCAATAATCACGTATAACGGCATGAATGGCTGCGACGTCGGTTTGGGAGAACCCCACAAGTCTGATGCGGTCATATTGGCTGATACTTAGACAAGCGAATTGCGGTAGAGTTGGAGGCAGAACTTGGGGAGCGTAGCCATTTGTGACTGTGGCCTCGTAGTCGGGAGGCAGATCTTTGGGTTCATCCGAAGAGAACATGATTATCGATAGGTACACCGTTGAACTAAACTAAGTTCAATTGATTCGATTCTAGAAACCTGTCGCATCGCGAAAGTGGAGAGCTTTATGGTCCATGCAACTTTGGGGTAGTTCCAGAGGCTGCCCAGGGTGCTGACGACAACTTGCCAGAAGGGGGGAAGCTGAATCAGGCGGTCGATAAGCGAGTGCGAGTGCAACCCTGGAAACGCTCTTGGTTGGTGTGAGGACATCGAGGGACAACCAACATGGCCAATTCTGGCACACACATCAGGCTTTGTCCTGGCTGCGCCGCATGTAGGTGTATGTACTCGTTTTGGCTGACGCGTGTTCTATGCATAAACCTTGGCCATTCACAAGATCATGTCATGACTTAGTCAGGTTGCGATTCCTGCCTGGCTTTAAATGCAACATAACTTCAGGGAACATAGCAGTCGCTCCAAACGGTTAGCACCGCTCTTCTTTCGGATACTCTCTCTTCAATGGTGGATTGCTTTACTGATAATATATCAAGTCTGGTTTATAGCCATCAAGAAGAGACTTAATTCGTAACAAGCCAACCAATCATCAGTATCTGCTTTTGTTCACCCGTTTTCTCTTGTCATTTTTATTCCGCTATCATGAACCGTAAGAGACCAAATTACAACCCGATCTCAATCTTCCTCGTGCCTCTTTGGTGTTTACAGGGTGTACAAGGAGCTCCTGGCTAGGCAGTTGATTAGTCAAGAAAGTATCGGAGCACTCAGTGTACATTGATTTAGGGTTCACTTGATTTCTATCAGGATCTTAATGCACACTCATATTTGGATCAGCTATACACACGAAATAGAGGAGAAGTCTTGATGCTATGAAACGAATCGTTCCGTATTCAAATTATGTCAAAAATATCCTTCAAAGGTATCGACTTTGTGATGCCCGACATTCTTCACAGCTTCAGCGACGGAGTCATTTCCGCCGACAACATCAAATGCCAACCCAATAGTTTCATCGGTCTTGATACATTCTGCTACAGTCCTTGCAAGATCTTCTCTTTTGATCGGTCTGCCTAGATGAACTTTGCCCGCAGCAACAAGGTTCTCTCCCGAATCATTACTGAGCCCTCCAGGTCGCACCATCGTATAATCGAGACCGCGCTTGTCGTTGCCAGTTCTCATATCTTTGTCAGCGGCGAGTTTAGCCAGCATATGTGATTCGATGGTGGCCCAAACCCTGTCGCTTTGTTTTTTGTCTGATTCATCGTACCAGTCTGGCACAGGTTTGTTGTCACGGTCCCGCAGATCCAGAGCACTTATGCTCACAAATCTCTTGCCAGTATCGCCCGCCTGAGCTGCAATGGCCAGTGCATCCATCACCTTGATAACGCCTTCTCTATCCACTTTGTCGACTCGATCGCCAGACCCAAATGGTGCTCCCGCAGCCCAGACGACAATGTCTGGCTTGACTCTGCTCAGTGTCGTCAACAGCTCCGGAACCGTGGCCTCCTCAATAGACTGCACGATCGGGTATGCGCCGAGCTTCTCAATGTCTGAGATCTGGTCAGCGGTCCGGATGATACTGTGGACTGTATGAGGCGGCTTTTCCTCGTTGGTGAGGATGCGCGTCAGGTGGGACGCCACTCTCCCATGGCCGCCCACGATGAGTGTTGTTGGCATGGCCGATTGATTGACACAACAATCTGGCTTCGAAGCGTCTCAATACACAACACACGCGACTAAGCTTCAATAGCGGGCGTTCGCTGTCAACCACTATTGCAACCAAGCCTAGATGATCACGAGAGGCTCTTTCAAGGCTGATGTTGACGTCATGTGCCATTCCGTGTCCCCCCGCACTGGTTCGTATTCTTTCATTTGCTCCAAATTGTAGCACGAATGCTAGCCCTATCAGGCGCAAGGTGGTATCAGAGATGCCCGGGCCCTTTTGTAAGGTGACTCTGCATCGCGACAATCTAGTTTCGTAACACAGGAGAGATAATGGCAGTATCCGCTCCAGTAAATTCCACTCTGAAGTTATCTCAGACTTGTGCGACATCAATTAATTGAGAGGATGCGTCACGATGGTATACGCTGCCACGGCATGTTCAGCATCGCACATCACACCATGTTCGCTCTTAGTGGACAAACTCCAATCACCGACACCAATGTGTCAATGGCATTGACTACTAAGAACAGTTGTAGGGAAAGGTGGCCAGGTCAGAGATGGTCGATAGCAGTCTTTCACGTGCCAACGTTACTAATAATGCCATTAGTAGAGCAAAGTTTTGATATTCAATGGTAAATGTGTTTACCTAACAGGTGTCTGAAGATCTAACGAGCATTCACGTCACGCAGCATGTTCACGAGAGGCCGAGGATTACCTGTGTGGACACCAACCAGGAACTAATTCACTTAATAAACTCAAGAGACCGTGTGGCTTTACTTCTCCGCGGGTTAAGAGACATTTTTCTTCAAGTAAAAAAAACGTACAGATCGATGAGAGCCAAGATGATTGCTAAGGAGTCTCACTTCTGCAAAAGTAGTGATCCGTCGTTGAGGAATTGATGATACCTTGGCACCGAACTTCCGTTTCTTCTCCTTGGTGAAGAGTACATGATGGTCCGAAATGTTAAAGCCTCTTCATTGGTTTGGATCGTCTTTTCACGGGTGTGTCCGCCGTGGTAACGGTCAAACGACCCGAAACTTCAAGAACGTCATAGACTGCAAAATGCCCACCGCTGCGGCAGCCTCAATGCACTAAAAGCGCCTGGAATCTTAGCGGCGGCATTTGAATCGTGGATCTCGAAGCGGTGATTGGCTCTGTCGAGCAATGAATCTTACATATTGATCCCTTGGACTCGCGTGCCGAACGCAAACGTAGATCCGCGAGATTCCCGTCCGAGTAGTCCGGCTGTATGGAAACGGAATTCATTTGGATGAAAAAGTACGGCGAGATTCGCACTTCTTTATACTCCGGCCTCCGAAGGACTGCACCGAAAAGGACTGCAAAGCATGTGAGCCGCAGCACGAGTCGTCCTTTGAGTATCCATGACGACATGTAACCGCACGGGATGACAGAGCTACTTTCCACCTAATGGCGGATTGCATCTCTTGGCATGATGCCTTCATCTTTCTCCGTGCGTCTTTAAAGACATCCGTGTCCATTGATCAAGTCGTCGCCCCAGCCCGAATGTTCAATTATACGTGCCGTCGCTGAAGACGAGTAATCCCTAGAAGATGAGGGAGCTCTTGCGTGATACCTTTTTCAGTCACTGTTGCCGACTTATCACAGGAGGCAAGGTGTTCAAATATCCCGAAGAAGAGGACTCAACAATATGGAAGAGGTACATACATGAGGAGAAATCTTCGCACATGGCTGCTCATGGCCAACCACACCCGATCGATGGCCCGCAACAACCTAATGTCGAATCTCTCTCAGCCTCATCCTCCGATTCGCAGCGCCCGGCGTCGACAAATCGCACACTTGACCACCACACAAACGCTGCCTTGAATGGTGGACGAGGCAGGAGGATTGATCCAGAGAAAGGTCGAGACCTATACATCGTCGATTGGTATGGGCCAGATGATCCGGAGGCAAGTTGCACATCTGGACCAAGAATGATTCTACAAACTAACAATACATAGAACCCTCAGAATTGGTCGCGACCCAAGAAGTTCTTTGTCACCTTCGAGATATGCTTCCTGACATTCTCCGTCTACATCGGCTCGGCCATCTATTCAGCGGGAATACTGGGCGTGATGGCTACTTTCGGTGTCTCTCAGGTCGCTGCAACATTGGGTCTGACGCTGTTCGTGGCCGGATACGCCGTTGGCCCCATGATCTGGGCGCCGATGTCCGAAATACCCCAGATCGGACGTAATCCAGTATACATCCTCACGCTCGCAGCCTTTGTCGCGCTGCAAGTACCCGTTGCACTTGCATCCAACTTTGGCATGCTTCTAGCTTTCCGATTCCTGACTGGCTTCATCGGCTCCCCGTCCTTAGCGACAGGAGGTGCGTCAATCGCAGACATGTACTCGCCAGCGAAGCGAACATACGGCCTCACGGTATGGGGCATCGGTGCCGTTTGTGGGCCGACCCTGGGCCCACTTGTTGGAGGCTTCGCTGCAGAAGCCAAGGGCTGGAACTGGCCAATCTGGGAATTGATGTGGCTGTCCGGTTTCGCTTTGTTCATGTTTGTCTTTCTTTTGCCAGAGACATCATCATCAAACATTCTTTACCGACGGACTCGCCGTCTGCGCAAGCTGACCGGGAATGACAAGCTCATATCAGAACCTGAGCTGATCGGTAAAGATATGACCGGGAAAGACATTGCCATGATGACTCTCGTCCGGCCCTTCACATTGCTTTTCACCGAGCCCATTGTGTTCGCTCTTGACCTTTACATCGCCCTCATATACGGTCTTCTTTACATCTGGTTTGAGTCGTTTCCGATTGTCTTCGTTGATATATACGGTTTCAGTCTTGGTATGGAAGGTTTAGCATTCCTTGGCATTCTCATAGGAGTCTTTGTGGTATTGCCCCCTTTCGTCTGGTATCAATACAAATATGTCGAGCCCAAGTTCAACGAGAACGGCGAGCTGAAACCGGAACTACGCCTCCCCCCGTCATTCGTCGGCGCATTTGCGATCCCCATCTGTCTGTTTTGGTTTGGCTGGTCGAGCAGACCAGATATCCACTGGATCATGCCCATCATCGGTACGGCCTGGTTCTCTGTCGGCGCATTCCTCCTCTTTAACTCGGTCATGAACTACCTCTCCGATGCGTACCCTGAGTATGCCGCGAGTGTACTCGCGGGGAACGACTTTCTGCGCTCAAGCCTTGGAGCAGGGTTTCCGTTGTTTGCGGGTGCCATGTATCGCAACCTGGGCGTTGGCTGGGCGAGCTCCACGTTGGCGTTCATTGCGGTTGCATTTATTCCAATCCCGTTCGTTTTGTATCGATATGGCGACTGGCTGAGGAAGAAGAGTAAAGCGGCTAGACAAGACTTTTAGACGATCATCTCTTAGAGTTAGGATTTCTGCAGCAAGTTTAAGACAAGATGACAGACAATTGTCTTCAACATTAGAACGTACGCAGTTGTTCTGACAACTACAATACATATGTTATCGCTTCCTGTCTATGTTTATGCTGATCCAATGAGCTGCATTGGTGTCAGCATGTTACGTGTGCTCGAGCGATCTGAACATAGCTCACCCTCAAATGCAATTCCGATGGCTACTCCTGAGTGATCTCAAAAGAATCCCCAACAATATAGCCCAGCCTGAACTCCTGTTTCCTGTATAATGGTGGCCCATTCTCTGGGTCGGATGAAGCGCCTGACTATGTCCCGGATATCATTACAAATTACTCTAGCATCTAGGTGCTGGTCTTTTCTATGTCTATTGACAGCATTGGCACGTAGAATGTGGTTGAGTTCGTGGCATACAGGGCCTCGGAGCCCAGACCCATGTATCCAAGATAGTCGGATTCGGTTGGGTAGTTCCCGCTCAGTGTTGTGAGCTTGGTGACCAGAGGGGCTAGATCTCCATGGAACTTCTCTGTCGTCTCAGACGCAACCCAGGTCAACACGTACTGGTCCAAGCTGTTCTGGCCAGTGTACAAGGAGCTGACGAGCCTGTTAGCAGATGGATTCAAGGGAGAGCAAACGAGGAAACCCACAAGGTCGTGCCGTTCACGGTCTCCGTCGTTACCGCACCAGCGGACAGTCCAATTGGCTGTGTAGCAGCGCCAAAGGCGGCAAGCCAGACCATCATCTCGAATTTAGCCTTGGTGCTGTCCTCAGCGCTCGTTTTATCGCTGTCCAAGAACATATCGATGGCGACGTTGGTATTGACGGAATTTGCCGTCAGTGCTGTCTCGTCCGTTGATGACGCCGTGTCGTTTCCGACACCATACGTCCACTCAATGTCGACCTTGATGCTCGATATGCTGCTCAGCTCGACGGGGAAAACGCTGCCATCGACCTTGATGTTGGGGAAGGCGTGGACAGGCTGCGTTTCAGGACCCTGAGGGTACTGCCATGTGACGAAGAACTCTGGAGCAGTTGTGTCTGTGGCATATGAACCATTGTTGAATGCGGTAACCTTGAGAGATGTTAGCCTGGAGGCCGTTTTTAATGTATCGCAACTTGGCCGCATCGTCACAGGCTACTGGAAACCCTCGACTAGATGCGAATTGCCCAAGTATCTCGAGAGGTGCAGATATACTAGACATTTCTGCCAAGGGCGATAAGAGTGGAACTGTACACTTACATTCATGCACAGGAAGCCGGTATCACCATCCTCAACACCCCATTGATTGGGGTTTACTGTGGTTCGCAAAAAGGTTAACATTCATGGATTGAATGAAAGGGACGCTGCAAAGCCCAAATTTGGAGTAGAAATCATGAAGCAGGAGAAGGCGGCGAACGAGCGATGCCTGGGCGATTGTGTGTCCTCTCGGATTGACCATCGCTTTGCGCCCGTACCGAGTGAATGAGGGACTTGTCCCGGTCGGTGGTGACTTACGTGTGTATTCTTGTCCCTTCGAATCCGGCGTAATACCGTATGCTTTGTCGCAATTGCGAATATACTCAATGCCGTTCTTGTCGACATTACCACCATCACCGGTTCCATCATCGCCGTCATCGCCTGTGAAGAGAGGCGCTTGTCCAGTTGCATCTCTGTGTGACTGAAGTCCGATTAAGATCCCCAATGTCGAAGCGATCGGAATGGCCAAGAGGCCAAAGTTAACCAGCCATCGGAAGCCTAGTAAGCCCATGGCGATATGGAAATGCAGAAGCGCAATGAAACGAATGGATTTGGCTGTTCAGCGATTGTAGAAGGCAAGGGCATGTGCACCGAACAGACCAACAGCAATGATAATGATCGAATTACTACAGGAGGGAAAGGTCGTCACCGATAAGGTAAAATCAGTCCTCCCTTGCTAGCATTGCTAAGCCACCACCAGGTGCCTATGAACGGCTTTTTTCACACTGACGGCGGCCTGGGTTTAAACTGGACCCCGTATGAATGAGGTCAACTGGACGTTTGCAAAATCGGACCGGCCCCCTGTTCGCTCGTCAGGTACGAGCACTGCATAAACCTCGTACAGTGTGCTATTCAAAGCCCGACTCGTACAGTACAAGCCAGACGCGGTGCTAGCGTGTAAATGTGCCGAGGAGGAAAGCCGATTGCCTGCATTGCTACATTAAGGGACCTTCGGGCGAGCCACACAACAGGGACGAAAATGACCCTTCCAATTGGACGGGCTCTTCTCAAGGGAGATACCTCCCCGGCATGAAGCGACCGTAGCGAGCGAGCGGTGATTAGTATGGGTACCGACCACCCAGTGCGCCCCTCTCTCGTCAGTGAGGGAAAATCTGAAGAGCAAGCAAGAATAATCTACCGGTACCGATAAAGGAGAAACAGCAAAACAAACAAAGCCCTGCTTCTGGCTCTGCTAGATCCGGCCGGTGCCTGGGACTAAAGCTGAAGAGCAGGGATTGGCGGGATGGAACCGGGCAAGTCAGCATCGTATTTTTCCCTGTCTTTCTCGTGCGTGAAATGCCACTGAAGTGGGTGTGTGTGGGCCAGTCCCAGTTGCTTGTCGAGTCGTTTGCATGATACGAAAAGCATGCGCGCGCAAAGACTAACATAAGGGGGTCTAGCGAGTCACAGGCAATAGTGGGCTAAGCTTTTCTGCGAGAATTGCCCCCCCTGTGCCATCCTTGGATCATTTGTTCTCTTGCTTGCTTCTCTCTCTCTCTTCTACTCTACTACGCAGTACTGTGGTGATTATCCAATACCAGCATAGTCAAGGATACTACAGTGTACTAGAGTCTTCTCTTGACCTCCGGTCTCCTGTCATTTAACTTAATGCTGCTTAACGTTACGGCGCCGGCGGAAGGCCTGCATTCGTTAGGCCCGTGGCCGCTCGATCACGACAGGTGGGCGTGGGCTAGAATACACAGTAGGCGACTCTCGGTCCTCGATAACCCTGCGCCACCCCTGTACGCGTCCCCTGTGTGCATCTCGTGGTCTCAGTACTGTACCCGGTTCAGGTGTGCTACCCTATAATTAGCGCCGTGATCTGCAGCCATCTCCGATCCCTGCTCACTGCTGCATCGTATTTACTTGCCGAATGGCACCAGCTTATCAGGTGCTGGAGCCTGCTCACCCTGGGACCCTGGGATCCTGGGATCTGGCTTTCATCTTTGTTTTTTGGGCACCTGCTGCCAAATCCAGCATGTGGAAATTGCCGGGGGGTAGGCTATTGCGATAGATCAGCAATCAGGCAAGGCACAAAAAGGAAAGTCAGTGGATGTGGACATTTCAGAAAGCTGCAACTGGAAATGAGAAAGATACATGTGGTCAATGATCATTGATTGTGCAGCAATGACGAAAGCTTATTGGACCTGATGTTGCTTCATGGCCATGGCCCATGGCCCATGGCGGATGATGCGGAGAAGTGAAGAGAGGGGAAGGTAAATACAGTTTGGACGATCAGACAGATCAGCTGTAAACACACACTCCAGCATAACACACTGAGCAGTGAGTACTCGTGAGTAGCCAACGGCGGCGACGGAAACGGTTGGAGCTTGTCACCAACTCAGCTTCGGTGCAAAGCCAGCGCCCGTTCTGCCGCTCCCGAGTCCCGTCCCCTGAACTCAGTCTGCCAGTCCAGTCTGCGTGCAAACCAACACTTGTACTCGAACCACGGAAACCTGCTCTAGGGCTCGGTATCGTCAAGCCCCCGTGTATCATGAAAAAGACCCGCAGTGGGAAAAAAGTGAGGGTCTTTTCCAGTGGATCTCATTACCCAAAGAGTCGCTAGATCGATGGGCATTGCAGCAGTTCGTGCAGCAAATGTGCTCGAGTAGAGTACGTACCGGATGTTAGTCTCATAGTCTAAGCATCCGCCGTACCTGACTAAGTACCTTGCCGTATACTGCGTAGTACACCGGGGCCACTATGGTGACAATGCTACCTGGCTCCCCTTAGTCAGTACGAGACAGACCAGGAAAAAAAAGAGAAACACCCAGCGAGACATTCCCGGACGGTCCGATCGTGATAACAGCGTCTCGCGCGCGCAAATGGAGCTGAGCAAAGCAGGGCGGCCGCTGTGACTGACCCCTAATTCTCTTATTCTACACCCACCCATCACGTCACTCTCGTGTTAGTCCTAGCTAGTGAGGCTCCGCACAGTCTCAGAGGGTACCAGAACGCCCGAGAGACAAGCCTGCAGAGTCAACCTTGCTTTCCTTTGTCTCTCCTCTAGAGTCTAGTGTCGATGGCTGGCCCGTTGCACGACGCAATCGCGTGCCATGCAGTGGCAGACGGGCCAATGGCTGCCACCCCCCCACGTTCTCCTTTACGAACTACAATGGCCCTCGTATGTACTGTGTGCTCCGAACCCCCCAATTCACTGTGGCGTTTTGCTTTTCATTGCCTACCTCACCTCAACTGCTCCCTGTAGTCTCTTGTATTCTCTCTGTATTCTTCTCCAGCATCGTTTCTTTGCTTTGCTGATCACATTCGTTCATCCGGCGACACGCCAAGTGTCGATTCGATCGCTACAAGCAGTAAACAAATAACTAGTGCTACACATCCATTCCGCCCTGGCTTGACCTGGCTTGCACCATATACACTCGTTTTGTCCCCTCTATCCAGATTTGGCGCTTCCCAGGGGCGGACAGGAATATCAATCGCTATCAAACATGAGGGGGGATCAGAAGGAACAGGACTACTATGGGGATGGGGGAGAGATGGTGGAAATCGACGTGCTCCCTCGGCACCCTCATCACTCAAGCTCAACCAGCAGCGAGGACTTTCACAATTACAACAATGGATATGGCAACGGATATCCGAGCCCCAGTCCACGGGCCATGACAGAGAATGTGCGACCCAGCTGGCCCCCTCGAGCTCACACAGACGACTATGCATCACCGGGGTGGTCTCCTTCAAGGTATAGCGCACATTACTACCACCCTGAATCCCCATTCGACTCTCGAGCCGGAACTCCTTCCTTGAGGAGCGGACGAGCAACACCACACGACTACCTTACTGCACCAAAGCCTATGTATGCCACCGACGATTCAAGGCCAACAACACCCATGGTAAACATCTCCTACCCTCGACTTGATGATGTTCACCAGTACTAATGATCTCTCCTCCCTGATAGAATCAGAGCCATCTAAGTCTTGCAGCACTACTGCCAGACACTCCATCACCGGTCCTCGACAAGGAGTGGATTGTTCCTGGCTCAATAGCTCGTCTCCATGATCGAGATGATGCTGACATATGGAAGGGCTGGAAGCGACACCTCTTCCGCCTCGCTCCGTTCCTAACTTTCGCCAACACCGGACTCTACCTGGTGTATCTTGGCCTTCGCATTGCTTGTGTCATCTTCGCCCAGAATGCTCGCAATAGCGTCTACGCCGCCGCATGGGTCTTCATCGGCGTGGAGCTTGCCACTGCTATTCCCTCCCTGATGCATAACATCTGGACCATGTGGTCGATGAAGCAAAGGAACCGACCGAAGTTGAGGCTGACCGGCGAAGATGTGCCTACTGTCGATGTATTTGTCACATGCTGTGGTGAGGAGGATGATGTCGTTCTGGACACCGTCCGTGGAGCTTGCGATCAGGACTACCCGAGGGACCGATTCCGAGTCATTGTGTTGGATGATGGCAAGTCTGCAAGCCTGGAGAAAGCAGTCAATGACTTGCTCATGAGTTACCCCAATGTCTACTACATGGCCCGACCCAAGTTCCCTGGAGTACCACATCACTTTAAGGCTGGCAACCTCAACTATGGTCTCGATCAAACTCACAAAATGCCCGGCGGTGCAGGTCAATTCATGGCGGCTTTGGATGCTGATATGGTGAGACACCCCACTTTCACATGATGCTTTGAACTCATTGTCTAACTTTTGGAAGATTCCTGAGCGCGAGTGGCTCCGTGCGATTCTTCCTCACCTGCTCATTGACCCCAAGATGGCCCTTGCTTGTCCTCCTCAGCTCTTCTACAACACCCCGGCATCCGATCCACTTGCCCAGAGTCTGGATTTCTTTGTGCACGTGATTGAGCCTATCAAGGATGCTCTTGGTGTAGCCTGGTGCACTGGATCTGGTTACATTGTCCGACGGGAGGCACTGGACGCCATTGGCAACTTTCCTTTGGGTTCCCTCGCTGAAGACGTCGCCACATCGACTCTCATGCTTGGTAAGGGTTGGAAGACGGCTTATGTTCACGAGCCTCTCCAGTTCGGTACTGTCCCCGAGGATTACGCCAGCCATCTTAAGCAGCGAACGCGATGGGCTATCGGAACCGTGGATACGTCCTTCAAGCTGAACTTCTGCCTCTGGGGTGAGAAGGTCAGGCAAATGACCATTGCTCAGCGCTTCTCCGGGTTTCTCTACGCGTCCCTCAGCATGTACACCCTCCTTCTCACGGTCTCGATGTTCGCCATTCCTATCATCCTGGTCATGGGCAAGCCTCTCGTTGCATTCGCAAACGATGAACAGCTCAGGTGGCTCATCAGAGCTTGCTTCGCCTCAACTATCTGCAACCGATTCTGCGAGTACATCCTGTCCATCCCAGCAGGCTATCATACCGGCCAGCGAAGCTCTCGATACCAACTGTGGATCTCGCCCTACATCGCATTATGCATTGTTCGATCATTCTTCTTACCAAAGTGGCTCGGTGGACAGACCCAGGCTTTCAAGCCCACCGGCTCGCTCGGCTCGGCCCTGAATGAGCGAGACCCGAAGATGCGCAAGAACATGTTCCGCCGTCTCTGGACCATCATGTTCAACTACATGGCCGTCTTCCACCTATCCTTCGTCTATCTTACTCTCGTCGGCGTCTGTCTGACTTCCTTCCGCTGCTTCATCATCAACAAGTCCACCCAGGGCATCCTGAAGTGCCTTATCACCCACGCCTTCTGGCCCCCGTTGACATTTCTCTTCATCTGCAGCTCTCTATGGACCCCGATCGCCTACGCCATTGACCCCCCGGATATGCCTGACCGAGAGCAGCTGCTGGACCGTGATAACAAGACCGGAGTCGCCCACCCGACAAAGAAGAGCAAGAAGATTGCGTTCGGAGGACAGGCTGCCTGGTTCGAGCTGGAGTACACAACTACGACTCTGTACACAATACTCATCTTTGTCGTATCTTTCTTGTTCTGAAGCGGCACCAACAATGACGGATGATGGACGTCGATAAGGGACTAATGAGGCATGAGACGGGTTCAAGCCTAGTCACAATGCTTTACCAAGATGGCTCACACAGATGAGATGCATGAGGAGAACGACATGCGTGCGGTGCGTTTACTTGATTCATGGAGATGCGGCACGTCTCCATAAGCTACACCACAGATGACGACGAACAGCTTGGTGGCCGATGTATGCATAACAACGGAGTTACAGGGAGAGTCTGGACAAGACTCTGAGCTTTTGGAATTAGACACGGCATAATACTAGAATCGGATAGATTTGTTTATAGCAATCCGGCGTGGCATATGTATATATTGTTGAACAACCAAGAGGTTGGACAATGAGGCATGGGGATGTTTGAGAGCCGATGACGGGTTGGACGTCAGCTATGAAGACGATAATCATAATACAAGACTTCGCATAAGCCATGTTCGTTTGCTTCGGACTTCGAGTAGGCTTGGGAAAGACTGCTGGTTCGTAAATGCCCAAGGATATTGCGTGTATTCTAGATGGCTTCCATAAGGCCTTGTCCGGTACGCGTTCTCCTCGTCAGTCCAACTGATAATCGTGAATCTAGATGGTCCAGCAGCGCCTTCATGTCCATAGTCTCATGTCCATGCACTCCGTTGATCAGAGAATTCCATTCGTATGTTGATTTGGCCAGCTTGATGCCCTTGGAATACCTATATTATCTGCTTAGCGACGCTCTCAGGGGGTGAGACAACACAGACCGAATTGTTTCGCCTCGACGAAGCATCTTTTATCTCCGCAACATTGAATAAAGCTTCGGAATTCGAGAACGTTCATTGTGTGGGAAATAAGCTGCTGTTAAGCCCTGTCTGCCCTGATGTGGACGGATCGTGGTCAAGCTCTGCCATCCAATGACCCCCTATCGCCAGGGCGACTCATCCAGACAACACCCACAAAGCTCCACAGCAGCAATTCTCTGAGAATTCTTTTACCCTTTGTCCTTCGGAGCTTTCTATTTCCTTTCTTTGCCTCTTCTTTAAGCTCCCCGCGCGTCGAGACTCGAGTCTCTAGAAATACGATACCATCGCTGCCTTCTCTACCTCCTTGGACGCCCTTCGTACTGTTGAAACAGACTCGGATCTGCTCGTATCTACGAGAACCACTGCGAGATGGACCCCACGAAGGCTCCCGACGGTTCGTATCTACCGGCCGGAAGCAATCAGGTTTCAGCTTTGGACCTAGACCTACCAGCCGATCAATCCCTTGACGATCTGCGTGTACCCATCCTCTTGGCGAACGAAGAGTCAAACGAGCCTGACGCGGCTCACATGGATCATCCACATGAAGGCATTGATAATAATCAAAGCTTCACTACTACTTCCAACGAATACCAGCTTTCCCAGGGCCAAGAGAGCAATCAAGCCAGCGAGCAAGGTCAGTTCATGCTCGGAGGATGTGTCGGCTCGTTGATCAATGCATATAATACAGCATGTTCTCCTGGTTCATCTCTGCTCGATGGCAATGGACGTACCATCGCCCAGAGCACACAGTGGACACGTCCTCCTCCTCCTATCAATCCGGTGATCACCAACCCATACGGCGCCCCTCAGAATGCTTCCCAGTACCGACAGATGCAGTCTGGCATTGCTATGCTCACTGTTCCATACCAGCCTCAGACAAAAGAATACTATGAGGGAAGTCCTATCGACCAACGAGGACTCGTTCGTCCTCATCAAGCTCTACAGCCAGGCCATCTACAAGCCCTCCCAGTTGCGCCTCAGGTCGAGCAAGTATCTCATGGACCATCCACTACCACTACTGGTATGATTCCTCACCCTGCAAAGAAAGCTGGAGACAAACGCAAGCGCTCCAACGCCGATGAAGGCACAGGTCCCGTGGCTGAAGAGAAAGCCGGATGCAAGAAAGGCCAGCCTAGACTCTCTAAGAACCTAGAGTTGCTCAGAAATGCCTACGCGACTCCATACCGCCCTGAGCTGCTTGACGTCAAAGGCAAGCTCATGTCAGAAACTGAATTGGTGAAGAAATATAAGGAGCTGGGTAAGAAGGAGCATAAGGCAATCAGTGGCGCCATCTATGACTCTATTTGGAAAGCCTACAAGCACAAAGTTCCCAACTTCCCCGTCATCAAGGATAAGAAGCAGAGCTGCTTCCACTACGAGGTCCTGGAACAACTGAAGCGGAGTGATCGGTTCACTGCCGACTGGCCCACGGCCCATGCTGTCTGGAGAGACATGAACAACAAGGGGACAAAGCAGTATCTTGTGAAGTTGTCCAAATGGGTCAGCTCTCCTTTCTTCACTCACGTAAGGATTTCCTAAGTAAAGCCTGCTCGATAACAACCCAATACCCCGAACACTCAAATGATATGCTCACTTGTATCTTTTGCGGAGCGGCAAAGACCTTCTTTTCATATTTCCCGGCTCCGTCTCCCTCTTCAAGAACCAAGATGCTGACTGTTACTTATGTAGTGGACTCAGGTTGTCGAATGCAGGACCCTTGAAGAGAGAAAGTTGCCATTCGACATGTTTAGCGAAGAGTTCCGTTGGAAACTCTTTGCTATTCGTATCCTCATCAACAGAGGCTCTCCGGATATTGATATCGAGAACGACCTGACCCGCTTAATCAAGGAAGCTCACATCGGGTTTCTCCTCTCACCAGACCCAAAGCCTCAGACGGACGCTTTTTGGCATGGTTACAAGGAAGCCTGGACCCATGATAATTACAGCATGGTGGAACAGATGTCCGATCCTGGGTATCTGAAGAGTGTCATTAGTACCCAGGATGCTCAGATTCAAGCTCTGCGCTCTGAAAATGGAAGACTTCGGCAGCAGATCAAGGATAGTCGCTTGCAAGATGAAGAGCTCGATGCGGACGTCGGCACAAACAGCTGAGAAATCGACTCGTTAGAAGAGTAACTCTGCTGACTGGTGAAGGCGAAATGGTACTTGTGTATATTATTGTAGTTACTCGCTTTTTTCGGAGGGTACATAGGGTTACGAACGAACGCCCTCCCGTCTGCTCAAATGCAGCAGAATGCTGAAAGTCTCATCGATGCGGACTGATCAGCCATCGAAGACTAGGTCAATGTCTCGGGAACCTGCAAGGGCTCCTGTTGACACTTGAGTGCATGGCCCGAGTCCATAGTTATACTTCAGGTCTATAGGGCTTCCATAGAGATAATGGCATTCTACGCTATTCATTAAGACGCTGGACCAGGATTTGACCTTGCCAATTATCGCGCTCGAAAGACTCAGTTCTCACGAACCCCTGGCTCTCATAGTACTTCACAAGCTTCTGGTCCTGGCCAGCAAAGCAGTCAACCCGCAAGAGAGTGACATTGGCCTGACGAGCCAGCTCTCTTGCTTTGTCAAGCAGGAGTGTACCTAATCCAGAGCCAGCCCATGATCGGTCCGTAATGAGAAACTTGATGTACAGCTCCGGCTCTGTAGCTGGCGTGACATAGCTCATTGCATCACCGACAGTGAGAGCACCGATAACCCATTCTCCGTCTTTCACGACAATGTCACCGCTAGCCATCTCGTTCCCCAGCTCGCTCTTAGTCTGATCACCACGGTCAGGCTTGGTGACTGCCAGCCACATGCCTCCAGACTCTGCAAACTCAGTGGCCTGCTTGATTCTGGCAGGATCTTTGGATCGCGGCTCGGTTCCCCACTGGGAAGTCCTGCCGTGAGAAACGAGCCACTCGATGGCTATATCGACGAGCCGAAGCACGGCGGGAACATCTTCTGTTGTCCCTGGTCTCAGTGTGACTTGTGAGATGTCTCGACTCATGGTGTGGGCACAGTAACTGTCTCAAGGTCTTAGCAGAGTATTGAGCCGTCTTATGTAGTTTGTTTGTATGCAGACTTCTTATCTGGCTGTGTCTCTTCACTCAAGGATTGTCAGGCGGTGCCGAATTCCAGCTGGCTCGGAAGAGGAGAAGGAACTCAAGAACCTTTTGAGACCCTTTCCAGCTCAAAAAGACTGAGTTGGGCTAGGATGAACGTTGGCAAAGATTACGCATTGCATTGCGAATCCTTTGCTCGCACGTAAGAGGCCAGATCAAGACGAACCTCGCGGACTGAACTGACTCGCCTGCCTAAAAGAGAGAGCCTGCGCTGGTACCGACCCCTCCATGAGGATGATAGACTTTAGCCTGTTAATGATGTCATAAGTTCTTGTAGAGAAAATTGCTGCCTTTTGTTGAACTCAGCAGGCTATCTAGACTAGCAATGTCAATTCAGAGGGCTCCGGGGAGCTGCATTTCATGCCTAGAGAAAAATGTATTGAGACTACAGGCTGGTACACTGAGAGACACAGCTTTGGTCTCGCTAGAGCGTCAGGCAAACAGTCCGGTGCCGCCTTGTTATTATCCTTCGAGGTAATTCTCCTGTGAGAACATCTACCTGGTCTGGCGTCTTTCGGCTTCTCAAATATAGTCTACATGCATTGGTATATTAGATGGGATGACCAGGAGCATTGAACCATTGACTGAAAGTGCATCGAGTCGTTCGTGTGAAGTGATCGCTGCTAACTACTCCGAAATGCTGGGCCAACAGCTAAATTCAAGCCTAAAGAACTGGTGTGAAGAGGTAGGCTAGACTACCTAAGATTAGTGCTGAAACATGACTTCAATGCCTTCTTGCCGTGATCCTTCGGCTGACTAATGAACTGTCCTGCAACATTGCTCAATCATCAAACCTAGGAAGCTATCTTTGAATACCGCATTATCCATCCTTATCGACCCGTTACCGGCCTGTCGGTGAGAGAGCCATGAGTAGCACTCTTCAGACATCCGGCTCGACGGCTCTGGCCTTTGTGCGCCTCTGCCCGCATTGCGAGAAGGTCTTCAGCAAAGGTAGTTGGCATTCGAGATCCCCCGGTCTTCGGCTGGGTTGAAAGCTGACCGATACCCAGAATACTCGTATAATCGCCATGTGTCCTACTGCCGTCGAGCACAGACGAAGCGCAAAGGGAGACCAAAGTCATGTGCCGGCTGTAGTGCCGCGAAGGCAAAGTGCAGCTTTGAGAAGCCGCAATGCCTAAGGTGCTCTCACAAAGGCATAGATTGCGTGTACGAACAGCGAAAAGGACATGCTGACATGATGTCCGGAAACGGAGGGGCTTTTATAACAGAAGACACTGAGCTAGGCTTAGTTCAGCCCTCTTCAATTGGGCTTCGAAGCGGATTCGACACGTCTAAGGCCACAATGGATGCTGTCAGCTTGGACTTCTTCCATCTGTCTGGCGTTGACAATTTCATGGATGAGCTCCTCCAGCCCGGGGTAACGAGTGGAATCAACACAAATAGCTCAAGTTGCTGTCCTAATTCAGACTCGTTTGGATGGGGGTTGATCCTGGATGATTCGGACAGCGAGCAGGTTGGAGAAGAACAATTCATGACAGTGGGCACTCACTCGAGACGACCAAGAGCATGGGAAGGTTTCTTCCCTGAGGACGACGTTGCAACGGTCAAATGGAACACTCTTACGGATCGTCGCTTGGGCGTACCCGTGGCTGACCATGTAGCCAACCTGGTGCTGCATATCATTCGCTCTTTTCCACAGATGATGTTGCGGAGGCAGACGTTCCCTCCGTTCATCCACAAGCACTGGCATCGGTCTGCTATACCCGAGAAGCTTGCGACTTGCATGAGCATTGCGCAGCTCTTTGCTTCAAGGACGCCGGAGACCCGGCCGTTTCTGTGGAGGACTGTTGATGCCGAAGAGAGACGTATGAGAGAGGAGGTAAGCATCTGCATGAAGCAATTATGGACAGAGTGGGACTAATTCATCAAAGATGGAGAACTACACCGAACACGACATCTTGCCAGCGGTGCAAGCTCTGATCATCTACATGATCATGGCTCTAATAGATCAATATGATGGCACAGCTGCCCGAGGAGTTCGAATGATACAGACGTTCCAGGTTCGCGATAGTTTACTTTGACTTGGCTGAAACGTCCTACATTTACTAATAGTAATAGGCAATGACAATAAAGTTCCGCGAAATGCTTGGCTCTGCTTGCTTTGCCGAGTCTGAACAGCAGCGCCCGAGTGTGAGCTGGGAGGACTGGGTCTTCCAAGAATCTAGGAGAAGGTAAGCTACGAACACGGTCACTACATAGGGGTCTCTCTAATCATTCACATGCACTCAGGTTGGCCAATATCTGGTTCGTAATCAACCGCGTCATCACAGCCGACGCACAACTCCCATGCCCTGATCTCAATGCCTACCGAGAGATGCCGCTGTCGACAGGCAAGGCTATGTGGGAGGCGCGGTCGCGCGAAGAATGGGAGACGGAGCGCGCCTTCTTCCAGGCAAGCTTACTTCATACGGACATGTGGAAGTTTCGCTCCCTGATCGAGGCTCGTCGACAGCCGCATAGCCCCTTGAATGCAGCCAAGTTGGATGCGTGGGAAGCTGAAACAGACAAGATGGGCGTCCTCATGAACATCGCAGTCTCTTTGCTCGACAACATATCTTGATCAAACGGACAATGGACCATTATGAGAATTCTTCATTGAAACATCCGGCTACATAAGTGTACCTTCTTGGGCCGTGTCCTCTACCATGGCAGCTCCGTATCAGAACGAGTAAAAGTCCGAGACGGCCCATCCTCTCCTATCGTGGCCATCTTCACGACCTGTTGGGCGCCGACCTCCGCTGATGTTCCTGCCTCCATGTAGCCCGTCAAGTTCGATTTCACCAGGCCGGGGCAGACAGCATTGACCTTCGCGCCTGTGTCGGCTAGTTTTCGGTGGTAGTTGATCATCAGCATGTTGACGGCCGCCTTGCTAGCATCGTACGACGTGTAATCGACGGGATAGAAGGGTGTCGATTCGTCCGTGGAGATCTTCAAGCTCGCCATCGTGGTAGAGACGAAGATGACACGCGCCGGCTTCGCCTGTGCTTTTCGGATCAGCGGCACGAGACCGTCTGTCAGTGTAGCAGGGCCGATGACGTTGGTTGTGAAGGTGCGGGTGTACAGCTCCCATGTGCTCAGGTCCTTGCTGCTGGGCTTGCCGTCGAGGAGGATACCGGCGTTGTTGATCAGGACGTCGAGGTGGCCGAATTCGCGATCGATGGTGTCTATGGCGGCTTTGATGGAGGACTCTGAGGTGAGGTCAAGCTGTACACTGGAGGCGGAAGCGCCAGCAGCTTTGATGTCTGCTGCGGCTTTCTCGCCAGCCTCGCGGTTTCGAGAACCGATTATGACGTGATAACCGTGGTCTTTGGCGAGGATCTTTGCCGTGGCCAGGCCAACGCCCTGGTTTGCGCCGGTAATAAATGCAATGGTACGCTTGCTTGCCATGGTTAGAAGGCAGAGATGGGTTCTTGAGACGGTGTGCACGGTTGACAATGTATCGAGGTTGCTTGCTTGCTAAAAAGAAAATGCAGGTGTAGTCTTGCACAGAAACCAGTCTCTTATACTTGACGATCCCGCACAAAGGGCATGTCAAAGTTGTGATTGATGCTGTCCTGCTTATTGAGCAAAGTAAACAAGGCCAATTTAGCCGTTGTATTGCTTGACAATCAGTGTCGTAGAGAGCGAGTCAGTCCGAGTTGAAGACGGCCGTAGCAATGCCATGTAAGGCCGTCTAAGTCCGGGGACGTGGGGAAGGGAGGCGTCCCGCACCGGCTTGCTCAGCACGGCCAATTTGGCCGGCACGGCGAAAGTGGCCGGGTCATGCCCGAGTACCATTATAAGGCTGGCCAAGTTGCCGGGGAAATACACTTGGGGCTGACAAATCTAGAAATTATGAGATGGCATTCAGTGGCTTTTGCCATGAATTTTTTAAATTTTTTTATTAAAAGGAATGCCGGCTTGCAGTGTTGAAATGGCAGTGCTGCCATTCTTGGTCTTAACTATTGAGCTTGGAAATGTGTTCAATGTGCCCGGCAGCAATGACAATCCATGCGATAGGGCCATCACAGTTGTCTCCATGAATTTCCTCAATAAATCCATGCAAAATATAAACCCTTTGATAGTCTGCGTTCAGACCCGTTGTAATCTGATGCTCTTTGAGCCAAGCATGGCCATGGATTCCACATCTCGAGCAAGGGCCCGTCAGCACTCAATCTACAGTCTACAAGCCCCATGCCGTTTGCTCTTGGGAGGCCAAGAGACCAAAATCTCACTACCAGCGGAAGGATCACCAAGAATGCAACGAAGGATTGGAAAACGTGGCCAAGTATCTTACATGTCGAGTGACATTCAGTGTCTAAGTATCGCTACTTCGGCATGGTGACTCCACTGATCCTTTCCAGTTCTTTCACTAGGCGATCCTGCAGGCCAACATCATCCGCGACCTTCGCCGGCGCAGTAAGCCTCGAGTTCACAAAATACTTGCCTGTCTGCCCCTTCGCGTTGCCTTCGCCCAGCGCCAACATGACAAACTCGTCAATGCTGGCATTCAGGTCGTCCGGCGCGTGCGAGCCACCCATCTTGGTGGGCACCCAGCCCGGATCGGCCGAGTTGCTCTCGATGCCGGGCCAGCGCCGCGCAAACGCCTTGGCCAGCATGACATTGTGCAGCTTGCTGTCGCTGTAGTTGCTACTCTCCAGGCCACCGTCTAGCCGCGGGCGCCCGCTGTAATGCATGCCGCTGGAGATGAAAGCGATGCGCTTGGGCTTGTGCATGAGTGAGGCGAGCACGAATGGCGCCAGCGTGTTGACGCAGAACAGCGAGGGCATGCCGCTCTTGCCAGGGACCTTCTCCATGCCCAGGTACAGGCCCGCGTTGTGCAGCACCGCATCGAAGGTGCCGAGCTTGTTGGCGGCGGCGGCGAGCTGCTTCGTCTCCTCGAGGCTGGTCAGGTCGGCCACCAGCACCTCCTCGGCGCCGGGGCAGGCGGCGCTGGCGTCTTTGGCGCGCTGCGGGTTGCGCGCGTGAAGAACAACCTGGTGGCCCTTCTCAATCAGGCGCTTGGCTGTTTGGGAGCCGATCCCGTCGGAGGAACCGGTGATGAAGATGCGCGCCATTGTTCGCGACGGTGGTGGAGGATATTACAAGTATCTTGGTAATGCTGGTGGTAACGTCTGTGAGCCTCAAATCTAGTACAGATGTCATCAATGTCCCGGGTGATTGAAGAAGTTCGACTTGTCTAATGCTAAATGTTGAATCACTCGATCAGGATACTTCTCGGTGGTCTGAGTCGCCATATTTCACGTTTGAATGAATTAGTAATGCAGTATCAATTATGTCATGAACACCATTGCATCCCTTCGCATTCTGTTGCGCCCTTACATTTACTGTCTTCAAGCCACTGCGGATTTAACGGGGTTGCGCTTCTTCAAGCACACCACCCCACCAATACATGAAATCATGGCGCCTGTGACGCCTGCTCTATCTCCGTTCGCCCTGGCCGAGATTATTCTCCGTACCTGTACGTCTAATTACTTGTCTTCAGTCCTCCCAAGACTGCCTACGACTCTCATCTCGCCCCTGGCCAGGCGGCTGGCGCCCTGCATATCAACGAGCTTCAGCGGACGATAGACGGGATCCCACATCTGCTCGCGGATCCAGTCCTCCAGCTCTGCATCGTCTCCGGGAATCTCCTCCTTGTACTCTACCACGCCCTCCTTCTGTGCGGCTCGGATCACCTTCCTGGCAACGTTGACGCTGACCTTGCGGACGACATCGACGCCGGGCAGGAGCGGTGCAGTGGGATCTTTGAGCGCGGGCGACATATCAGCAACAGCCTCAACGGCCGCTACGAGCATCTTGTCCGTCACTCGGTTGGCGCGACAGAGTACAGAGCCTAGCCCAATGCCCGGAAAGACAACAGAGTTGTTGCACTCTGCGACTTCGATCTCCACTTCCTTGCCATCCTTGCCCCATGGACCCTTGACTGGTTTGAACGGGCTTCCGGTGGCCACTAATGCTCGTCCATCCGTCCACTGAAGCAGGTCAGACGGCACAGCTTCATGCAAACGCGTAGGGTTGGACAGCGGCAGGATGATCGGCCGGTCGACATGCTTAGCCATCTCTCGCACGATGTCCTCTTTGAATGACTTTGGGACAGTAGAGGTGCCGATGAGGACGTTCGGGTGGATCTCCTTGATGACGCCGAGCAGGTCGGTAGACTTCCCATCCCAGTCCTCCTTTGACTTCGCGAATCGCTCCTGTGCGTCATTCAGCTCCGTGGCTGTGGTGAGTAAGCCGGGCTTGTCAATGAGCCTGACCCAATGTTAGACAATTGTTGGTGAAGCCTAGTGGAGTGAGGGTAGAATTGCCTACCAGATCTGCTTTGCCGCATCCTCCTTGCTGATGTTCCTCTCTGCCGCTATCGCATCTCTGACCTGATCTGCGATGCCGACGCCAGCAGTGCCCGCGCCAAAGACAACCATGCGCAGGTCGCTGAGTTTCTGCTTGCTGACGTGCAGACCAGCCATGATGGCCGCAAGCGTGACACAGCCGGTGCCCTGCACATCGTCGTTGAAGCAGGGGATCTCTGGTCGATATCTATCGAGGAGTCGCCTCGCTACGCAACGTTCGTCAGTAGTCAGAGCAGATGCAGGGGACTAGCTGACGCCTCACCATTGGTAAGACCAAAGTCCTCAAAGTGAATGTAAGCATTGGGATATAGCTCCCGGGCAGCCTTGACGAATCTGTCGACGAACCTGTCGTACTTCTCGCCCTGCACTCTCTTCTCCCGCAGGCCAAGATAAAGTTCATCATTAAGCAGCTCCTCGTTGTCGGTGCCGCAATCTAGTATGACGGGTAATGTGCGATTGGGATGTATGCCAGCGCACAGCGTCGTGAGCACAAGCTTTGCCACGGAGATCAGGATGCCGCCCGCTCCTTGATCCCCGATGCCGAGGATCTCCTCACCGTCAGTCACGACGATGTAGTCAATATCCTCCGGTCGGCCCCATTGTGAAAGATCATGAAATACACGCTCCTCGTCATGAATGTTGAGGAAACAACCCTCCGGTCTCCGGAAGAGGCGAGAGAAGTTCTGAATGGCATCGCCTTCTGTGGGGGTATACACAATGCTGAACATCTCGTCGAGGTGGTCTTGCAGGAGCTATAGTATGTCAGGCCCCTTGCACGTAAGACACTCATTACCTGGGCAATGCTATTGATGCATAAAGACACTACTACCCCATGCAACGATGGAGCTTGTCTCGGTGTACAACTTCGGCTCAAGCAATGCTATCCATTACAGACTCACCTTGAAGTACAAGACCTCATTCTGTTCCTTCATAGACGTCAAAAACGTGTTCTTGGCAAGGTCATCTGCCCGGGTGGAGTACTGCTGGTACGCCCTAGCCGCCTGCTGCTCCAGGGTCTGAATGCTCTGTGGAAGCAAGCCCGCAAGATCAAAGTCACGCCGCTCCTCCTTTGTGAAGGCAGAGCCCTTGTTGAAGTACGGGTGGTTCAGCAGGACGGTGCCCTTGATGGCGCACTCGAGCGGGCCACTGGTGCTCAGCGGCAGCTTGCCGTACTTTGGATGTTTGTGATCGGCCATCTTGCTTCGCTGGCAAGCGTGCACGTGAAAATGGGAAGCCGGCTGTCGCACTGATCTCGTCGATATCGAAGATGCCGGACGGACGCGGGTCAAAGCAGTGAGATGAGGGATGGGCACAGAGAAAAAAGACGGCTTCATGTCTTGGCAGAGATGCCAAGAGCCGGGACGAGACAAAATTGAAGCTGGCAATGTCTCGGGGATGGCTGATGAAAGAGCGATGGCCGGAAGGATGAGTGAGCGGTCTGCTCTGCCCACCTTCACATTACCTGATGCACTGATTCCAAGGTTTGAGCTCCAACGAAGAGGGGCAGCAGCATCAGAAGCTGCACTGAATCAGAGGAGATGACGTAACCAGCTGTCAGACACGCGCACAATGGAGCTCATTCTTTCGGGGCTTCTGTGGCAAGCTGCCCGAACACGTGGAACGGGTTGACGGATGGGAAATGCCCACAATCGGCATCGGCACTCACGGCGGCATTGTAGAAAGAAGAAGATGATGATGATTGTAGGAGCTCTAGGAGCCACGCCCGGGTAGAGATCCATTTCGAAGAGACTTCAAACGGGACAGCCACAGACGTGGACTATGATGGTCCATGGTTGTTCTTGCAGCGCACGCAATGAGCACGAGCACGCGAAGCAATGAAGCCTCGCGCATCGCATCAGTCGCCGGCCTCCTTTGCCGTCCCAGCACAAGACGCGCCGAACACGGAATGGCCTCCGAAAAGACTCGTCGGGGTGAAGAGGAGAGTGGCCGGCTTGAAAGCGCTGCGGTATCACGTATGCATATGATAAGAAAGCAAAAGTATATCACCTTCCTCACTTGACCTCAGAATTGATATTCGCTTTGGCCATGTTGTTGAGTTGCGTTTACACCTCGGAGGTGTTGCTTCACTTGGTGCTTTTTGTTGAAAATTGGGCATTTCGCCAGAGAAAATTTGGCGACCTGGAAATCTGCGGTGAGGCGCACAGGCCACTTTGTGTAAACAACCCGCAGCACCTGTCCGCCAGCTGTCGGCTGTGTACGGTCAGTCTCACTTCGAATTGATGCGTTTCGCAAGCGGCGTACCTCCAGGCGTCCGACCTCTTATCTCGTTATCAAGATGCTCATAATCAGGCTTATGGCCTGGGAAATCCGCCGAGGATTGCAAGAGAGACAGGTTGCCTGAGGGTGTGGCTCTTGGGGCTGTGCTCTGTGCAACGCCGGTGATGGTGCACACCCTGGCAGGCCTCTTGCCGTGATAGGCTCTTCCCGGAGCCTGATGCATTTTTTTGAATTCTCGACAACTTTTGTTAAACTCGTCTGAGCATCTGATTTCGATAGCATAGAGACGAGAGTAGCCAAACCTGAACAACGAAGACCAAAGCTTGCGTTTTGTCCATGAGTCCTGATGGCCGAAGTGGTAAGCCTTGTGGCCAGCATCGTGGCTGTTGCCGAACTGGCACAGGGGGTCGTACGGTTGTGCAAAGGCTACATCGACGCAGTCAAAGATGCGCCGAGGGACCTGAGAGTGATCTTAGTCGAGATGTCAACACTCAAAGGCCTCCTTGACTCTGTTTCTCTGTTGCAGGACGACCCTCTCATCGTCAAGCAGTATGATCTGCTTATGGCTCAAACTGAGCATCTTCGCGAGACTTTGGCCGAGATTGAAAGGCTTCTCGGGGAGAACGAGGTGGAAAAGCCGGGAAGCAAAAGAAGGAAGATAACGCGTTCATTATCAACGCTTGCGTGGCCGATCAAGAAGCCTAGAATCATGCAGAGGTTGGAGGACATTGGCAAGTGCAAGAGCACTATCAGCCTCATACTCCTTGCGGACACAAGGTGCGTACTCTCCTGGCTACCACATCAAGTCCATTCCTGATAGTCGTGCAGTAAGGAGCTCAAGGAAATAAGACACGATATGCTAGAAATTAAGGACAAGCTATCAGGTATGCCCAGTGACCTAAAATCATGTCTCATGAATATGTAGATTAGCTAATTCGCCTTCCTTTCTGAAGATGACGAACGACACAAGATCCTCAAGAAGCTCGTTATCGTAGACCCCTCATCCAACCATTCACAAGCATGCCACCTGCACGAGCCACACACTTCAAGCTGGATCACCCGCTCCGAAGAGTGGAGAGCTTGGATCGTTGGAGACCTCCGTTTCTTCTGGATTCACGGCATTCCTGGAGCCGGGAAGACTATTCTTGCATCGCATATGATCGAAGAGGTGAAGTCAATCTGTGAACAAGCTACCCTGAAAGCTCCTTGTGGCTGGTCATACTATTATTGTCATCACAGCCGAACAGCGGATATCTTGGAGAGGACATCCTTTCTTGGCTGGATTGTCAGCCAACTTTCCAAGCAGGCGCACTATGTTCCTGAAACAGTTGATAACGCAATTCGTTTGGGCAGGATGGCAACTAACTCGGAGCTGAATTCCGCCTTAGTTGCTCTAGCTCGACGGTTCGAAAAGATATACATCATAATTGACGCTCTTGATGAAACCCAACATCGTCTAAGTTTCTTAGCATTACTTCAAGCGCTAGAATGTTCTCCGGATCTTGAGAACCTTCGAATCATTGCTACAAGTCGTGACGAGCTGGATATCCGCAGGGCTCTTACTCCGATCTCGACGGCATTGTCAATGTCAAATCAACTAGTGGAACGAGACATCCAAAACTATGTTCATGTCCAGTTGAGATCAGATCCGAAATTTACTCGGTGGCCGCAAGGACTCCTTCATGATGCTGAGTACGCATTAGCTACGGGAGCTCGAGGAATGTGTGTATATGGATCTCATTCCTAGTTCATCGTCTATGTTGCTAATATTCCACCTTTCTGAAGGTTCCGCTGGGCAGCATGTCAGTTACAGATTCTAAGAAGACTGAATACGGCCTCTGCCGTTCGCAAAGCCCTCGCAGACTTGCCGGAAACATTGGACGAGACCTATGAGCGAATTCTATGCAGCATACCCACGGAGTCAAAGCACCTCGCCTTCAGAATACTCTCAATTCTGTGTGTACAAACATCTGAAGCCCTTCTCCAAGCTCCTATCCTTGCCGAGGCAATCAGATGGACAGACCTCAGCCAGAACCAGCCCGAAGATGAATTACTAGACACCGACGCACTATTCGAGTTGTGCGTGTGCCTCCTAAAGACCACAGACGAGGGCATCATTGCCCTAGCGCATTACACTGTGAAGGAGTTCGTTTTCTCTAAACGCATCTTGACCGGTCCAGCTAAAGACTTTGGCACATCGCCAGACGATGCTGATAGGTTATATCTTACGACCTTATTAAATCGACTACTGTGGCTTGAAGGACCAGAAAATTTATCAAGCCTGCATCTGCTGAAAGTCTGTATGAAATTGCTCACGGAAAGTCTTTTAATTCACGATAGAATCTTATCGGAAAGCGCAGATTTGCAGCTCAAAGTTTGCACTCTTCTTAACCCTTCCACACCTCATTTGTTGAGGATTGCTAGATGGCTTGATGGGTCCGAAGACACCAGAAAATTATTCGGGAGCGAGAGCTCGCGAACACCTAGTGGTTTGTTTGATCGCATCAGCAACAAAGTTGGTGGCTCCGCGGAGTTAGTAGCTCGCTTATTCCTGTCGAGAGCTGAGGAAGTTGCCGTCACTTATATCAATTCTCTGGATCGATCGCATTTAAGATCGATGTTTGAAGCGACAGTCCCCCTTTACAGTTATGGAAAATGTACTCTCATCGAAATTGCCGCTAGTATTGAATCGCCAAGACTGGTTAATCTACTTCTGCAAAAAGGCATGAGACCAGCCCCAGAGAACAAAATCATGTACTTCCTAGCGAGGAAAAAATTACGCGGTCCGTCTTCAGAAATCGCACTAGCAGAAGAAAACTTCAAGCTGGCATTAGATGCAGGTGCGAATGCGAATCCCTCCAACGTGCCGGCCACACCTCTCCAGAATGTGGTGTTTCAGGCTCAACCTAAGATGGTGGCATGGCTGTTGGAGGCTGGGGCAAATCCAAACGATATTGGGGGAGAAGTCCAATATATACCAATTAATTATGTGGATGAGTACGCAAACTTGAGATTAAGTCCGGTCTATACGATAAAAAAGCCATTCGACATATGTGTTGACTTGCTGCGGGCGTGTACTGCCGGCGAGCTGCACGGGGAAACATTTGCTGGTCCAGGAGCAACAACTACACTTCGTGATATTGGAAAACTCCTTGCCTCTTATGGTGGTACGAGGACACCTTTACCTTCAGGCCGAAAGATGAGCAGTATCATGGAACTGAATAAGGTTTGAGAGGTCTCTGGTTGGACGTCTGTGCGAAGGTTGTCGCAATCCTGAAGGGCAAGCTGTCATAGGCAAAGGCTTGATGGATGATCACATTCACAGGTCAGAAAAGACCGCATGTTCACGTATTTCTCTGGTGGATTGGGTCCAGCTATACTAAGTATCTTTATCTTCTCCGCCTAGAATTTGCCTTGGTGTCTCGTAGCGACAAACATGTTTGAGAAGCTAGACTGGATTTTGATGCATTCTTGTAGTGCTAACCCTCGCCTGATTGCGTATTGCCGGCGAGAAAGCGTCATTATCAATGAGCTCCTTCTCCGACCCCGTGTCATCCGCAGCATAGGTCTTCATCTCGATTGATTGTTGCACAGCAATTCTTAAACCCGCCCCTCCGCCTTGTTCATCATCAACTGTGCTGCGGAGTGCTTGGCTTTGCTTGCGGCTGTCCGAAGCTCCGTATGGCGTGGATGACGAACCCTCGTGATTTCTTCGGAGAAGTACCCGCGAGACGAATGCCTTCAGCGCGGGAACGGATCCACAGATTATGGCAACATTTATCTCGATATCTGACCAAAGGGCAATGTCGACGCCGGTAACTATGAGCGGGAACTCTTAGTTCAACAATGAAAATAGATTGAATCATTGGGGATAGACTAGTTGACATACCTGGCTGAAGATTGATTGGACCGCTCAGGTTATCATACAAAGCTTTTAACCGGATGATTGATACGACCGTCACGCTGTAGTATTGTCAGTGATGGATTGATTGATTGTGGAATCTTTGAAACGCACAACGCTCCACATGCAAATACACATATAAGTACGATCCGCTGTTTCTTCGCAATCTGCAGCGTCAACAAGAAAGGAACCGGAATGAGGAGGAGTGCCACATCGTTCAGGATGTTGAAGCCCGCAATGGCATAGTTGAGATTGCTGCGATTTACGCAGCTACCGGATATGGAGTCATCCCATGCCTTTGGAACAGGTCTGCAATAAAACAACGAACCGGAAACAGACATGATTCCGCATACAAGGATCCAACCAATCAGTACCTTCATGATCTTTTGTGCTTTTGTTGTTGTGAAGAGTCGGTATGACTGAGTTGTAATCGAGAGTTTGTAGAGCGTCTGTGCCATGTTATAGCAAGGGACTGTCGCGTAAAGAGCCTGTATAATTGTGAAAGGATTGTCAGATCCATACCGAATTGAATGGCTCCAGCTAGCGATACGTACTGCTAAGAAGCTCTTCAATGTGGCCAAGTTCACAGGTTGTCCAAGACCGTATTTGATTTCTGGAGACAAGATTAGACATCAAATTCAGGGCTACGGAAAGTTTGCGGAGTCAAAAACTTCCAAGCTCGATAGGGTAAGCAACTTACGATACATGGCCGAAATCATAAACCCGGTTGAGAAAACCTAGGGAACATCTATTAGTACGTCTGTTTGATTGAGGCTGAACATGGTACTTGCCAGAGCACCCGACATCAGCCAGTCATCCCAGCCAAGTCGCTTCACTACGAGTCCTCTCGTGTATAATCGCAAGCAGATGACGAGCAATGCCAGAGAGGTCCAAAGAAACATGTTCACAACCAGTGCGTAGTTGCGCTCCACAACTGGCATGCCTGCAATGTACCACATCTTGGCCGATCGTTTTTTGAAATCTGGGGGAATAAAAGAGGACAAAACAGAAAATGAAGGTGAGCTGCCGATCAACACCAATCTGGTCGTCCAAGATGGAGCTCAAGGACTTATAGTCTCGACCTAGTCTACTCTCTTGAAGCTGCTGGAACATATCAACGGCCAAATTGTGTGCCGGGTAGAAAGAAGTCATGGAAGATCCCTGGCGCCACCCGCTGGAAACCGGCTTGGAATAGAACAATTGTGGAAGGGAGTCTCTGTGATCTGTGCCTTCCTTCCCATGCCTCCTCCTCCAGGTTGATGATGGTCAAGCCACCCGTTAGAGAATCCGATGCTGCCAAGCGATGTGCCTCAGAGTGACACTGCGCCATTTAATCGCCGTATCCCAGGCCTTTGGAACGGTAACAGCAACATGCAGAGGACATGTTTCACTTGAATTGCATCAAACATGGTACAGTCTACTAATTATCTTAATGCCTTTCTAAGAATTGACAGCAGGCTCATGATTTCTTAGCCCTGAGAACTTGATTGCAAACAACTTTGCAAACGAAAGAAGCACTGATTCATCAGCGATGCCTCGATAGCTGGGAACTGAGCCAACAACTATTGTTCCGCTAGAAGGAACAAGGCACCATCTTCATTCCACTCGCAACGTAGAACTAAAAGCATTGCTGTGACTACCCCCACATTAGCTGATACAGATGGGCCGCCTCACGCAGCTGAGAGGACGAGGTGAGTAAGACCATACCAGGGTCCCTGGAGAATGTGGCTTGTGCGGTATGGTCCCGTGCGGCAGGGTCCTAGCTTTCTGGGGTTATGCTTGCTGGAAACCGAAGCCATTTCGAAGCCCCCTGGTCCGCGGGAGGGTTTCCGGCGCGGGGATGTTGCGCGGGAAGCCAAAGCTCTAACCTCGTATAGGGGCTAGCGTTGTAGGAATGCTTGCCGTAACACCCCTGATGTCAACGCTACAGCGACGGTAACGTTAATGTTGATGTTGGTTGCAAGCCTGCATTCTGAGCATATCATTGGAGAGCTCACAAGCCTTCAAAGTGCAGCCTGGCGCTGCGTTGAGGCCTCTTACTTACTGGACATACTGATTTGCTCCAGTTCTATCGAGCTGTCACGATTCGAGTCTATAAGGCTACGGGCTCTCTACAACCTTGATCGCTACTGAAAGTGCATGTCAATGACGTCTTGGGAGAAAGTTCATTGTTATGGAACAGGATGCAATTGTATGTAGATTGTCTGTGGGCTAGTGGCTGCCGGTGTGATTGTTGCGCCGTCTAGAGAAAAAGCGGTGTTCTACAGACCTCAGTGAACGCCACAGCAGCAGTCTAAGTTGCCAAGAAATCCTCGTGCAAGGTTATTATGACCAATGTGCTGATGCATTGGTAGACAGTCGAGACAGTGAAAGATAATAGCTGCAAATGTTTTCTTTTTCTTAACCAGGGCTCTTTGGGTTTGCAGCGTTTTCTCTGCCTATCAAGGGCTCTCATACCCAGTCAACGGTTTCGAGGATCAGCCACTCGGTGCGATGTCTCGATTAGGAAGCCTTTTCGCCATACATGGTTTGAAAGCCACTTGCCTGTCAGAGGCTTTTGAAGGATGAGTGGCTTCAAGCTAAGGTACCGGATCACAACGACGAGGCTTGCCGAGTCTTCTTGCGCAGCCGCTCCTATTCTAGTGCGCGTCGTTCAATCCGAGGCACTCATGTGACTGTCACAAAGAAAAGGGTCGCATTTGATGGTATTAGAAAGCAGATAACACACATGATAAGTCATAATCTCCAGGCTGATGAAACAAATTGTTAGTGTCAGTCCTTCGAAAGCACACAGCCGTACAACAGTCACTTCTCAAGTTGCATGGCTTTTGGGACATTTGTCACTGTTATTGATGACTATCTCGGAACCGAAACTATCTTTTCGTTGACAAATTGGAGAAACCGCCTAATGCCCGTGCTAATCAAGACGAATACATATCCTCATCCTTCTCGACAGGGGCATCGATGTGGTTGGTAAATTCTTTGCTGGGATCGAAAAGGAAGATGGACGCTTGAAATTGTTAGCTCGTTTGTGCATATCATTACCGGCTTGACGTAGAACATACCTATGGTCGCAAGTGTCACAAATGCGGCAGCTGAAGCCCACACATTTCGAAAGCCTTTAGTGTACGTGTCTAGAAGCGCTCCAACACCAGCATTGACGATATCGGGCGTTACGCCAGGCACCTCTGCGAGGCCAGTTGTGTTTTGTCCAAGTAAATCCGCAACGAATTCCGGCACGGAGCTTAAAGGAAGACCAGCGGCGCCGACAGCTTTTGCAACATTGTCGGCCATATGTCGAGTCGCTGAGATGAATACAGAGTTATCTGTAGTTCGAACGATTAGAGGAGTACAAATCGGGGTTCAGACGGATACGTACAGATTGCAATGCCGATCGTGCCACCAAGGGAGCGAACACTGATAATCAGTCCACTCGCAATCGAAATGAGCTCAGCTGGAATAGATAGCTGAGCAGCAGTGATCAGTGTGATCAATGTCATTCCTAGGGCCCAGCCCATGAGCACTGCGTACCCCCAAACTGGCACCGAGGTGCTCCTCGTCGTGGTAGCCATGCAGGCAAAGAACACAATGAAGATGACGAATGCCGCAAAGGTCATCCAGCGCACTTTCTTCGTCATCGCGCAATAGAATCCGGTGACAAGCGATGCTGCGATGGTGGCAATGAACGAAATGCTGAATCTAACACCCACGATAAGGAAATCTGTTTCGTAGAGGACGCTGACCTGGAACGCGAAGTAGACATTTGCGGCGAAGAAAGCGATGCCTTCACAAAAGACACATATTAAGGTGATTGTGAAGTTCCTGTTCCCAGTGAAGAGTCCGTGATGGAACATCCCATCCGATTTGAACTTGGTCTCGTATACGATCAGCCCTAGACCCAGTACCAATCCAACGGCGAAGGGAGCTGATGTGTGTGGATCAGACCAGGCGTAAGGGTTTTGCGACCATGAAAGACCAATACAAAAGAGGACCAGGCCTGAAGCAAGCAATCCGTACCCAATCCAATCAAGTCGAGCCAACTTTTCGCGGAGAGTCAACGCTGTTTGTAAAGGCCGTGGCAGAGGTCTGTAAGCGAACAAGCAAATCGCGGACGCGACAGCAAAGAGCGCCATTGCAATGTAAAAGAAATACCGAAAGCCATTTGGATTGCCATGGCGGTTGAGTGCTCCACCGACAACCAACCCAGTAATCAACCCCAATGCATTAGAGATCATAACTGAGGCCTGAGCCCAGGCACGCCAGCGTCTAGGAAGCACCTCAGATGCGACAGCGTGAAGAAGGGGCTGCACTCCAAAGGCAACGCCAATCAATGAGAAGCCGGCAATAACCATTGACATGCTCGATGCACGAGCAACCACAATGCTGCCAATAGTCCCGAAGAGAGTGAGAACAATCAGGAACCACTTTCTCCCCCAATAATCCGCTGCTTGAGAGACGATGGGACCAAGAACAACAGTGAGAATTGCTATTGTAGCCGTGATCCAGCTCGTATCTCCTTGACGTTTGAAGTGACCAGCGATTATCTGCCCTTGCTACAACCCGTATCAGTTGGACTCGAAGACTCAACGATGAAAAGAGCATAAACTTACAGAACCAGCTCCAACTAATGCGAAGTCTTGGGCAAAGTAAATCAGACACATGGCAAAGACTGCCAGAAAGGTCCGAGCATGGAGATGTGGTTGAGGCTCGGGATCATTGTCAACATCTGCCTCCTGGTGTTTGGCAAGTGTCTTCTCGGCAGAGATCTCTTTGTCTGATACATTCTCTGGTGTTGAAGGAGTAACAACGCGTTCCTGGGTATCAGGTCGCTCAGAATCGGGATTTGTGGCGGAGGGTTCTGCCATGATGGATGAATGGTGTGGTGATCAACACCTTGGCTGTGGGGAAATCTTTGAACGATGGGATGAATCTTGCAGATGCAGTCTTCAGAGTAACGGAGACGACCCAAGAAGTTCCCAACGCTGACAAGAGAGAAATACGACACAAAAGCCGGTGGCCAGAGCAGGCTCCCCTCTTTCAACGGCACATCGAGCTGCACAAACAATTTATCAGGGCAGTTGAGGGATCATTTCTGACGAGCTAGCGATGCACCTCTGCATGTGGCGTTCAGTATGGTTGTGACGAGATTAGAAGATGGTTCGTGGTACACAGCTGGCCCTTGCCATTAATCCAATGCGCTAATGTCCCGGATCACCAAGGGTCATCCCGCTCCCCGTCTGCATGACAGGGGCCCGGCTCAGGGTTGTCGACCACGGCCAATGAGACAATCTGAGCCCAGCGCCCCTTCTGTAGAAACCAACCGGAGCAGCGCATGTCTGCAACAGTGTCTGAGGCTACCTTTTGAATTGTTGCGCGAGTTTGTCCGACCCTTGAGCGCTAGAGCACATACTGTGCAAAGTAACGAAATTAGCTTCTCCGTGTGAGACTGACCCTAGACGAAATCATGTACATGAGAGTGAGAGACAGCAGCAGTCTTGATACCGGACGCTAATTGCACACGAGACTTGACTCCTTACGAAGGTCATCTCGGATCAACCAAGCGGCGCGCGACTCTGCACCGAGATAAACTCGTGCCAAAAAGCAACTGCAGGACTACACGGTATCTCCATTGTTAATCATGGATATCATTATAGTCGGGGCTGGCATCACCGGATTAGCTGCCGCGATCTCACTCCGGCGATGTGGTCATAGAGTTACTCTCTATGAGAGATCTTCTATGAACAATGAAATCGGCGCCGCAATCAATGTTCCCCCCAATGTCGGCCGATTTGTTGTACCATGGGGACTCGATCCAGGCAAAGCTCGTTTTGTGCTTTCTCAGGGGATGTCATTTCAATCCTACACCACATTGGAGGAGCTGGCTTGCCACGACCATACTCGCAATGCCGATATCTACGGATCCCCTCTTTACTACGCACACCGTGTGGACCTACATGACAGTTTAAAAAAGTTGGCTACAGATCCGGCTGGGGCGGGCCAGCCGGCGAAGATAATTTTGAAGTCGGAAATCGTCAGCTATGTGAACACGAACTTTTCCGCGGTCTACACAATAATGAATTAACTGGTGTGCCTAGGACCTACAAACCCCTTCTGTCACTCTCACAGACGGATCAAAGATCTCGGCGAATCTCGTCGTTGCAGCTGATGGTGTTCATTCGATTGCTGTGGAAGCCATCACGGGCAAGCCGAATCCGCCCCAGCCAGCGAATCACGCCAACTGTTGCTATCGTTTCCTGATATCTACTGCAGAATTGGAAAAGGACGAAAACACAAGGCCTTTTGTGGATAAAAAGCAATTGCTTCGATGCAGGATTTTCGCCGATGTATCTGCCCGGAGAAGATTGGTGGTTTATCCATGTCGCGAGTGAGTCTATGCATTAAGTCGGACTTCTTCTTGCGTCGGCTGACGAAGTTAACCTGGAATCAAACAATAGTTATGAAGTAATTAACTTCGTTGCCATTTGCTACAACGATAATATGTCATCGGGTAAAGAAGGTGAATGAATCAATTACACTTCCGTTCGGGCCTTCCTCTTCATAAATCTTGACTAATATTGGTCTGTCAGACTGGCATGCGACGATTGACAAATCAGAGGTCCTTGAGAGATTTGCTGGATTTCACACTGACATTCTCGCTGTCATAAGGTCAGTGGAAGCATTATACTCAAACAAATATCCATTAACTCAATGGCGAATCTGCTGCTTCAGTAAGGCGAAAGACGTTAAACGCTGGCCCCTCTTATATCGTCCGCCCATTCCAACCTGGCATAGAGGAGGACTAGTCCTTGCAGGAGATGCAGCACACCCTATGCTACCACGTATGCTCTACAACCGAACTCACATTGAGAAGTGCTAACTGACGTTGGATATATGAAAGATCACGGCCAAGGTGGTGCTCAGGGTATTGAAGATGGTCTTGCGCTTGGCCTCGCCTTTTGTGGAGTAACGAACCCCAGTCAGATTGAAGAACGCCTTGAAATCTATGAGAAGATACGACGGAATCGCGCATCATCTATACAGATACTGAGCAACTTCGGATATGACGAAGCAGTCCCAGAAGAGCTTCACAGCTTCCTGGATGGTCGTACCATGCCAAGTATGTCTCATGAAATAGAGCTTCGTTCGTGACTTGCTGACATCTTCCCAATAGAGTCAATGGGCGACATGGTCAACTTAGCATATGCACCAGATGTGATGGAGCGTTCATTGAAACATATAACCGATGTAGACCCGACATTCAAGATTCCAGTAGATTTCTTTCCAAAGCAAGCCAGTGGCTAGTGACGAGGAGTTGGGTAATTAGTCCACACCACTTCTTCCTGAAATTGGAAGTCATCAAGGAACCTATTGGAAAAGCAAGTAGTTCATCATATAGGACTTAGCCGCTGGTACTATATTTTGCTGCAGCTCACTTGCTATGCTGCTGAGGAGCAGACCCTTATGAGGTCGAAGGAAGACTGTTATATAATAATGACGCCAATTTCTTCAAATATTTCACCTAAGCCCGAGTTATCCGGGCCATAGAAGATTGTGGCAACTCCAACTCGAGTCCATATCTCGACCTCGGTTGAACCTTGTAACTCCGCCGATGCTTTCTCAAGAATCAAACCGCTGGGTTGCTGGTCATTCAAAATGTGAAAGTAAACCAACTGGCGCGTGGTTGAAAGTAAGTTGTCCCAATTATCGAGATCCAGTTGCCCATGGGCGAACAACACTCCTCTATTGCCAGGAGAGCTTTCGCCAAAAACATTATATGGAAAGCTTCCTCGGTCCATGGATAGCCAGTAATCACTTTCATCAATGGGGATGATGCGCGTTATTACTTTCGCTAACCCCTTGAGCTCAATGTAGTTCTTTAACGCTGGCTGGTTGTGGTACTCGTTGTCAAAACCTATAAGTTGGAAATTGTCGGGGCAGGAATGCAGTAGAGTCTTTTCTAACTCATGAGTGCCAACGGAGCCTATGAGAAAGCCAATGTAAACCTCGAGTGATGCCCAAGACCATGTCGGCGCTCGATATTCCGGAAGGCGAACTCGATTCCCCCTTTCCACATACCAAAGCAGTTGCCTTCTAATGTCGTCCTCCCACATGCCAGCGAAGGCTATATATGTCCCTGGTACGTGACCCATCATTTCATTAGCAATACTCTGGATCGCTGGCAATTTGTCAAATGCACGAGTCAACTGACGGTGGGAATACTCAACAACGGCTTTGCGCCACTGTTGAAACAATTTCTCAGCAGGTGTTTCTGACGAGTTGTTCCTTGGCCACAACTGGAAAGAATGGAAAGTTTCGAAGGACTCCGGTTCATTGCTTTCTGAAGCCAAACTTTCTCGACATTCGAAGTAGATGTTGTTTGAGCAGAAGTAAATCAGCCGAGTCGACAAGCTGCGTTCTTGCATTGTCCAACCCCGACCATTCCACCTCGAGGAGTCGACATCCCCACGTCGAATACCAGATTCGACGTCATCTTGGTGTGAGAGTATGAGGAAGTCGTCAGAAGCCTCAAGTTCATCGCTGGAGCCGTATGCTACTTTGACAGCCGACGTCATGCGGGTAGTGCGTGTGAGAAATCCGTCGTGACACGAAGTCGCCGAAGCCCTCCATTTGATTAGCGTTGCAGAACAGATTGTCGACCCTTCCGACATAAACTTACGCAACAACGGTACAAAGTGCGTGCCTGTAGACAAGATGCATGGCCACGGACTCACGGGCCCAGTCATCAGGATCGTCCTGGACGATGCACAGTGAGTCGATCCACAAGTAGTGAGCCCCAAGCTTGGCGCAGACCAGGATGGCGTCGAAGAAGTTTCTGGGGAGATAGTCTAAGTTGATATCCATCGTCATGGCCTGATAGTTGGACTTGAACGTTCTTAATGGCGGCGAAGTCGTGATATCACCCCACATGTGGCTCAGTGCTACGTATTGGATTGTACCTGGAAAGCCTGTAGTGTCAATGAGTCGTAGATTCAAAGCTCCACCTGACTGAGTGATCTCAAGAAGTCGTCGTGGAAGCCATGATGTTGCAGCATTTGAATCTTCACATTGCTGATGATGTTTAGCACAAGCGCTTATCCAATGATTCATCATCTCAACATTTGCATTAGAGAGCGTGTGAGAGCCAGGTAGCCGCCGCTGGTGATCTGGCTTTGGGGAGGACAAGTCTTCAGTAAACCCAATTCCTGGTCAGCAACCATCACAGAGACAATCATAAAGAATGTTCGCGTACCAATCGAGCTGTAAGCCTTGAAGCTGAGCATTTGACTTATATCTCCATGTAGTTCTTCGTCATCCTTGCCCTTTGGCGTAGAAGCCGGTCCAAAATCGAGAGTAAGCCTGGTAAGTACTCCATCCAGTTGAGGGCCATTCAACGAGTTGTCGCCGGCATTGGACCCGGGAAACGGCGTGAAGGTAAATCTCGCATTCTGAATCTTGACAATTCCGTCCCAGGGAGTTTCAAACAGTTCATTCCATAGCCCTTCTTTCTCAGAAAGAGCACCAACTCCCCATTCTTCCATGGGGCGGACTGCCCAGGTTGTGCGGATTGTCTTTCGAAGAAACCGACACAACTCACAACCCAGCTTCGCAGAGACCCTCAAACCGGGAAAGTCAGGAAAAGTATCAACTAGCTCATAGTCCGTTTTGATGATATTGTTTTTGACGGGTTGGCGATCAGGGAGGAGCTTGTGGCAGATGGCGCAAGGCGGTGAGGCGGGGTGATTCTGTATGTTTGAAAGATTAAGCCTTGGGGGAACAGGGTTGATCAAGTCACGATAAGTCGTCTCCATCTCACGAAGGTCACAAAGCAGTGAGCTAATCGACTTTCTTTGATGTTAATATCTTG